TTGTTGGCTTGCCACGTCAGCAGAAGGTTGAGTCGGGAGCCAAGATTGGAGAAGTTGAGCAACATCTTTGGCCATGTTTTGGGTGGCCTCCTTTTGGTTGAGACATTGGCCTGCTGAGCGAGCTCGGAATGTAGCAAGTTTGTCCAAGTCTACATTGCGAGTGCGTAGTTGTGATACCAATTCGGCCACAAATACTGTAGTGCCTATGTTGTCAAAAGGAAGGACGAAGGTTTCTCTTCCGTATGCAACTCGGCGAAGCCAAGTATTGTGTAAGCCCTGGTACAAGAACTTCCAGAGTGGGACTTGTAAAGGATCCATCCCTTCAATGTCCTTGTAGCTTGAAAATCTGCTCTGTCGGATTCTAGAAGGGAAGTCCAAACCATTGATCTTGTTGGAGTCGTGGAAGTCGACATCAGGTTTCCAATTCTCAACTGGTGGGATTTCAATTGGTCTGCATGTATATCCTTCGTTGACAGAGGAACTTGCTCCTGGGGATGACATAGGTCTCGGTGATCTCGGTGTAAAAGGGTGACGTTGAGGTGCAAAATTGGCGTTGTTGGGGGGTGTCTGTGAGCTCGGAGGCGGCGTGGGCGGAAAAGGTGCCGTAGGCGAAGTCCATGGTGGGCGTGTTGGGAACGATGGAGACGTAGGCGGCGGAGGCGGTATTCCGGATAGGTTCCAAAAGGGTCGATGGGTCGTCATGGCATAGTGCATCGGGCCACGAAACGCCGGTACTGCTTGGTGCCAACCATGTGGATGACGAGGTGGTGTGCGCGAGCGATCCGGCTGGGAAGGAGGAATTCCATTCATATCCGCGCTGTATTGGGAGATCAGGTCCTGGGACGCCATGATGTAGAGAGGGTCACGAGACAATAGGTCAAAATGCGCTCGAACTGCCGAATGAAAGCTGCGAGGAATGTCAGGGTGAGACAAGAATAGTGTGCGAATGAAAAAGTGAAACATAATACGAGGTTCCAGTGTGTGAAACATAAGGTGAAAACGAATCTTGCGCAAGGATCCACAATATGAGCATGCAGCGAGTCACAAACCTTTTGAGGAAGAAGTGGCAGCAATACCGAATGTCGGGAGAAGCATTGTTACTCCAAAATAATCGGGCAGGGCCACTAGGCTCACTGGATCGCCGACGTAGAATAGTCGATACTTATTCTGGTACTCCTCAAGGGTAAAGAATTCACCAACGAGATTTGGAGTGGTGGGTCGAATGTCGAGAACGAGGTCGGCCATCATGGTGCTGGTCGCGAGAATGGTCGTCATAGTATGAGGATCGACGATCTCGGCGGTTGTAGGTGGAATTGTCCCAAGCAACATTATCATGCCAAGATCGGCGAGCATAGTCCCGGGAGCCAGAGGTAGCGGTCTCGCGGTGGCTCCGTGTATTGTGAGAGTCGTCCGGGGGCGGCTCCGAAGGTTCTGGGGCGTCGGCAGAAGGGTCAGGTCGTACTGGACGTGCAGAATCATCAGGAGGTTCCGAAGGTGCATTGGTCTCCGCAGTCTGGTGTGTGATCAAGCCCGGGAAAACCTGGTGAGTGGAGGCGACGTAGCATATAGATGCAGCGCTTGAGTTCATAGCCGTTGCATTGTCTTTGCCCTTGGCGATGCCCGCAAGGTTGCACAAGCGTTGGATTTGGTCATTTCCTCCAGCTAGGGCACGGATGCATTTGGGTGAGCGGCATATGGCCAGCAGGCCTGATGGGTTTTGTCCTTTGCCTATTTTGTAGAGCTGAGAGGTACAGATCCTGACAGCATAGCCGGGTAGGTTGTCGGTGTCTGCGATCTCAGAGGACATTCCGAAGAACCCGTAACACGGGTATTGGGTCGGTATGCCGGCTTCGTTTTTTGTCCAAGTTGCCGGGCGGATGCAGTCTTCAGCAAGAATTTTGGCAACTGATTCCCAACTTGTCTTGTGGTAGATCAGGTAGGTGCCCATGTGTTCGCCACGGTAGATTGGTTTCTTCTTCAATCCTGTGGGAACCGTGATGGTCAGCAAGTTCTCTGGCTCAATATAGAAGGCTTGTGTTTGCTTTGCAAGTTCGATGTCCAGTAAGTCGGATTGTGCAAAGGCCCTGGCAATATTCCTGACGGTGGCTTGGCTGGCTTTGATCCAAATACGATGGTTGTTGACGGTGCGGTATGGTTTAGCCAACTGTTCGAACATCGCGTCCACAAACTGGTTGAAGAGCTGCAAGATAGCCGGGGTCAATGATTGGCGTAGAGGAACAACATGATCGGGGCCAAGCTCGGTCAGGCATCGAACTCGATGGGGGTCATTGGCCGCCGCCACCATTTCATCGAGGTCGATGTCATTCGTGTCAAACTTGGTGAGCGAAATGGTATCAGCAACTTCAGAATTTTCACTGTCGCCGTCCGGAACTCGGAAGGACACCGCGCCGAGTGGTGCTGAAGTGTGGGTTGGTGGGTTGGTGGGTGGTTCCGATGGTGGTGGATCAGTAGGAGAATTGGGTCGAGCAGTGTGGTGGTCGTAGGCGTCGTTGTAGTGGCTTTCGTTCCATGTGCCCCAGGTGTCATCAGCATCAGGAGTAGGAATGTAGTTCGGATTGGATGGGTTTGCAGCAGGTCGAAGTATGACTTCACGGCCTCGGGATCGGTGACGTGGTGTCGCGGAGCGTGGGCGTGGATGGGAGCGGTGACGTCGAGGGACCACAGGAGAGCGGCGTCGTGGTGGTGAGCGTCGTCTGTATGGAGATGGTGTTCTGCGGCTCTTGTCGGGTTTCGTAGATGAGCGATGACGAGGGAGAGGAGAACGAGGTCGTTCTGTACGTGGAGGAGAATGGCGATGGCGATGAGAATGTACAGAAGGTCGATGGGAACGTGATCTTGGAGTTCGGGATCGTGGTCGGCGTGTTGGTGGTGGTGGACCTTGTGGTTGGTGAGGAGGAGCGATGGTTGGAGCTGGGACAAAGCGATGGTCCTGAACGTCCGGTTCGGTGGGTCTGGCCTTTGGTGCAGGTGGAGGCGTGGCGATCAATGGTGGTGTAGGTGTAGGTGGTGGTATCTGTGGTGTAGGATTCGGTGGATGTTCATCTTGTTGGAGAAGGAGTTGACGTTGTTCTTGTGCCCGTTGAGAGTCCATGATTAATAGTTGCTGAGCTTGGATAAGTCGAACAGATTCGGCCAGTTGTTGTGCGGTGGAACCCAGGGATGCAAGTTCAGGTGGCACGGATGAAGTCGGTGCTGTCTTAGGTGTCGATGGTGTAGCGTGAGGAGGGGTTTTCGGAGCTGGTCTGCGCGGTCGATCCGGTCTTTTGTCAGAGCGATGCCTGGGAGTTGCTTTGACTGCTGGGGGCCGTGGTGAAGGCTCATTTGGAGGGATCGTCGATGCGTCCATCTGTAATGGAGGTTGAATGTGGTGAGGTGGGTATGGAGAACTGGGCAAAGGAGTCGGTGTCATAGTCGATGTAGGTGGTGTAGTCGATGTAGGGGATGGAGCCGAAGTGGAAGGCCACGCGGGTGGAGCGGAAGGTGCCAGAGGAGATGGAAAAGTCGACGGAGCGGTGTGTACCATAGTTGGTTCAGGAGCCAAAGGTGAAGGCATGGTGGGTACTAGTTGTGGACCTGGTACTGCATGAGGAGCCGAAGTCAATGAGGTGAACGGCAACGATGTTGGGGCGGATGTAGACGGCATGAGCGAAGCGGAGGATGACCATGTAGGATGCAAAGCCGAGGGATGTCCAAATAAAAAGGTGTCGATTGCGGCCACGTCGAAGATGGGTTCGAAGGCTGTGGTGGAGCAGGCCATGATGTTGGAGTGTTCCACGGATGCATCGCTTCAGTAGGTCAAAACAAAGGTGGACAATTGTAAAAAGTTTCACATACAGGATTCAGTCCCTAACTGCCTACAAAATCGTGCGATTATTCCCTGCACCGGGACCGTGGTCAAGTCATGCCGCAATGGCATAAAACAGCTTTCAAGTTCCAACGAATTAGATGCACAATATGTTTCACCTCACCAGAGAACCAAAAGGAAAGAATACCACACCTGAAAGTCGTGTGCCTGCCTGATCATAGGTCATGAGATAATGCAATATGACGCTGCAAAAGTTGCTGCAAAGACGGAGGTTTCTGGCAATTCAGAACGGCTGCACAGTTGAAGAAACGCATCGGCGAGGAATCCCTGGGACCGCAAGATCAGCGGGACAGACTCAAAAGGCTGGAAAAACAGTATGGCCGGCTGTTGCAGTTTACTTAGATGAATTACCAACTTAAAATTCGTAAATTCGGTAGTCCGGACAGTCATCACTCACCCTGAAAAGGGTTGCCTCAATTGGCTCCATGGCACCATGTCGGAGCCACCATGGAAATCACACTAGACAAGAATGGATCATTATATGATCCGGCAGGAACTGAATCCTGAAACATGCAAACCAGCCTAGATTATTTGATGAATAAAAGAGCCACATGAGGTACTTCTCGAAAACGATGTAGGGCATCCGAAATTGTCAAACGTAGTCATAACCAGATTCCATAGAGTTTTGACCAGCATGTTGAAATCCAAAATAATGTTTCGGCGATTGTTTCCCAAAATAACCCATAGTTCGTCGGCGACAGGATCTCGGCGAAAATAAGTCAAAAAACATAATACTGTCGGCGAAATGGTTTCGGCGAAAATCTGAGGAAGGTTCTGATGCAGGAAATACAGATTGTGGCAACCGTGTAGATTCGAAACAACGCAGTGTAACAGCTTGTTCAACAGTTCAAAAAATCGCAGGTACGTTTTCACCCCCATGCTGTCTGGTCTTCGTTGGCCAGGACAGACAGTCATGGGTTCCTGGCCCCCTGCAAATTAGTGAAAACCAATCAGAAGTTTTACATCTGTTCAGATGATACACACACACACAGGGCGATTGCTTGACAATGTCCAATAAATAGCTGAAACCACCCCCAAAATCTTAATGTTTCTATGTCCACAGCAGATGCCCAACATGTGGGTCCCAATTTGATCCAATTTGCCTAATCCCCTCCTGATCCGGGCAGTACCTCACCGTGTAGTCGTAGTTGCTGAGACCGCCTAAGGGCTTCGTGGTTGACCATGTTGAGCCACCCCGAAGAATGTATGGGTCAATTGGGGATTGTCATCCCATTAGGCAGATGAAAATACAAGAACTAAGTTTGAAACTATTGTTTGAAGGACGTTTCCGTAGCAGATTTGGGCATACGTGTAGTCTAAACTCTTTCCGGGCCGGTCATCACATCTTGGACTGTTTCGCCACTGTGATAAGGATGGCTCGATGGTTCCAACGTTTCAACACCGCTCACAAGCGCAGTCGGGGTGCAGCCCTGGTCGTTCTCAATGGTGATGGCATTCTCCTCGGGGGCTTCCAGCTGTCACAGAGCTGGCACTTCACAAAATGTCCTTCAAAAATTGTCAAAATTGGTATATCTGCATAAGATAGTATAAAACATAAATAAAATGTCTATCAAATCATATCTGATAACACTACCTCCCATGGATCTTTCGAGGTAACTCCACAAGATCTATGACCACCCTTATAGATACCCAGCATGTATTTGCTGGCGAATATACCCAATCAAACCGGCCCAAAATGCCCAGTGGGACCATGGTCCTATGGTGTTTCCCCGTCAAAATACTACCCAAGTTGCCAAGGTTTCCCCCAAAAACCATCATAATACCTGGTTTCCCCCAAAAAAAAACATCATAATACCTGGATATACCTGGTTTCCCCAAAAAAACCATGGTGTTTCCCGGTCATAATTCCATCTTTTGCCACACCTGGCGCCGAGTTTTTCATCGCCTGGTTTTCGAACTCTGCGCCATCGCACTGGGCACTGACTGACCCGTCCGCCTGAACGATGATGGGGATCTGGCAGGATCATTGTGGAATGATTTCCTCAAAAACTGGAAAAGTTGTGGGATAAGTGTGCAGCAACTATGGGATGATTGTGGGATAACTATTTGTATGCATATACCTCTTTTTTTTGGCTTTCATGTGGTTAAACTCAATTCGTAGCTCCAACTGGCTTCCCATTTTTCGTGGGGAATGTGGATAATAGCTCCTTAGCTCCCTCCTAACATGCGGATTTTTCGGCTTTTCGTCTTAGTCCCTGTGTGTGAGGACAGTCAAATGTTTCGTACTGTCGTCACACCTGCGGATAGTTTATGTACGTGCATGTGCATATAGCAACCCAAAAAAAAGATACGAAAAAAAAAAAAACACATCCAAAAGAAGTGGGGAAATATATGAGAGCATCCTCCTGATTTATATTGATTTATGGTGTAGAGAAGCATATGTGCATACGGCAACTACATTTTAGAATATTTTAGACCACCTCCGGGGATGGAACTGGTGTTTCATACTCCGGGGCCTCGTCTGGCCCGCCCTCCACAATTGAAATGTCGTTACCGTAGAGAAAGAGAAAGAGGAAAAAAAAAGATGCAGATGGATGTGCATCTAGTGGCATTGATGTGGTCTCTGATATGCGATAGCTTGACTCCAGGACTCCAACATACTCCAACCATGGCCGATCACCAGCCGGCGACTTCCTTGGCAACTGCTTTCCACCAGGCCTTCAGGTTGACTGTGCCCGTTTTACCTCGGATGCTGTGTGTCCCTGCATAATATGGCGACCAGAGCCCTGTTCCAAACATAAGCATGTGGAGAGGAGCATGAGGATAATGTCATAAAGCCAAAGAAAAATTACCCCCCCCTCCAATTTTAGAAATAGGTGGCATAAATGGTATATAAACCATCTCCAAAAAAGGGTGGTTTGTTACTGGGTGTCGCATATTTAGCCCACTCACAGTGGCATCAACTGCTTTCACCAGGGAAGGGATCGCTGCAAGGTGCCGTCGTAGCTGATCACCTGAATGTCGAAGGTCTGGGTCAAGATACTGCCACTGAAGCACACCTTGGTGGCAGCAACAAGCCGGTCAACCTTATAGGTGGCAACATGTGAACCAAAATGGGGCCATGAGGAACTATGAGTGGGAAGAAGTAGTGCAGGGATGTGCAGGGAAGATATAAAATGATAGATGGCAGGTCAGGTCAAAATTCCAAGTCCAAGCCGCATCCGAGCCCAAAAAATGAAATGTCAATCAAGGTGGTTTGGTGCATCAATTGTGGGTGTCCACTGGTACCGAAAATTAAGGTGACCCCAACAGTAACAACCTAGAACAGTTTTTCTGTATCATTTTGATGGCGATTCGCTGTTCAATCCTTCTTTCATGAACCCCCACATAACATCCATTCCCCCAACATTAAGCATTTTATTTAGGATTGGATCCTAAACATAGTGGGGTCCCGTGGTTTTTGGATGTTTTTGGGGGATGATGGGATTACTCATCAATCCCCAAACCATGGATTGTTGGCATACAAAGAATCACAAAACATAACCAAATAATCAATAAATGCAATAAATGTTTACTCCACTACTACTCCATTTTCGTAGGTGATCTATGGTGATCTACCCATTTTGGAACCCCTTCTCTGATGATAGCGTGGGGTGACCTTGGCACTTGCCGTCGCGGCACGTCCTCGGGTAACGCGCCGCCACCGGTGCACTGCACGCTGTCCACGTAGGCGTTGCCGTCGCCACGCAGGCCAGGGCTGGCGGCAGCCAGGAACCTGACAGGTGCCCCCAGCGGCCGGGGATCCAAGATTCACTGGGATTATTTTTGAGGGAAAAACATGGGAAAACCAGAAAAGATGAATAATGTGGGAAACCTATGGTTTTAAATGATTTTAAGGGTGAAGTATGGGGCGTTGTTCCGCTTGATCCAGTGGCACAGGTGATCATAGACTCCAGTGATCACGGACTCCAAGGCACGGAAGCAAAACGAAGAGCACTGGAACCATGGCGGAAATTGACAGCAACGGTGGATCGACACCCGATGTTCAGATCTGTGGAACCTTTCCTGCTGGGCCAAAAGCTGATGTGGCGTCCATGGTGAAGCCAAGGCAGATTGCCAGGGTGGCCGTTTTTTTGGGGGGCGGGTAGCCCATCACTTTTTTCGCACCAGTTTTGCGCTGCTTAAATGTGTAAAAATGGCCCGAAGTGGCCCGAAGATTGTGATTTCGATTTCGCTGCTCTCGTTCACCAAAATGCATGGCTAAACTCAGATACTCTACCACCTCTTTTTGAGTGAAAATCAACCCATTTCACAAGACCAAAGGTTTACCCAGGGTGGGTTGACAGGACATCTGCTCCAATGTCCCAATTGGAAGAATCCCAAGCCGTTGGTTTCTGCATGTTTCTGCGCAGCGCGTCCAGTTTGTGACACGCGCAAAGCGCGTCCTTTGCACCCAATTCAGTGGAACTGCGGCACACCCAGCTACCCCAATATCCACAACATCTCAGGAAACCTTCAAAATTCATCAAAATTCCAGAATCAAGCATGTTAGGGAAACTGTTCCCACGAAACCACCTTGCGAATTTGGGCTATGAAGGATGTTGATAGACTTTGACTCATATTTTTCACACTTGTTCCCTTGCTTTGTTTGTCTTGGATCCAGGCCAAAGGGGCGTACAGGGCAAGAGCCAAGGGTTGCACGAATTCAGCTAAGCCTCACTCTCCTTTCTTCAACTTCAAACATCTGTCTAATGTTCATAGATTCTTGCTTCAAACCTCCCCAGCAGGGCACAACTTGCTGTTCAGCACGACCCTTACATTGAAGGGCTTCATGAGGTTCACGATCAGCGAGTCCTGCAAGGACTCCGATGACCCTGACATCTATGCGTGTCTATACTGCTGGCTTGAAATATCTTAAAATTCAGCCACATAACACCATCTCCCCTCATGGTCCAAGGTTTTGTCTGATGACATCTGATGACTTTCTGGGGGAGAGAAAAAGCGGCCCTGGCCATGGCAAACCGAACGCCGCTCGTGTGCCAACCTGGTCCGGGCAGTACCTCACCGTGTAGTCGTACTTGCTGAGACCGCCTGTTGCTACAGAAAGTTCCACGAAAACCTGCTGTTGTTATCCTTTGAGGTGTGGGAAAACAACTGTTTACGATGAGGTATCTTACATCATCTATGCTATATGTCACATGATACATGATCTCCGCTCATACAATATGATATGCGTACTATGCTGTGTGCCATGATAGCTTGCATGTGTATATATAGTGTATGTATGCATATGCCATGGATATACACAACCCAAATATTTGTTCCATACCTGCTGTGGCATGTTGAAATGCATATACATCGATCTTCCCCATTCGACAATGCGACTCATTCATCTCCGAGGAACAGCCCTGATCATTCTCGATGGTGATAGCATTCTCCTCACCACTGTCCCACGGAAGGCGCGAAAGCAGGGGGTGCAAACCAACCCTCAGGTGTCAACATGGCTGGGAAATCCCCTACAAATCCTGGTTAAATCGGAAAAATCATCTAGTCATATCTAGTCTAAAAATGATGGATGTTCAATTGCCATGGATTGCCGGCTACGCCCCATGGATCCAACTACCTTCGAAGGAACTACCTTGTTCTTTCCGGGGTCATGTCAGAATGTCCTTGGATCTAGCCACTGGCGCATCTTGAAGCTAATCCCCAGGATATGTGAACCCTGACATCCCCTCTGGCTGGTATTTAGTGGTGGAGATTAACAATTTTATTGTATTTTATAGCCATTATAGTATTTACTTTCTAGTGGTGGCACTAGGAATTCATCAGCCATGGTTTAATTGAAGTGAAATGAACATCCGGGGGTTGCCCATGGCCACCCAAAACCCAATGGTCTCCTGATTCTCGAACTGCGCGCCATCACACTGCGCACTCTGAGAGCCTTCGGCCTGATCCCCGGTGGGTTCCACACTGGCTGAGGCGGGAAAAATAACGATCTGCAATCCGAAAGAAAGGGGCACTGGATTACACAGAAAATTGTTCCCTTGGATGTGACAATGAGTCAAAAATATCAAACTTTTCAATCTTCAATTTGTCAGGAACCATCGACATTTGCCCAAGAACATCCCAATCACTGGCAGCCCACTGGCCTTCAGGTTCACAGTTCCGACCTTCCCTCAGTCTGGAGCGATCGCTGAAGTGGAAAGAGAAGGGGTGACTAGGGATATTTATGCTGCTATTCTGATCTATTCTGTGCAATTGAAATATACCAATAGATATATATATATATATTATAATATATATATATGCATATATATATACGTATATATAATGTACATACAGTTTATGGCAGTCATGAAACATCAAATGTGTATATAAATTATAGACCTATTCTCTCCAGGAGCCATAGTCCACCTACTGGTCATTCACTCCCAGGCTCATGCCAGTATGTACAGGCCCATGCCCGTGTCTGCCCACCAAAGATTGTTCATCTCTCAGTACCATGCAATCCCATTGGGGGCGATTGTGGTGTTTTTTGGCGCTTTTGGCTTCATGTATCCATAGCTGAAGCATTAACAAGTTGCCATCATAGCTGACCACCTCAATGTCAAAGGTCTCCAACAAGACGCTGCCGCTGAAGCACACCTGTAAGGATAGCACCGCTTCAAAGGAAGACCGGAAGTCTAGCAGGGGACAGCAGTGAGTTTAGGGAACCACCTTTCTGGACATGTGTTTCGTCCAGCGCCAGAAATAATGTGCAATGTGCACCATCAACATCCGGTTGCCAACCACAGAAATCCTAGCTCGAGTTAGTCGGCCCAATAAAGTGCGCCAAAGTGTTAGAATTTTCTCCCATAGATACCATATGTCACCATATGTCATCATCTCCCGATCTCATGGTAGCATCATTAAAATTATCATACATCAGCCCATATTTTGTCCTCTTATTACCAAAATAAGTCCCAATATTATGTCCATCATGGAGCCCCTGCCAACACTATAAGTCCCAATACCGCAATATCAATATACAAGATTATAAAAGTACATAATATTACACGATCACTATTATATCCCATCATAAGTTCCCCTTATTAATATGATACCCACTGTAGCCGGGCCCCCCTGCAGGCTGCGTGGGCAACGTGCCGCTGCCGGTGCATTGCACAGAGTCCACATAGACGCTTCCACCGTCGCCTCGAAGGGATGGGCTTCCAGAAGCCAGGAACCTTGGAGATGGCTTGGGGTGGGGGCCGTTGGTTCCTAAGGGGCGCTTGGGGTGTTGGGTTTTCAATGCTTGCGCTGTGCACCCGCTAAAGCAGGTACGGCGGCGCACTGTCCATGCAAAAACGCGCCCGCCAGGCTGGCCAGGCTAACATGAAATAAATGTGCAAAAATCGCAACGCACATGAAAAGACGGAGGCGTCCATGCAACATGCAAAGTGAAACAGATGTGTCTCATCAACGAGACGCATGTGAAACAACAATTACATCATCATCATTATCATCATCATCATCACTGGAATCATTATAAAATCAAAATCACGGTTTTTCGCACTTATCTCCGAAGACGTTTTCCAGGTTTCTAAGTTGGGCTGCCGGGTAAATTTCTTTCCACTTGCCAGGGGCCTGAAGACTCGTGACGCGTTCTTGTAAAATATCGTTGGTCACTGCGCGTGTAGTTTTAGCCGATCCTTTCCAAAACACGGTCTGTTTACGTCTTATCTTCGTCAGAAGGAGAAGCGCCACACCAAGAACTGACAATAGTATGATGTATACATATATATATATAATCATTATCATTATATATATATATAATTATAAATTATATATAAATATGACTAATAATGAGGTGATATACTGTTGGATTTTCCTGGGTTCTGGCAGTTGGTCATAGCTGCTCCCAAAAGCCTCCCACGTCCACCATGTGCAGCCCGTGGAACGGGAGAACGAAAAAGAACCAGCACACCATGGCGAATCAGAGCCACAAGGTGAGATAAATCTTTTTTTGAGGCTGAGATGCAGCTGCTGAGGGACAGCTGGTGTCATTAAAAAATGCACCATCCTCCTGAAGAACAACCAGAGTTTTATCATGATTTTACCCTGAGTTTTATCAGGAATATGGGATGATCCAGATTCAATTATCAACATTGATCAACCGTTATCAACTGCTCAGTAATATGTCCCAAATATATCCAAGATCTGTTCCAGGAGTGGTTTCTGGGCAGTTCCTGGATAGAAACATATTGAAGTCCCCCATGGCCCTTTTCCTGCTGGTCACTGCCTCGTTTTCGGCACCGAATTTCTCAGCCCGGGGATGGAGGGGCGCAGGGGCGCACGTTCAATTGGATTAGTTTATTGAAAAAATCGACAGGAAACCATTGGTTCCCTATCAAATATGGCTGGAAACCTGCAGTTTTTCCTCAAACCAATCCAAGACAATCCAATGATATCTTGGATCCTCTGTGGATATTGTGCTGCTCCACTTCAGGATGGGTGAAGGTGGATAAACCTAGAGCACTGATTGCTGCACCTTGCACAAAAGTCGGTGTCGGCAAGGACCTTCGTGAAAACGCTGGGAATTGCTGATTCTTCGATATAGTCACAGGTCGGAATCAACTGCATCAACTGAATCAACGAGATGACCTGAATCAACGAGATGACCTCAACACTCTGATTGGGTTTGTTGGGTTGCTCCTCAGCCCTACTCCCCTCGCCAGGGCGGCCAGGTTCGGCCGCGCCAAGGATTTTGAGCCAGGACATTGCCCGGGGATGCATGGATATCTCCCTTGGAACAACATGGAAACATGGCCATCTATGTCCCAGGTGTGTTTCCGGTGGTTGTTCTATATATCTGGCTGAATTATGCTGAATTATGCTGAATTATGATCATCTTATAACCATCATTTCATTGACGTCACAATGAGATGTACTTCTTGGTATGCTCTGAGAAGTAGGTTGTTTATTTCTGTCATGAGAACCTGGAGACATCATAAGCACAGTTCGCATCCGAACTCAGGTGAATTCAGGTTCATTTAAGCATTTCGCGGCTTCAAACAGATCGTTCTCAAACCTCTCCGGCCGAGCATGATTTGCTGTTCAGCACCACCCTTACATTGAAGGGCTTCACGAGGTTCACGATCAGTGAGTCCTGCCCACGTGCGCACTGAATGCACGTCTGCTATGACCACCTGGGATCCACGACCCAGTAAACAGCCAATCTGAGTCCAGCTGTAAATACTCCCTCTCCACATAATAGCCAAAAAAAAAAACTCCAACCGTTTCACGCCCTCCAGTTGAACCATCTTTTGTTTGGGCACTACTCAGTTGCAAATAGGGCGTCGTCATCTCCTGGTCCGGACAGTACCTCACAGTGTAGTCGTACTTGCTGAGGCCACCTAAACAAGGTGGGCGTGAGGCATTCCCAACGACGCTCCTTTAATCACCCAACCAGTGGGAAAAGATGTATGAGACGTTTGTCATTCTCACCTGGCACAAAGATTGCATTCCAACCCCTGCACATCAGTGGCAGTGATATATAATGATATGTTTGCCGTTGGACCCCACATCATCCTCAAAAACAAAATCATCATCCTTAAGTAATGGTCGGAAATCAGAAAACACGGCTATGGGCCGACATGATTGGGACACCATCTAAAGTACTACAGCTTCGATGAATAATCCCTTCCTCCAAATATTCGACACCCCCCAGAAACCATGGTATAGGGAATCTACGCATATTTGGGGACCATCTAGGGGGTGTTTTATATTGGTGGCAAGGGATTAGTTCATCTGCTTTCATCTGGAAAATCTTATCTCAATTCATCACATCCACCCAGTGCCAAGCTACAGCCCTGATCGTTCTCGATGGTGATGGCATTGTCCTGGGCGGTGGATGATCACTATCAAAAGCAACGATCCAACATTCACCGCTGGCTGAAGACATTCACTACATGCATATCTTCTAATTTGCTATGATTCCTTAGGGGAAAGTGGCGTTTTCAGCAGCGCGTTTAACTCAGCGCAGTACAAGCTGAGGCCCTCCAAGCTACAAGTTGGTAAACCTCAGTAACATTCATTAACTTTAATAGATATATCATGATGTATCTACCATGCGCTATAGACACTGCAGTATCTAGGGGGCCTCACCTTGTATGGTATAGAACCTGGAATCTCCTCCAAAAAAAACAGCACTGACACGGCCGGCCCAACGCCCCATCCTGGTTCTCGAACTGCGCGCCATCGCACTGGGCGGATTGCGACCCATCGGCCTGGCGTTGATGTTTATCGGCCGAAACATTGGGACTGCCACCCACCTGTGATTTGGATAAAAACATTCCTTCAGAAAACAGGTCAGAATCTTCAGAACTGCCAATGAATGTCCATGATACTGTAGATGATGATGATTTTTGCATGTGATGGGATGATAGGGGCCAAGAAACGGCCAGAAGAGTGGCCGAAGTCACCTCACAGGGCTCGACTTTTGAGCTTTTGGAGCTACTAATAGCATCTGAGACTGTGGGGAAGCGCTTTTGACAGGCGGCCGTCAACTGTCAGTTGATGTAACCTTTTTTGTGGTGGGACTTTTAGCCGCATCAACTTGAAGCGGTTTCATGTGTTTCTCAAAATCGCTGAACGGATATGGGGCCCGTCATCGCCCGGAAAAAGAAAGGATTTTGTATATTATTGAAAAACTTATAGTGTCTCAAAGTCATAGTGAAAATCATTGAACCCCCCATGTAAAGTACGAAATTCCAACGATAAAGCCCAGATTGATGCAAATTCTCATGGCTTAAAGCCGGTCAACTTGGGTGTTACCCGTGTTACCCCAACACCGCCCAGCTCCGCACCTTCAAGTTCACAGTGCCAACCTTACCTCAGAGATGTCTGAGGTGGCACACCAGCCATGCCTACCATCCCCAATGCCACTAGAAATGGATGGTGAAAATCATTTCCAAATGGATCCAAGGATCCAAATGGTAGGTTTATTCAGGTTATTCTTGGCTTTATTACCAGTTTGTCAAACATAAGAGTAATAAATGTTAAACCAACCCCATTTGGGTCCTTGAAAACAGCAACGAAAATACGGGCGAACAGCATTACACCATATTACACCCATCTACACCCAGCACACCTCGGGGACACCATGTGAATAGAGGGCTGGCAGGTGACCATCATAGCTGACCACCTCAATGTCGAAGGTCTCCAATAAGATGCTGCCACTGAAGCAGACCTGCCGCAGGTCACAGGTATCCCAGGTGCAGATACGAACCATGAGGACCACAAGCACGATAGTACCGCAAAAGTATATTATGCTTGAAAAAGAACAACAGTGATTTACATGTTCCTACTGGAATGACATTAAACATCAACCAAGTATTCCAAGCAAATACATCCAACATATTCCCAGATAATATGAAAATATCCCAACAAATCCTGAAGAACTCCTTAACTTCCACCAGCTTCCGCCGCCCCGCACCGGTTCCGTGGGCAAAGTGCCGCTGCCGGTGCACTGCACGGAGTCCACATAGACGCTTCCACCGTCGCCGCGGAGGGATGGGCTTCCGGAAGCCAGGAACCTCAGGTGCTCTGCCATCCAATCCCCAATTTGACAATAAATAGGTGGCAGAAACCATTCCCAAATGGTTTTATATGGCTTTATTGATGTTTATTGTTGTTTTAACCACAGGACAAAGATCTACATTTGCATAACTTGCTCGACTTGAACTCATGACGGTCACCATCCCAACCACTGAGCTCACCCACGGGAGCGCGAAGAACAGCACGCGAGCCATGGCCAATGAGACGATGATAGGCAGCAACGAGTTGTGGAAACTTGAGGCAGCGACACGCTGAGAGCCGAAGCGACGCCAAGGTGTGCCATGTGGTGCTTGATTGACACGGCCAAAAGCCGACATAGCAGAAACATCAGCAAACCTGGCACCTGGACCTGCCCCAGAAAACATCCAAAAGATTGCTTGCGCCTCATGACCATTCATTCGATGGAATGTCTTGAGGGGATTCCACAGAAAAGCAACTGTTTTTTGTGGGTTAAACCACCTTAAACCTGCAAAAAAAACCGTGGTTCTCCGCCAGTTTCCCTTCAACCAATCCATCAGCATCCACAAAATCCGCAAGACATGCCATGATGACCATAGGTTTTGAACTTCCCATGATAGGCTCAGCCCTGGAACCCGGTTTCCACTGGCCTTCGCTCCGCACGATGTCCTCCGCCGCCGCCGTGTAGGAGGAGTGTGGCATCCGATCCCACAGGGATGTCATGCCTCGAAGGGGATGGGATTGGAACAAAAATCCTCCGGGCCATGGCTTTTCAAAGCCACGTTTGACCGTTTTACCCGGGGAAATCTGGGGATTTTGGTGGGATTTCACCGCTGGAAATAGATCGATTTAGATCATTGAGCCCGGTCAGCCAAGATGCTGATAGCCATCTGCGTCCTCAACAAGTCCTGGCCCGGTGATGTGCGGGGCCTGGTTCTAGATGGCTGTCCATACTTCATGGAAGGAAAAATATGTGAGCAAATCTTGTATTTTTTGAATCATAAAACCCTATGAAACTATGAGTGAAAGATGTGAAACCCAGCTGCTTGGGAAACATCCTAGATAATCTAGATGATTATATTAGATTATATTAGATTATATTAGATTAGGCCCTGGATTATTGTAATATTATACCAATGAACCAACGCCCTGAACCCAAGCAACTGCCCAACCCAGGCTCTCCAGCGGGTAGGTCAGGGTGGTGGCTGTGGCTCCAGCGGCAGCACCCGCCACGAAGCGCATGAGGTACGGATGGGAGGCGCAGTAAGGCTCCAGCGCCTGTTGGTACCTGGCGCGCCATGGGGATCAAGGGCCCCCCGTGTGGCCTATGGTTAAAGGATGTTAAAGGCGATGGCGGAAAATCCATGAAAATTCACGGTGCTTTTTCTGGAAGATGGATGATCCATGAATGCTTCTTGCATTTGTTGAGAGCGGACCTGGAAGCAATGAAGAGAGAACATCTTGAATACAGTCAGTACTAGGCGTTCGCACGCACCTCTTGCCATACCTGAAAAAGATACTATTTTCCAAGTGAACATTTGCCAAAATCCATAAACCATCGACGAGCCACTGGTCAAAGGTCATGAACTGCAAACCAGCATAGGGCATCACCTGACGATGGGAATCAATGGTGCCAAGGCCAACTCCAGAATGGCTGTGGCAAACAAACTTGCAGTGCTCAAAAGCGCCCCAGCATCCAAATTGGACCAGGAAACCGACATTGAAAACCCATTGTGGTTTATTTGAATTTATCCAATGCCTCTATCATATCCATTTGGGTCCATTTAGGTCCAAAAATCCCCCAAAACTCCCAGTGCTTGGATCCATTTCTGGCACATTTGCCCCAGATGTCCAGGCTCACCTGCAAGATCACCGCCAAATTCCCGCGCCACAGCCCGAAGATGCCCTCGCGCCCCACGATGTCCATGCCGCGTTGGAAGAAACCTCTGCCAGGTGTGGGGACTGGGGGCCTCGAAAGTTGGGACGGGTTGAGTATGTTTTAACGTGTGGTGAAAATGATGTGAAAATATGGTTTTGGAGGTGGGAATGAACATGGGATGTTCCGACCCTTGGAAAATATTAGGAAAAATATGGAAAAATGAACCTTTGCCGCAACCAACCCCCGCGAAAAAACAGGACGGAATGTGTTTCTCAAGGCCCTCGATTTTCAGGATAGCATTTCAAGGCATGCGTCTAGATCTCTAACCCCCAAAGCTGGGCCCAGGAGGTTTTGGTGGTGGTACATATCACAACTAGAACATGCAACGGAAAAATGATGAAAAATGCCCAGGGTACGACTTAAGTTGATCTAATCGTGGACATGAGTGTCTCAGGATGTTTTTTTTAAAATCTGTCCGGGGCAAAAATTCTCAACATGCCAGAAGCAACGAGCCAGCTCACCTACCCAGCCAGGAACAGAATCACGCTAAAAATTGCAAGACCACGTGGATCATTCATCATATACCGCCTGGTCTATCTGGTCCTTGATGATTGATGATTCTTCATTTTCCTCACGATGATACTCCACAAATCCAACATGGATGGGCAGCCAACTGCCTGTTTTGTGCCAAGGCTATGATCCTCCGGAAAGTCTTCTGCAATGCCCGTGGCAAAAGGCTACAAGAGCTTTCAAAGCTCTCGCCAAATATTGACCAACTGCACACGGTGTCGCAGCAATGCCCGGGTGATCCCTATCTCTATTCAAGGGGGCCTTGTTTCGTAAGGACTCCTCCAGCTGGCTGTCGCTCCTTTGATTTCTCGAGATCTCCAGCCTGTCCACTCACTAAGCCCAATACATGAAGTGTTGCAGCAATGTCCGCGTGATCCCTACCTGCATGCAAGGATCGCTTCATTCTCAAGGACTCCTCCAGCTGCTGCTTCGCTTGCTCGAGATCTCCAGCCTGGCCACTCACCACGCCTAACTGATGAAGTATAGCAGCAATGTCTTCGTGATCCTTATCTCCATTTAAGTAGCGTGTCATTCGCAAGCATTCCTGCAGCTGCTGCTTCGCTCCCTTGAAATCTCCATCCTGACTACTCAGCAAGCCCAACCTATAAAGTGTCACAGCAATGTCTGGCTGATCTTGATATCTGCGTTCGTTCTGCAGCTCCAGCAGTTTGTCCTTCAACTCTTGCATTTGTGCCTCCGTCCCACCCCCAAAGTTCTCTTCAGAAAAGTCTGCCGCCTCAGCTTCCCCTAGTGTCTGTCTCGCCGTTGCTGCGGTAACACTTCCCTCAAGGCTGGCCTGATTGTGAGATTGAGCTGTCAGATGCGTGAAGGCAACTGACTCAGCGGCATGTGGACCCACCTCCTCAGGGGAAATCTCCATCGGCAGCAATGGCTGCAGCAGCTGCTCAGCTCTTCGACTGGCAGCAAGGACTCTGCAACACACTGATTGCCAGAGTGACCTTGCATCTACATGGGCCATATTCTCCGCAGATTCGCGAACTTCTGCAAAAACATCCAAGAGATTGTCCTCTTCCTGGTCCTGCGGAGTTCTATACGGGAAAGGATGAATGGAAAGATGTACTCAAAATGGCCTGCACTGCGGGGAAACACATGCATGCTGGCTCCGGGGTTCCTTGAAATCGATTTATACTTGCTAATTACATAGTTCAGGAATCAAAGGAGAATTCATATCTAATTGAATGATGTGGCCTGATGTGGCTGACCTGCTTTTGGTCTTCTTGGCTTCTGGAACCACTAGGTCACTAGGTATGGCCCACCCATGTCCGGGGTCCTGCATCTGTGGGTATCCTTGGCCTGCACCAAGCAAAGTTTGTATCTCCTTCGCAAGCTTCTGCATCATGGCTGCACATTCCCACATCTCAGCCGCCTGACCCTCACATTGATACGCCAACGCCCTGATGACCTTGAACTTCTCCACAATCCTAGATTCATAGGGTGCGAACATGAGCAGAAGGAACTACCCCTTGCAGGAGATGTTTCCCAAGTGTCATTTCTTCATTAGTTTCATGTAGTTTCATGGGCCGGATGGCCAAAAGACTGGCACTTGTTTCCAACATGATGCCGGGTTGGTCAGCTGAAATGTTCTCCAAGAATCTGTTCATCTATAGAGGGCTCTGCCATGGCGCTAGCTCACAGGAAAAGGTTCTGATTCCATGAAATTCCATGTGCTGAATGTTCCTATCGCTTCAAGATTGAACATGTGGAATTTAAGGCTGCAGCTGCTACCTGATCGATCCGGGAAAGGGTAGCTCCAAATGGCCCCATGTCAAAACAGTCACTGCTTGGATTCAACTCTGAATGAGCCAACTTGAGAAACCTTTCCCGGCTCCTCAAATCCAACGCGACAATCGAAATAGGTGTCAGAAAATCTTGACACTGAAGAGAACTTGCCAAAAATGTGGGCTGGGAGTTATTTATGGCGAACAAAATATCAAACCACAGTGGAACTCACTCACTACCAACAACTACAGTATCTTTTCTGGGATCAAGAACCAAAATCACTAAGTGGGATATTGACAAACCCCTACGAACCCCGCCTTGGCCATGTTTAACAGGAAACTTATCTTCCAGACCCCATGGGCCCCATGGGTAAGGGGTTCCATGTGATCCAGCTCGGCGAAGTCAGACCCGCCTCGCAGAGTAAAGCTCCGCTTTCTGTGCACCTGCCGGGGATTGCTTGGCCTCAAAGCCACACAATGCCCAACATATCAACGACAAAAAACACGACCAGAATGGAAAACAACATGACTTTTGGGCTAACAGAAGTGAGCCTGAGCTGAGGGGCAAGAAAAAGATTGCTGGTTGATTGCTTAAAGTCACACAATTCCCCAAAAATATCACGTGACTGGGATCATCGTTTATTTCTTTTGGGCTTCCCGGGGAATTTCATCGCGACCCTGCCACCCCACCGTTGGACTGCCTACAGGCCATATCCTGCCTGGAAAATCATCCGTATGCGATCCACGGGCGCTGTCATCGTCTTGCTGATCTGGCATGGCCGGTAGCAGCAAAGGTAATCAGTGAAAAAGATTCGAGCTGTGTTGGGATGATTTGGGGTGTCATAAAGTATGAATGTGTTTACCAGGTGCAGTTTGGTTCAGGGGGGTGTCCTGCAAAAAACAAAAATCGCAAAAGGGAACGGAATAGGTCTGAGACTGGTCCGTTGGGCTGTTCATTTCTGTCAGCAACCCGGCAAGAATCCTCAGCCATGAGATGATGGTTTAAAAATCATGGGAGAATCATAGGATGGTCCTTGGATAGTCATGGCATTTTGTTGCATGCGAGAGTGGGCTAGCAGCATACACTATGATCATTGTATATATATATATACATATACATATATATATATATATATATATATATATCAGTGTCATCATGGTCATTGTTAACAGTGTATGATATTGATTGATATTGTATGTTGTTTTCTGGTTTTCTTCTTCATATTGTTCATCATATTCTAATTATTGTTAACATTATTCTTGTCGCTGGTATCATCCGCCCTGAACGTGGTCATCCAAAGGAAAGCAATTCAGGCCGGAGCTTCCACCCCAGCCCCAGCACCGGCAAGGAGCAGTTCTCCTAGAGATCCAGCACTGGCGGGCTGTGCAATTGTATTGCTCTGCTGAAATGTCAGGTAGATCACGGTTACCTGGTTGATTTTGGTTGACTAATGAGATATATGAGACGTTTGTTGCTGGTTGATGGTTGGTATTGGCAATTAACTTTCCTGAGCTAATCCCTTGATAAATGCGTTCGGGTAATCATACAATATCATAAATGGCTTCCTGGAAAATCCCCCGTTGTTCACTGATTTCCCCGTTGATGGCCCATTTTGTTGGGGATAGCTGGGAGATTTCTCACTACGGCCATGTTTGACTACCAGGGGAGATGCAGGAGCTCATTATGCCACAAGCACCAACAGTTCTCCCTGCCAGAAGTGTCTTGTTTGGCACTACAAACCGTGCGTTCTGCGATGCTTCAGGATCTCCAGTGCCGAACAATCCTCGGTGCCGGTAGATCTCCATGAAAAAACTACAGCAAGTTGACACATCACGGCAAATGTTGATTCATTGTCCATTCTTATCCATTTCATTTCATTTAATTCCCTTTGCAGGATTGCTCCCAACATCCCAGATCTAATTCGTTTCAAGTCGTTTTCCAGTAATCCATCTTTAATCCATTTTGATCTATGTTCATCTATTTTCCATACACCACTCATCCACTAGCGCCTTTCCAAGCTACCGCCGGCAAGGTGAAGTCGCACTTCTCGCAGCGCCAGCGCGCCGGCATCGCTGCCGTCGTCTCGGGGGCTGCGCCGCACTCTGCGCGGTGCTGGGCGATGCCGTGGCGGTTCAAACGCAGCGTGCGTTGGCAGCTCGGGCAGAAGAAGGCCATGGCCAGGTGGTCCGAGACCTGGGATGGCAAGGATATGGCAAGGATGGGAACAGGGGCCTCAGGGGAAATTCACTGAGTTGAGTAAATGTCTCAATCTCGATTTTTTCCAGCTGAAATCAGCTCAAATTACTTAAATCATCCCATTGACCAAGCCGAGGGACCAGGGAGCTCTCGGGTTTCACCGCTGCCTCAGAGATGCTTCCGTAGTGGAGCCAGCTGTCACCTGCAGATCCGACATCCCACTTCTGAGATGTTTGGTGTGTCGCAGAAGTACCATATAGTGGAAATATTTGGGGGCAAAAATACAAGCCTAATGGTTTGGCCTATGTTATGTAATATGATGCAATATGAATCGATATGAATGTATCTATTCTATATATTATCTCCTTGTCATTTCACGTATAATTAATTATCACCGTTAGTTCACTTGGCAAATACTTGGGCAATTTGCCCTTCCTGAACACCCCGGCACCAAAAAAAACGGGCGACCTTTGAAAATCATCAACAGCACGACTCTCCTGGCCTGCGAAATCGGGTTCATCTGCCAGAGGGTCGTCGCAGCGGAAGGCCATGTACCTGGCTGAGCCAACCTAATCGCCCCCATAGCCCAACATGTGGAGCATCAGGAGCCATGTTTTGTTAAGGCTTCAACTTTGTTGAGATGGCTGATTTGACTACATATGAGATACCCTCTGGTAATTTAACATAAATAACTATTGAACATGGCCATTTATAGTTGATTTACCTATTAGACATGGTGATTTTCCATAGCTATGTGAGTTTACCAGAGGGCGTTCATGTGTGGACCATTTCTAATGGGGATATGGGCTAACTCCACCAAGGCGCTCATTCGGCATGAGCACCTGCCACTTAAACTCCCAGCTGCGTTGCCAGAAACCTAGGATCCTGCCAAGAGAGGTGGAGTTGAACTGTTGCAACTCCCATGACAGTCTCAGGAAAATGAATCTAAAGAATGAAATTCTATGAAAATATGGACAATATGTCTGAATATGTCACAAAAGCTCACACAAAGAATTCAAAGATTCAAAGATTCTCAACTTTTAGATTCCTGTCTGAAAGGCATCGTGAAATCACAAGTCTCAAACGGGATTGAGATCACCAGTCGTTGCACAAAGAGCCCACTGGCTACTGAAAATATGCATGTTCAAAATTCTAAAGTTTCAAGCTTCAGATATACATATATATATATACATATATACATACATATATATATATATTATGGGTGTGTGTGTGTGTGTTCATCCACATCCATGTAGGATTGGCGGCTTAGCACCTGGCATCAAACAGCATCAAATGTGGAAATCTCCCACCACTGGGCCACTGGGTCCTGACCACCAAATCCTGTCCCTTCAACGTCTTCACCGCGCTTCGCCAGCGCTGCGGCACCGTTCCAGCGCCCACACAGGGCGCGGTAGCTGCGCTCAGGTCGCTGCTGAGGCCGCCGTCGCTGAAGGCTTCGAAGAGGTCCAGAACCTCCTGGGATGGGATGAGGGGATTACTGGGGGTCAACCATCTACAGATTGGATCTTAATTTCTTATCATTTCTTATCAGGGTAATTAGAATGTAGGTCAGTTAGGTCAGTGATGATTGGTGATTGTCGATAAATGGGGATCAACCATCTATCATTGGGATTTGAGACAGGGTTTTGCAAGCAATAACGAATCCCAGGGAATGATTGGCGTCAGTATGTGCCCCGGATGCTAAGATCAAGCAACAACGATGCATGCCAAAAGCCTTCAATTATTGTGGTAAATATCCATCAATTAGGAGGTTGCTGCTTGCCAACCATCCATCAGCGAATGGGAACGACCGTCAACTACAGGATGGGTTTATCTGAACCATGCACCAATGACCAAGTGATCTATCTGAACAACTGAAGAACCATGATCAGCAATGGGGGTCAATATGTTTACATATGTTTACCATGTCCGTAGGTGCAACGATCACTTGATATCAACCATGGGTGCAATGCTAAGAACCTCATGGTACCTTCTACCATCATGTCGGATCCACCATGATCTGGTGCCTGATCTAAACTCTGTTGGAGAGAGCGTCGAAGTACGATCGCATCTTCCTCGGACACCGTTTTTGTGCGCGCAACGGGACCTTCATGGTGAAAAGGCATATCATACCATCGCATACTACGGAACTGTCCATGTTCGTTTATAGTTTCTATATATATATATATAATGATTCAGAACATGCAGATTTCATAATTATCACAATATATCACAATGCTTGTTTGCACATGCGACAGGAAGAAGATCAAACTGGAATCCTGTGAGCGACGAGGCTTTTCAATGATTGTGCTCGAATTTAGATTGTCATTTCGAAGTGGAACGGTCTCCTTCCAAACCGAATCCATGTGGCAAAACCAACAATAAACTTACCGTTTGGGAATGATCTGTTCCACCCATGGTAATATTTGGGATCTTTCTCCATTGGCACTTGCACAAAAAACAACATGTATACTGTATACATATATATATATATACAATATGTATATAATCAAAGGAAGTTTAGGGGGAGAAACTTCCGTGTTACGGACTTTTAGAATGTCAGGGAAAGAGTTAGTCAAAGAAAGAGTTAGTGAGGGAAAGAGTTAGCAAAGAAACAGTTAGTCAAAGAAAGAGTTAGTCAAAGAAAGAGTTAGTCAGGGAAAGAGTTTGTCAAAGAAAGAGTTAGTCAAAGAAAGAGTTAGTCAAAGAAACAGTTAGTCAAAGAAAGAGTTAGTCAAAGAAAGAGTTAGCAAAGAAACAGTTAGTCAAAGAAACAGTTAGTCAAAGAAACAGTTAGTCAGGGAAAGAGTTAGTTAAAGAAAGAGTTAGTCAAAGAAAGAGTTAGTCAAAGAAACAGTGAGTCAGGGAAAGAGTTAGTCAAAGAAAGAGTTAGTGAGGGAAAGAGTTAGTCAAACAAAGAGTTAGTCAAAGAAACAGTTAGTCAGGGAAAGAGTTAGCCAAAGAAAGAGTTAGTCAAAGAAACAGTTAGTCAGGGAAAGAGTTAGTCAAAGAAAGAGTTAGTGAGGGAAAGAGTTAGCAAAGAAACAGTTAGTCAAAGAAAGAGTTAGTCAAAGAAACAGTTAGTCAGGGAAAGAGTTAGTCAAAGAAAGAGTTAGTCAAAGAAAGAGTTAGTCAGGGAAAGAGTTAGTCAAAGAAAGAGTTAGTCAAACAAAGAGTTAGTCTAAGAAACAGTTAGTCAGGGAAAGAGTTAGTCAAAGAAAGAGTTAGTGAGGGAAAGAGTTAGCAAAGAAACAGTTAGTCAAAGAAACAGTTAGTCAGGGAAAGAGTTAGTCAAAGAAAGAGTTAGTCAAAGAAACAGTTAGTCAGGGAAAGAGTTAGTCAAAGAAAGAGTTAGTCAAAGAAAGAGTTAGTCAGGGAAAGAGTTAGTCAAAGAAAGAGTTAGTCAAACAAAGAGTTAGTCAAAGAAAGAGTTAGTCAGGGAAAGAGTTAGTCAAAGAAAGAGTTAGTGAGGGAAAGAGTTAGCAAAGAAAGAGTTAGTCAAAGAAAGAGTTAGTCCAACAAAGAGTTAGTCAAAGAAACAGTTAGTCAGGGAAAGAGTTAGTCAAAGAAAGAGTTAGTGAGGGAAAGAGTTAGCAAAGAAACAGTTAGTCAGGGAAAGAGTTAGTCAAAGAAAGAGTTAAAACTCTAGGATCGTTCCCTCACTGTAAATGGCATTGCAAGTGGTGCTGGTGGATGAGTTGCCGATGGAGTTGTGAAGGAAGTCTCGCACGAAATGCGTTTTTGAGAGATAGCAGATGCACGAAACCCTATGTTTTTCCATACAAAGTGCGTCCCCGAACCTCGATGATCTACCTCTGCGGTGCGACGGGTGCGAGACGGTCTCGTGTGTGGTCGGATCATGGGCGGATCATGGGCGGATCATGGGCGGATCATGGTCGGATCGGTTCCGCATTGTAAATGGGGTTTCAACTGTTTTTCGTGCACGTGTGGTCGACAGAATTCCATTGTGATTTGCAACTGTAGGATCGTTCCCGCATTGTAAATGGGGTTGCAAGTGGTGCTGGTGGATGAGTTGCCGATGGAATTCCATTGTGATTTGCAACTGTAGGATCGTTCCCGCAATGTAAATGGGATTGCAAATGGTGCTGGTGGATGAGTTGCCGATGGAGTTTTGAAGGAAGTCTCGCACGAAATGCGTTTTTGAGAGATAGCAGATGCACGAAACCCTATGTTTTTCCATACAAAGTCCGTCCCCGAACCTCGATGATCTACCTCTGCGGTGCGACGGGTGCGAGACGGTCTCGTGTGTGGTCGGATCGGTCTCGGATATTCTCGGATCATGTTCGGATCGGTTCCGCATTGCAAATGGGGTTTCAACTGTTTTTCGTGCATGTGTGGTCGACAGAATTCCATTGTGATTTGCAACTGTAGGATCGTTCCCGCAATGTAAATGGGATTGCAAGTGGTGCTGGTGGATGAGTTGCCGATGGAATTCCATTGTGATTTGCAAGTCTAGGATCGTTCCCTCCCTGTAAATGGTTGCGTCAAGGTTCCTTCGTGCTGTGGCTGCATTGGTAATACTATTGTCTTTTGCAGCTGGACTTCGTAAATCGTATTGGAGTGGCTGCATGAAGGCTGCGACATTGATTTGTCAGCAGATTTTCTCCATTTTGGCGCCAGTGAGTTTCTTTTTAAAAATTCTTTTAAAAAGTGCTTCAAAATCGTCTTTTTTTTCGCTCTGGCGTCGAGATCCGGTTTTGGAGCTACAATTTCCGACGCCGTTGTGCGTAGTTCTATTGTGTTTTGCAACTCAGTCTCTGCAGATCGCATTGTAATGGCTGCGTCAAGGTTGCTTGGTGCCGCGGCTGCATGCGCAATACTATTGTCTTTTGCAACTGGACTTCGTAAATCGTATTGGAGTAGTTGCATCAAGGGTTCGACAGTGATTAGTAGTAGTGCTGGGAATTGATTAATGAAAGCTTAATAGATGACATATGAGAAGGGACGAAATGAGAAGAGATGAGCTGGGATAAGGTGAGAAGAGCTCAGATGAGATGAACTGTGGAGTGTGAAGAGTGTAGTGTGAAATGTGGGGCGTGAAGAGTGCAGTGTGAAGTGTGAAGTGTGAAGTTTGGAGTGTGAAGGAAGCAGTGAGAAGTGAGAAGTGTGAAGTGTGGACTGTGAAGTGTGGAGTGTGAAGTTTGGAGTGCAAAGAGTGCAGTGTGAAGTATGGAGTGTGAAGAGTGCAGTGTGAAGTGTACAGTGTGAAGGAAGCAGTGGGAAGTGAGAAGTGTGAAGTGTGGAGTGTGAAGTTTAAGTTTGGAGTGCGAAGAGTGGGTGTGAAGTGTGAAGTGTGAGGTTTGGAGTGTGAAGGCAGCAGTGAGAAGTGAGAAGTGTGAAGTGTGGACTGTGAAGTGTGGAGTGTGAAGTGCGAAGTGAGAAGTGTGAAGTTTGGAGTGTGAAGGAAGCAGTGAGAAGTGTGAAGTGCGAAGTGTGAAGTGTGAAGTTTGGAGTGTGAAGTTTGGAGTGGGAAGGAAGCAGTGAGAAGTGAGAAGTGTGAAGTGTGGACTGTGAAGTGTGGAGTGTGAAGCGCGAAGTGAGAAGTGTGAAGTTTGGAGTGTGAAGGAAGCAGTGAGAAGTGAGAAGTGTGAAGTGAGAAGTGTGAAGTGTGGACTGTGCAGTGTGGAGTGCGAAGAGCGGAGTGTGAAGTGTGAAGTGTGAGGTTTGGAGTGTGAAGGAAGCAGTGAGAAGTGTGAAGTGTGGACTGTGAAGTGTGAAGTGTGAGTGAAGTGTGAGTGAAGTGTGGAGTGCGAAGTGCGAAGTGAGAAGTGTGAAGTGTGAGTTTTGGAGTGTGAAGTTTGGAGTGGGAAGGAAGCAGTGAGAAGTGAGAAGTGTGAAGTGTGGACTGTGAAGTGTGGAGTGTGAAGTGCGAAGTGAGAAGTGTGAAGTGTGAAGTGTGAAGTTTGGAGTGTGAAGGAAGCAGTGAGAAGTGAAAAGTGTGAAATGTGGAGTGTGAAGTGTGAAGTGTGAAGTTTGGAGTGTGAAGGAAGCAGTGAGAAGTGAGAAGTGAGAAGTGTGAAATGTGGAGTGTGAAGTGTGAAGTGTGAAGTGCGAAGTGAGAAGTGAGAAGTGTGGACTGTGAAGTGTGAAGTGTGAAGTGTGGACTGTGAAGTGTGAAGCGTGAAGTGTGGACTGTGAAGTGTGAAGTGTGCAGTGTGAAGTGTGAAGTGTGAAGTGTGAGGTTTGGAGTGTGAAGGAAGCAGTGAGAAGTGAGAAGTGTGGAGTCTGAAGTGTGGAGTGTGAAGTTTGAAGTTTGGAGTGCGAAGAGTGCAGTGTGCAGTGTGCAGTGTGAGGTGTGGAGTGTCGAGGGAAGGACACGGTCGGGACAGGGTGTCTTTGAACTATAGGTCATTTATGTTTGGGAAACTTCCGCCGCCGGCTTGCCCGGGTCTATGTTATGTATATAATATGTGTGTGTGTGTGCGTGTGTTTTTGTTCTAGGGGTTCCACTGCACATTTTCCGAGAGGGAGTAGCCTCAAAACCCTGCCAAGCTTCGACCAAGCACTGCACATCATCTCCATCTTCGAAACATAGCTGCAGCCACTGGTCGCAGATTAACATCCTCACGAAATGGGCAGGTCTTAGCCTTCCAAACCCAGGGGCAAAATTTCTGATAGTGTGAGGGGGGGCAAAACTTCTGATAGTGTGATGTGATTCTTTGCAGTAACACCTATTTGATCCTAATTGTATGTATTTCTGGTGGAATTCTGGACTTTGGAATGGTTTATAATTGGGACATGGAGCTGGGTAAATTGTAATAATTCACTAACCTGAAATAAGGCTATCTTGGGGGATGATTCCTGTTATTAACCATGATTCCAGTGAGGTCGCAGTGAGGTCGCTATAATTTACCCAGATGGAGGCAAAAAGGCTCTGTCACAAGCAACGCCCATCAGAGGTCATGTCACACTCTCATTCTATGCAACAACAGGTTATCAAACCACACCTACCCCATCCCACGAAATGAAAGAACTTAGTGGCCTACTTTAATGGGAAACTCATTGGTGTTTGGAAATGTTCAATCGAGACCACCAAGACTTCCATTGTTTCCAAAGCATCACCTGGCCCATTCCCACCCTATCACCCCCCAAGCTCATCCTGCAGTTATTGGTCACATCCACCCGGGCTGCACACAGCAGCACCACCGGCACCACGGGACAGCGCGTCACGTGGGTCATGAAGGGTAGATGCGTCTGCAGAATGCTGCCGTAAGCCAAGGCATCATGAGGCCCCAGCAAGGTCTGAGAATGCAGCTGCGGTGAGTGACCCCTTGGGATATAGTGGAACTTACCACTTTAGAAACGAACCACTTGCTACCTTCAATAGCCAACGCATGCATGTTAATACCCCGAACCTAGTATCATATTCGACACTATCCAGTGTCTTGTGGTGCCCCAAGCGCTCGTAGTAAATCCAGCCCTGAAGGGCGACAGGCCAAGGTACGGGCAATTGAGGGTATAAAACCTTGGCTGCAAAGCTTGTTGCCAAAACTTCCTAGCATGCACACCTCCCCCAAAAAACATGCTCTGAAGGACCCGGTCAGAAGTGGTGTCTCTCTCTCTCTCTCTCTCTGTGCGGATCGAAATTTGATCATGAGGTCCACAAGAGTATATTCCAACCTTTCTTTGCCATCGTGGCAAATCCCCGGTTACTCAGCTATGCTAGCTCCTTAAGGGAAGAAAACACAGCATGTTGCAGCACCAAGCTACACTACTGGGATGGAGGTTCACAAACGGCACGTGCCGCGTGTGGAAGACGCACTCGGCGCTGCAGCGCTCGCGGTTATTCTCGCTGGGCAGTGCGAGGTTGGGATAAAACGCCAAGGCGACCACCAGCTGCAGCAACTCTTCCTGTTGACCTGGAAAGCCAAGACCCCGAAAAAATGTGGAGCTTGAACCAGGGATCAAACACTGGTTTCTTCTAAGTAGAAATTGGGGGGTTGAACCAACCATGGGGATCTCGGAATCTGTTCCCAACCCACGGAAAGACTGAAAGATCGGTGGAATTGAAGCAGCGAAGGTTGGGGGTTTGACAACAAAAGGGTCCACAATGGCTGCCCGCGCCTGTCAGCGTCTCAAGGGCTTTCATGGTGTGCCGATGGTTGCCATAGCGCAGCTCGAATTCCACGTTCCGGCGCCGCATCCTCTCCGCCAGGCCGTCGTTCTCGGGAAGCCGCACCTGGGCTTGCAGCAACCAGATTTGGCCAACAAATATGGCTTTGAGCAAGTGGACAAGCCCAAACTCCAGTCATCTGAGTCCCAGTGGACAAGCTATTCATCAGTTCTGAGTTCCCAGTTCTGGCACAACCCCATCTCTCCCTGGCACCACAACCGCTACAACCGCGCCTTTGACGGCTTCGCCTTGGCGACCTTGCGGCGCTTGCGGCGGTTCAGCTCGCGATTGAAGTTGCCCTCACCGCCGCTGGCATTGGCCACGTCCTGAAAATTGGCTGAAGGGCCGAAGGCTTTAAAAATCGCGATAAATTTTAGATCCTATATTAGGGCTTCTTGCTCCAGACAATGTTGGTCATGTGCCTTTGGAACGGAATGGGTGATTGAAAGAGATTAGATATTATTATTATGCAAAATGATAAAAACATGATGAAATTCCGTCCCCTTCAAATTCAATAATGTTAACATGATTTAACATGATTGAATTTGAAGGGGACATCACATGTCTCTGTCCTCTCCATCACTGCCATAAAAGTCACGGTCTTTCACAGAGTAGCCCAGGCCACGTTCGTCCTGGCACGGGAAATGATCCGCTGCTGGAGGCAGCGAAGGCACATGACTGAGAACTATGCCCAAAACTCAATCACTACAGGTCTCTACAATGCCATTACCATCAAAAAGCATGCAAAGAAACATCTACATCTGGTGAAATGTACAAGTACCGTACTTGGGGTGAGAGAGAGAATCGGAGACAAAGAGAGAATGAAAGAGAATAAGGGAGGGAGCGACATACATACTTCTGAATGCAACGTCTAGTACAAAGAAAAATGTCAGTGTCGTAATAGATGTTTGTCTGCTTTGCAGACTTGTTTCTGCCCTCCACTCTTGGGTTGGCCCTTTTTGCTTGAGAGGGTGGCGCTCTCTCCCACCAACCACATAGATCTCAAGGTATCATAGATCATCATAGATCTTAAGTCTTAAAGATTCTTAAAACATCATGAAACAGTTATATACCGTATACACTAAACATATTAAACCATCCATCACCCACCTCCGATTTCCCCCGACATGTGCTCCTCGGCTAAGACGCCGTCCCCATCTTCAAACTCCAGGCGCCTGCGCTGCCGCGCCGCCTCGCGGGACTTCAACTCCTGCCATCAGATGGGTAGCAACAACACAACCGATGGATCCAAGAGACTACAGTAGGGTGGATTTATGATGATTTGTGATAGTTTATGACCATCTATGATGATTTATGATGGTTGATGATGATTCTGGTTTATTGTGCCGGCTACAAGTTCCATTTACTGGGAACCAGCTCACTCAGTCGCTCAGTTGCCACTTACAGTTGCACAGTGAAGCAAGCTCCATAAAATTCTTATCATTGGTATTTCGCACCACGAGCTTGGTCAGGAATGATCCAAACCTGTTCCCAAGGAGGGCAGCGGCCCAAGGAGGTCCTCGAGCTCCATCTCCAGGGCTTTCCGCTCCTCACCAGACAGTCTGCCATCCAACTGACCCATTCTCTCCTGGCGAAGGCATCAGAAACGGGACATGACTTGTTGGAAAATCCTCATTTATAGATGGTCTCATTAAAACCCCAGTCAAATCCCATTGAAACCCCATTAAGATCCCATTGAAACCCTATTGAAACCCCATTAAAACCTCATTCAAACTGGGATTTTCAAATGCCACATTTGATTACCACAGGCCAATATATGGTGCCCAGGTAGCGCCTGCAGCCGGGCCATCCGCATCTTCCGCAGCGCCGTGCCGAGCCCGGTGCCGCCATCACTGCCACGGCCGGCGCCGTCGCGGAGCAGGTCGCAGAGCTGGATGTTCATCCTGGGTGATCCAAAAGCATAAAAACTGGTGGAACATGGTGGAACTGACAAGCAGAAAGATCCTTTTTTGGGGGGGTTGAGTCAAAAATATTCAAAATCGTCATGAGCAGAGGTGGCTCGTGTTGGCTCCCGGCCATGTCACTTGTTCACTTCAAATAGCAGCCGCTCATCCAGGCCATGCTCGCGGCACCAGCGCCGGCTCCGCGCATCGCTGCCGCCCTCGCAGCGGCTGCGCTCGCGCAGCCAGCTCTGGTAGACCCGCAGCGTGGTGAAGAGATCCCCACGGCGGTGATCAAAGTGGCTGCGTCCTGGCGCCCCCTCGGGATGACCGAAGGGATGACCGAAGGGTCCAATGATGTGGAAAATGACCTCCCGTTTTTGAGTAGTGAACAATTCTAGCTTCTGAGCTACTGATTTGGATGGCAAACTCTACTGATTTGGATGGCAAACTCTTGTAGCAGATCGTTGTGCAATAGTTTTCCGACATCAAAGGCCAACCATTTCCCCAGGTTTCAGGGCACCTCCCTGGCGTTCCCCCTGCTTCTGCACCCTGGGCGAATGCAGGCCATACGCCGAGGCCAGCACTACAGCAGAGCTCTGAACTCCAAAAACCAGCGACAGCAGCAGCAGCTTGCCTTTCCAGGAGCTGCTGGAGTCATGTTGATGAAAAATGATGAACATATCTTGCACTTTTGGGGGTGTAAAATATGTAAAATGGTAAAACAACCTTATAGCAAAGTCCAACAATTGAATTGATGGAAAACGAAAAATCCGTGCATTTCTTGCAATGAGTCTGAGTTATCCAAGCACAAAAAAATAGGAGCATCCAACAATTATGGGAAAACCATGGGAAACCCTGGGTCCACCAACGTGACGGATCTCATTTTTCCCGTTTCAGTACCTATTTGGGACGCATGGAATGCCCCACTTCCAAACCCGAAAATTGATGTTGACCGATTTGGGCTACCTATTTGGATGGTGGGAAGCCACCATGGAGAAATAACAACAAAAAAGTGAAACGATTGGGAGACATTGATTAAAACATTTGACATAATGGTGATGATATACAAGCAGTATGTCGTGTAGAAAAGCGGGGTGTCACTCCCCTACGCCAATCCCCACACTTTGGGACATCCGCTACGTCCATCCCTGAGGTGTAATGAGTTTGGATAAAAAGGATGCAATGGACATACAACATTGACCGTTTTTCGTGCCGAACAATCCAAATTTGGGACTGGTATGGGCTGGTAATTTCGCAAAAACTAACCCATACCAAAAAAAACACTTGGCCGTGGTTTGATTCGTCAACCAAATGGCCGTGGTTTTGCGATGACCCCCAAATGGTTTAACATGGTTGGGTGTGACTTATGGATGTTTATTGATTAAAGCGATTAAAGTTTAGCATGTTCATCTTGAGCTATAGCCGCCCCGTTTCCTGAACCCACCAGCTCTGCAGGGCACCTACACCCACGTCCACTGGCAGCCGTGACAGCACTCGACCCAAGGGGGTTAACGCCAACAACAGCCGAGGTGTGGAAGTGGACGAAACCAGACCTGGCTGTTGAACCCAAATACACACATGGCTGGGATGCTCTGGGGGCATAGGTGGGCCTACAATTTTGGCAATATTTTTCGTTGACATTTTTTCCCTATGCAGCGTCTTGAATAACCAATTGCAACTATACAAGTACCATGATTTCAAAATCGAAATACAAATCAGGCCTGCGATGCTACCCCATCCAACCACAATGCCACTTTCCATCTGCGAGGGGTGTTCGAGAAATTACCATCTGCAACAACCCGGGGTTTGACCCAAAAATCGGTTGCCAGAAACGCAAATGATCCAAACTCTTCCCCAGTTGGACTTCCAGTTTTTTGAGGTTCCCGCCCACATTTCCATAGATTTGCATCCATATGACCCAAATCCGCCCAGCCACCCAAGTTCTGCAGCAATGAGATCTCTGCCTGGCGTCGCCCGAAACTGGCGCTCCAACCCGCTCCGTTGCCATCCGCATCTTCCACCAGCGGCTCAGTTTCGGGGCGAGGCTCTGGCGGGGGCAGCTCCAAGGCCTTCCAGTCCTGCGCTTTGGAGGAGAAAAACCTCACATGGTGATCTGGGGGGATAAAAAAAAAAATTGAAAGATCTATGCCTTGGAAAATCGATTCTTTGGAAATCTATTGGAAACGCTGTGGGAATCGGACAACGATATTCTTGTTGGGCTTTAGGTCAGAGCTGCTGAAGCTTTCGGTGCCATGTCTGGAATGAGCCCGTGGCTCAGCGCCAAATCCCCCCCCCTGGCCCTGCATGCATCCCACATCATCCCACGGTCAAACGACACATTTTTCGCCAGCATCTGGTTCTGCTGTCTTCGGTCGCTGAGCAGATTAATTAATATACTACGCTGATTGTTTGATACTTTGGGAGTCAAGCAGCGCACAAATCAAATGCTTCCGTCTCCCCGCAAAGAGCGATGAAGTATGATGAATTTGCATTGTCAAAATGGCCACGACCCGCCTGTCATATCCTGCCATAATTCATACTAACATCTGGTTGGTTCCAAGTGTATGCCGACCCAAGATGTTACAAGTCGGGATGATTCATGTCCGCATGCAGTGCCTCGATCATTCGCCTGGACTCGTTCAGCTGCATTTCTCTCCGCTGCTTCGCCATACCTAAAGCGTGGCACGTGGCAGCGATGTCCGGATGATCTCCAGCATCCCCGCGAAGGCAACGATTCATCTCCAAGGATTCCTTCAGCAAACGCTGGGCTTCCTGAAATTCCCCAATCTGTCGGTTCAGCTGGCCTAAATCATGCAGTGTTGCAGCAATGCCAGGGTGATGCCTGTCACCATGCAAGGCAAGCTTCATTTGCAAACACGCCTGCAGGTGTAGCTTTGCTTGATTGAAATCTCCAGCCAGTGCATTCACAACACCCAACGCGTGTAGTGTCTTCGCAATGCCAGGGTGGTCCGCCTCCCAATGCATGGACTGCTTCATTTGCAAGCACTCCTCCAGGTGCAGCGTTGCTTGATCGAAATCTGCAGTCTGCCCACTGACAACACCTAATGCGTACAGAGTCGCGGCAATGTCAGGGTGGTCTCTATCCCCATGCAAGGAACGAATCATCTGCAAGGCCTCCTCCAGGTGCTGTTTGGCTTGGGTCATATTCCCCAAACGTCGACTCAGAAGGCCTAACTCATGCAGAGCTGCAGCAATCTCGGGGCAATGTTGGTCTCCGTACAACGAACGCTTCATTCGTAGGGACTCCTCAAGGTGCTCTTTCCCTTGGTGGGCATCTCCAACTTTCAAAGTCACCAGGCCTAAAACATAAAGTGTTTCAGCAAATTCGGGATCGCTGCTGTCGCCATACAACTGGCGATACATTCGCAAGGACTCCTCCAAGTGCCGCTTTGATGACTCGAAATCTCGTGCCTGTCGACTAAGCTCCCCTATTTCACGTAGAGTCGCAGCAATGTCGGAGTGATCCCCATCCCCATACCAAGAGCGAAACATATGGAAGGACACCTGCAAGTGCCGCATTGCTGAGTCGAAATCTCGGACCTTTCGGCTGACAACCCCCAACGAACGCAGTGTCAGAGCAAATTCCGGATGACCACTGTCGCCATACAATGCGCGATACATTCGCACCGACATCTCCAGGTGTCGCTTTGCTGAATCAAAATCTCCCCCCTGCCGTTCCACCTCGCCAAGTTCACGCAAAGTCTCAGCAATGTCAGAGTGATCCCCATCCCCATATAGGGAGTGAAACATTTGCAAGGACTCCTCTAAGTGCTGCCTTGCGTGATCGAGATCTCCAGCTTTACGACCCACCACACCTAGGGATCGCAGTGCCACAGCAGTTTCAGACGGATCTCTCTCTGCGCACAATGATCGTAATCGTCGCAAGGATACCTGTGGGTGTTTCGACTGCTTGATGACCAGATCTCCATCTTCATTCTCCGAACCTTGCAGGATTGGGGGCCTCTCATACCAACTCAAAGGGAGAGAGGAAAAAAACATTGCCACATTCTTCTGAATAATTACTTAGTTTCGAGTTGGTAGTTGTTTCCACACAAAACGAGGCGCTTTGTGGACACCGTCAATGTACTGCAATGTCTTGTGTATATGTTTTATATATACATATATATATATATACATTATATATATATGTGTGTATGAATGTATATATATATACATATACATTCATATAAATATATAACTATATAACTATATAATATTATATATATACATATTCTTATTTTTGTGTGTGTTTATATGTTTGTGTGTGTGCGCGTGTATGCTTATTTCTTTGTTTTTTATTTATTTGTCTATTTATTCATGCTGTTATTTCTTTATCTATTTACTTCTTGTATTTATTTATTAAATCTATCTATTTGTGAGTCATTTATGAATGTATTTATTCATGCATTTATCTATTTGAGGAAAAAAGTACACGTAATACATATCTCCAAAAAGGGGCTTGTTACGACCATGCGAATTCATGCAAAATCCTTCCTTCAACCTTCAGTAAAGAAATCCAACAATTGATTTCCCTTACCATTTCTCATCTGCACTTTATTTGTCTGAAAACCCACGTTCTGAAAGGCACCGGCCATTCAGCAGCAAAGATGTTTTGCATGCATCATGTGCCGGAGTAGTCTAGAGTCTAGAAGCAAAAGTAACAATGGTTATGGAGCTTTGGAGTTACATTCCTGCAATGGCCACGGTTGAACTAGGGTTTGTAAAAATAGCCTCCAGGACAAGCAACCCACAGCAATGGATACAAAAGATACACATCTATAAACCAATGTGATGAAACAAAGGTGCAGCACAACTCCAACACATCAAGACACTACACACCTGGACCCCAAGTGAAAATGAGAACCCTCTGTAAAGTGCCAAGTGACCAGATATCGTCGACCCGCCAGATCTGCCAGAAACATCAGAAACCGCACTGTCGGGGCTGGCCAAAGAGCGCATAATTCGGAGGGACTCGTCCAAGTACTCTTTCGCTGCTGTTGTGTCCCCGGCCTGTTGGCTCACCTCACCTAGCTCACGCAGGGTCAAGGCAATACCAGAGCTGTCCTCATCTCCGCACAAGCAACGCGTCATCCGGAGGCACTCCTCCAGATGCTGCTTCGCATGTTCCAAATCTCCAAGCTGTCGAGCCACCACACCCAATGCATGCAGGGTCGCGGCAATATCAGTGCGATCGTCTTTCCCATGCAAAGAGCGCAACATCTGCAAGCACGCTTCCAAATGCTGCTTTGCCTCATCTAGGTCTCCAGACTGCAGGCTCGCTTGACCCAAAATTTGGAGCGTCGCAGCAGTTTCAGGACAAGTTCCAACCCCATACAACGAGCACTTCATCTCCAGTGATTCCTGCAGATATTGCTTTGCTGGCGCAAAATCTTTAGCCAGTAGACTCGCCTGGCCCAACTCACCCAGCACTGCAGCAATATCAGGATCCGCCCTGTCCTCCTTATTCAAAGAGCGCTTCATGTCCAAAGATTCTTCTAGGTTCTGCTTCGCGTGATCTAAATCTCCAGCCAATAGACTCACCTGGCCTAAGGCACGAAGTGTGGCAGCCATTCTTCTATGATCCATGTCTCCATACACTGAGCGCATCATTGACAGGTACTCCTCCAGCAGCTGCCTCGCACGCGGAAAATCCCCAGCTTTCATATACACCATGCCACACGGGTAGAGGAGAAGCTTTTGGGCTTGTTCAATGGCAGACCTGATCCTTCCACAAGCTACCACCCAAAGGCCTTGTGTAGTGGCCACGGCGGAAGCACAGCCACGAACTACTGCGAACATGTGATAGACGTCACCATCGGACAGATCCTTCCACTCCTGGCAGTAGACAAGAACAATGATGCCCCTTGCTCGAGAGACAAAGGGAACAGTGGCAAACAAAACGGCGAAAAAAAAAACACAACAGCTACATTTGGTCTACATCTAATGTCGGAGGCAGTGTGATTCTGGCAATGCTCCGGATAACCCAATAGTTCCAGAATTCGGCTAACAAATGAAGTTTCTGGCATGTTCTAGCATTCTAGCCATCCCAGAACATACCAGAACACACCCCTCCACGAGCACATCTAAGACACCCCTCACGTCCTGTCTTGGAGATCCTCCCTCTGTGGCATCTCCCAGCTCTTTCAGGTCTTCCTGGATCTTCATGACCATTCCCAGGATCGCGGACAAGCTACTCTGCCTGGTGGTTGGGGCAGTCCCCTGAAAAAACCTGATTTAGCCGCTTGGGATTATCATCCTGAATGGGGTTGAACAGAAAATATGAATCAGTTGGGATCATCATCCCATTTCTGGGCATGAAAATTAAAAACATGAAACAGATATATAGTATCTGCAACACAACCAACTAGCTCTGATATTCAAAGGTCATCTTAAGGGATGATTTCAGCATGGGCGAACGACCAACGAGCTGCATATACAGCGCATCTTCCACCAGCACCGCATCGTCGGGCCGCTCGTGGCAAGCTAAGTCTCCGATCACTTGAAACTGGGCAGCAATCCTCAGCGAAAGGGTGGGATACCATGGGTAGTGGAAATTCACGAGGACTGGGGGCAGGAAAAGATCACGCCTTGATGATGATGATGATGATCATCATCATCATCATCATCATCATCATGATCATCATGATCATCATCATGATCATGATCATGGTGATGGTGATGGTGATGATGATGATGATCATGATCATGGTGATGGTGATGATGATGATGATGGTGATGATGATCATGACCATGATCATGATCATGATCATGGTCATGGTGATGGTGATGGTGATGATGATGATGATGATCATGATCATGATCATGATCATGATCATGACCATGACCATGATCATGATCATGATCATGGTCATGGTGATGGTGATGATGATGATGATGATGATCATGATGATGATGATGATGATGATGATGATGATCATGATCATGACCATGATCATGATCATGATCATGGTCATGGTGATGGTGATGATGATGATGATGATGATGATGATCATGATCATGATCATGATCATGACCATGATCATGATCATGATCATGGTCATGGTGATGGTGATGATGATGATGATTATGATGATGATGATGATGATCATGATCATGATCATGATCATGATCGTTGATATATGATATATTGATATATTGATATATTGATATATTGATATATTGATATATTGATATATTGATATATATTGATGCATTGTGATGTTCAGGTATCAAGGCAGGCTTCAGCGAAGATCTGCTGGTGAGGCCTACGGGCCCCCTACGTGGCCCCCTGCGTTGCATCCAAGATACTTCAGTTCCAGCTAACTTTGTGCCATAGCTTCACGGAGTCTGGCAAGCTGCTCTGCCAATAGTTTACATGATCCATTTATGATGAATGGATTTACAGTACCACTTCGGATTCTCTGAAATGATTCTGACATGTTCGGTGCTGCATTCTTTGATCTGCGTTCCCGAATTCAGGACATCGCCTCCGTTGCATCTCATCAAAATGCATAGCATGGATTTCCGACATTGAAGTCTTGAGAGTCAAAGGCATGACACATCAAGGACGGCCATATGGACGGCCGTGCTTGCCGGGCACACCCGGTATTACGCGTCCATTGGGCTCTTCAGCTCTCTGGGGTTTTGAACATCTCAAAATGCCTGGCTCCTGAGCTATTCCAATCTCTATGGCCAGCACTTGCTGTCCCATAATTTTGCTGTTCAGGAAAACGGAAAGCCCTCCTGTCCATGCGCAAAAACAAATCATTCAAGTTCCAACGCGTTCCTGCAAATGAATTTCCATTGTACTCGCTTAAAACCCAAATTGTGTTGGGTTTGCCCAAACGAAAAATGTCATAAATCATATCAATATAAATCATCATTACATCAATTATATACATCCTAATCATCCATCATAAAGTCCACATGTTCCATGATTTTCTTCGCCTTTTTTTTCCCCATGATTTTCCACCTGGGCCCGGCCCTGAATCCACCCGCTCCAGCGCCAGCACGGCACGCATCAGCAGCAGCCGCTGCAGGGCCGCCGCCACAGCGTCCCAGCGCGGGGCATCGGGGAGGCGGAACCTACCCAGCGGTGCTGGTGACCCCAGGGGATCATCATGGGCATATCATGGGTTTATCATGGGTGTATGATTAACATATATTAACATTAGCATATACCCATAAATGGTGGTTAATTTGGGTAGTATATTAATGGGATACATGATGGTTATTGATGGTTTATAGTGGTTTATCATGGGTTAATGATGGTTATTGATGGTTATTGATGGTTTATAGTGGTTTATAGTGGTTTATCATGGGTTAATGATGGTTATTGATGGTTGTGGTTAATAATGGGTATATGACCACCAATTTTTTAACCACCAAACCAAACTCAAGAAATCTATGAAAATTGCAGTTTCACCTCATATTCTCACAATTCCATGTTATTCAAATCAGGTATAACAATTGTAACCATCCAAACTTTCACCTCATGGACTTTCCAAAGGCATGACCCTTGGAAGATGTATACTTTGAAATGGGGGGTTGCTTATAACTGGGGGTTTGTGTGATTGTATATGTGGCATGAGAACGCAAACCAGATATATGTGGCAAAATTATCACAAAATGTCACAAACAGATTGGGATGTGAGTCCTGATATTTGAATCCGCAACTTTGTTATCCCATCAGAAAACTGTATCAAAACCATACTTACCATCTAGCTGCAGACCTGCCACCAAAAAAGAATTCTCGTCAAGGCTTCATTATAAGGTCAATTGAGGTAATGTTGTAAACGTAAACCCTGTAAGTCCCTCTGATAAGCCTCCAATCGGGTGCCAAAACTGGGATCGGTCAAAAATGTCTACCTGGGTTTCCCAAATGAATTGGGTTCCTATAAGCCATTGTTTCGCAGGATACATGTTACAAATGCCCCACCATCCATTCCAAGCGGATTCCCCACCTGTGGATGGGAATGCCCAAAGCCATGACCTGCAGCAGTGAGCCTTCCAGCGCCGCACGGTGCACTTCTGGCACCGTAAAGCGCTCCATTTCGCCAAAGAGCCTGGCTCTTTGGATGGAAAAACAGCCACCAGCAACGGACGGGGTACATCAAACAGAAAAATCTTCAGTTGGGTGTCTGAAAATGGGGTATGCCCCTAATATGGCCCATCAATGCGATTTAATAGGGATCATGTGGGACAATATATGATTCACCAGCAAGTTTAGGGGTAGCTGATTTTCAGACCTAGTTGGATGCTGGATGTCAGATTTTTTTTTGGAGGGCCTTTTGGCCTATCTGCAGATGATCCTTCACATCAAATCATGGTGAGTACGAAGTACTAATTTTCAGGGGCTGTCATCAATTGCAATCCTTCATTTCCAAGATATAAAGATATGACCCTCACCAACATCAGCATTTACCAACCTACTAGTATATGCCAATTTATTTGCCAAATTCAGGTTGGGATGATCCAGCGATCTTCCCAACCAGCAGGCCAAGGCACCTGGTGAAAATCAAAACATGACCCATGCGCTCGTGGAAGCCACCGGCCCCAGCCACCGGAATTTTACATTTCACTGGTGAAGCTGCAGGTCAGAAGGTAACAAGTATTCGTAAACTCTCCCATTTCTGGGCTCTCCATCTACCCTTGGGGTCATCATGCTCACATACAGCGATCTGTCATGAAGCAACAGTGCCACAGGGAAAAACGGATGTGGAGTCTGCAAGACTTCTGTGAAAGTTGCGCCACCTGGGTGGAAGGCCCATACCTTCCTTTGACCCGCGTCAGCAACATAGATTGTTCCACCTTCAGTTACGAACAGGTCCTGTAGATTTGGCCTGCTGTCGGTTGGGATTCGTCCCACAACGATGGGTTGCAGCGGGTCAGCTGGATTGATACGTAGAATGCGATTGTTCCGCTTCCGATTATCCGAAATATAGATCACTTCTTCCTTGGTTACGAACATCCTGCGGGCTTCGAACTGCAGGTCTGCTGGAAGACTTTCGGAGGCGAGCACTGTTTGAAGGGTCGAACCCACCAGCTTTTGCACTGTTCTCCCACGCTGGTTCAGCATATACAGCACTCCGTTGGGCGAGTAAAGCATGGCGTGGGTACAAATGTCTGCCAGCACCAAGTGTCCAGATCCGTTTTCAAAACGCAGGAGTCTGTCATTTTCATAGTCCGACACGAACATCTCACCAGTAGTGGGGGATATGGACACGCGACAAACCGATCCTAAGTCATTGATTCCAGTCATAGCAGCGCCTTCACCCGCGACACGTCTGACCCTGGCTGCAGGTTCACCAGGCTTCCAACAAAGAATGGTCCTCTCACTAGCAGCAAGAATCTCACCTTTGTGCCAATGCAAAGTGCTGCATGGCAAAGGCAGCACTTCCCGCCCTGAAGATTCAGTGCTGGCAGTGCTTGCGCCTAAAAATGGTGACCAGTGCTGCAAACGACGTCTCTTCGACTGAAAGGCAGCTGGACTTCGGGTTCTTTTTCGGGAGGTCAAAGCGTCCTCCACTTCTATGTGGAGGTCGTCACCACTCTGACCAGAGAGGTTTGCACAGCCAAGACGAAGCAAATTCTCAACAGACAGTGCTTGGAAATCCACATGTTGCAACAACATACCCAGAAAGGCATGCCTGTCCTTGGAGATCTTGAGCCAAGTAAATATTGCATTCACCACTGCTTCTTCGCGAGAGACACCCAAATCTTCCCTTTTCACGATACGGGCCAGCTGACTAGCAGTCAGCTTCCCGAAATCTGGCCGCTGGCTACAAGTATCAAAATCTTCAGCCACCTTCTCTTCGCAGGCAGCTCTCAGAGAACGAAAACCCTGCGCTTCTTGCAGAACTTGCAGAGCGACACTGCCATCCAAGGAGGCAATGATGCCTGCTTCAATCGACTTTGCTAACTTTGGCAAGTCGTAAGCCTCTGCCAGTCGCAGGAGTTCAAGACCAACTTCCAATGGCATCTCAGGTTGCCCATCATAGATGTAGTCCAGCAATGCAGAGACGGCTGCTTTGGACGCAGCGATTTCCACTGGCTGCTTTTGTTGCACCCTCTCTGCTTCAAGGAACGAACCACCCAGCAGTTTCTTGAAAAACACACTGGCGGCAGATAGCACGGCTGTGTGGGCGCGATGCTCTGTGCCATCATGGCTCTTCAGCACAACGTCACAGAGATGGTCTTCCATCCAGAATTGTCGCAACTGCTGCATGATGCTGGCACGATGTTGCGCCTGGTCTGAGTGGTCAAGCTTCACAGCTCCCATGGCAACAGCTCAGCAAATGGCAGAGGACTGGTTTCGGGTTTCTGTGGTCCTTTTGATTCTCGTCTGGCAGGACCATCCCCTTTGCTTACATATCTGATATATCTGTATGTGTAACTCTATAAATTGCGGGCAATTTATAGATGCAACTTCCACATCTTGGGACTGCAAACTTGGGCGTTTTCGGAGACGGCCAAGAGGAAGAGGCGGAAGGGGTCGCCACTTCAGTAGTTGGGATCTTGAACCACAACCCAGAAACTAATTGAGCTGTATCCCATTGGCAAGGTTGTATCCGAGTACTTTATCCCATTGCTATCCCATTTCTCAATGACTGTATAAATTCCTGTATCAAGTACCTTAGAATTGGTACCCTCCTCAAAAAGTGTGTTTTATTCATCCTGAAAATACCATTGTCCTAAATTATTCCTATAGGATATAACTGATAAAAGTATCTATATATCCATATATCTATATTGAACTATATTGTATATCTATTTGGGCTTTAAAAAACATGTAAGAAAACCATAGTGTCCCCCAAATTGTCCCAAACACAACCCATATTTGCTCTTCAAATCCTAAAAAAAACTATGACCCATCCCATATCTTCAAACCATATCAGCAAAATTCTCTATCCCCAACCCCCCCATCCCCCAACCCCAACCCCATCTCCACCTCTCCGAGAAGAGCCGAAAGCAGCGCCCCGGCCCCGTGCGCCCGGCCCGGCCCGCGCGCTGCGCCGCCGCAGCACGGGAGACCCAGCGCTCCGCCAGGTGCCGCACGGCCGAGGCGGCGTCCACGTCGAGGCCGCGCATCTTGCCGCTGTCCACCTGGTGGCTCGGAACCCATGGATTTAACGAGACATTCTATATAGATGAATGATGATTCATGATGTATATGATAGTTGGATCAATCATGTATATATATATATATATCTGTGTGTGTGTGTATGTGTGTGTGGTTAATGTGTTGTTAAATATGTTCCTTGTATATATATATATATACTCTCCGTGTGTGTGTGTGTGTGTTTGCGTATTTGCATATAGAGATAAAGATGTGAGAAACATAGATAAACATAGATAGAGATTGAGTTACATTGATATTTCTAATCATATCTGAAACCATAAGGGAAGCTAACAGAGAGTTGCGCAATTCTGGGATATCTGTAATCCCTAAGAATTGAACCATCTTGGGATGATAATATACACAATTATTCAAGCGGTGATTGTTTGGTATAGTGGAACCCTCAACATGGCCGCCTGGCTGGGATGGCACTCTGCCGGCCAAGTTGGCTTCACCAGCTCTGCCCCAAGTTCGGAGGGATGCGTTCAGTAGTGGAGAGATAGGTTCAAGACATGTACCCTGGGTTAAACTATCCATGTTTCCATACTTTGCCTTGGTGAAATCCCAACTTTTGTTGGTTGAATTATGTCGAAGTGCATATGTTTTCCTGCTTCACTGTCAATCACCAGTTCTTCATAATTTTCCTTGATGAAATCCCTTAACTTCTATACATCATCCAATATCATCCAACCTCCCAACGTCCAAGTCGCCACAAAGCGAATGCCATCGATGGTCACCGAGGTCTCCGCGATGTTGGTCGCCACCACCACCTGGGCCCAGGCGCGCCCAGCTGGCCATGAAAAACCTGGTTAAATCATGTTAAATATGAGGTGTATAAATACATCGATAACATACAGTATATGGTATTAAATCATATATAAATATCTGGTGTTAAATCATATTATGTTATATAAATACATCTATAATCATCTATATATATATACAGTATATATATATATGTGTGTGTGTTTAAATGAGCTATGAATATTCAATGAGGTATTGTGGATGATGTTAAACCTGGTATAGATGAGGTAAATATAAATATATGTAAATATCATCTATATTCATCTATACTATCCTGAATACACCTTGATTTTAGATGATTTTAGCATCTTTTTGGATAAATAACATTAAATGATTACATGAATTACATGCCATATTTGGGAGGATGAACATCCGTCCCACAAGGTCTTGACTCATACGCAGCTAACGCACAAAGATGGGGATATGGACCAACCCAAATTGGGACATCAACCGGACAAAATGTGGAAATTGCAAAACGGATTGGATCTTCTGTTGCCATGTTATATGATGTTATATGATGTTATATTATGCCAAATTTGGGCGTTCCATGTTGAATAAATCCCAAATTTCCGGTCTCACATGTCCATCCCAAGCATCTCATCGACCCCCCCAAATAGCCCAAGAGCCGGTCCCACTTGCCTTGTGCACCCCTTGTGGTGCGATGCCAAAGACCTTGTCCTGGAACGGCTTCCAAAGGATCCCTGATGTGTTCCCCTATGGTTTTGGTGGCCCAAAATGCCCAACCGTGGGGTGAAACAGATACAGTGGCGGCTTTCAGCCTTTCACACCTGTGAATCATGCACAAGTCAAGGATTTGGATATCCGCCGACCCCTGCCGTCAGCAGGGGGAGCGCGTCAGAGGAGGCCTTACTAGCAACAAGATGCCAGAAGGGGCGAAGAGTTTGTGCAGAACGAAAGCCGGCTCCAGGAGGACACGAGCAGGGTGGCAGTTGGCAGTGCAGAAACGCAGGAAAAGTCAAGGTTTGGAGCTAGTTTCTAGTCGGTTCAGAAAGTGACGTTTGGCAGTCTGGGATACGGGCCGCGGGCCCAATCCGTCCTTCACTGCCATGGTGTTTTAGCCCTGCGACACGGTCCTTGGACTCCAGCTTGGACCGAAGCGGTGCAGAACGAAGGCCGGCTCCAGGAGGACACGAGCAGGGGGGCAGTTGGCAGTGCAGAAACGCAGGAAAAGTCAAGGTTTGGAGCTAGTTTCTAGTCGGTTCAGAAAGTGACGTTTGGCAGTCTGGGATACGGGCCGCGGGCCCAATCCGTCCTTCACTGCCATGGTGTTTTAGCCCTGCGACACGGTCCTTGGACTCCAGCTTGGACCGAAGCGGTGCAGAACGAAAGGCCGGCTCCAGGAGGACACGAGCAGGGTGGCAGTTGGCAGTGCAGAAACGCAGGAAAAGTCAAGGTTTGGAGCTAGTTTCTAGTCGGTTCAGAAAGTGACGTTTGGCAGTCTGGGATACGGGCCGCGGGCCCAATCCGTCCTTCACTGCCATGGTGTTTTAGCCCTGCGACACGGTCCTTGGACTCCAGCTTGGACCGAAGCGGTGCAGAACGAAGGCCGGCTCCAGGAGGACACGAGCAGGGTGGCAGTTGGCAGTGCAGAAACGCAGGAAAAGTCAAGGTTTGGAGTTAGTTTCTAGTCGGTTCAGAAAGTGACGTTTGGCAGTCTGGGATACGGGCCGCGGGCCCAATCCGTCCTTCACTGCCATGGTGTTTTAGCCCTGCGACACGGTCCTTGGACTCCAGCTTGGACCGAAGCGGTGCAGAACGAAAGCCGGCTCCAGGAGGACACGAGCAGGGTGGCAGTTGGCAGTGCAGAAACGCAGGAAAAGTCAAGGTTTGGAGCTAGTTTCTAGTCGGTTCAGAAAGTGACGTTTGGCAGTCTGGGATACGGGCCGCGGGCCCAATCCGTCCTTCACTGCCATGGTGTTTTAGCCCTGCGACACGGTCCTTGGACTCCAGCTTGGACCGAAGCGGTGCAGAACGAAAGCCGGCTCCAGGAGGACACGAGCAGGGTGGCAGTTGGCAGTGCAGAAACGCAGGAAAAGTCAAGGTTTGGAGCTAGTTTCTAGTCGGTTCAGAAAGTGACGTTTGGCAGTCTGGGATACGGGCCGCGGGCCCAATCCGTCCTTCACTGCCATGGTGTTTTAGCCCTGCGACACGGTCCTTGGACTCCAGCTTGGACCGAAGCGGTGCAGAACGAAAGCCGGCTCCAGGAGGACACGAGCAGGGTGGCAGTTGGCAGTGCAGAAACGCAGGAAAAGTCAAGGTTTGGAGCTAGTTTCTAGTCGGTTCAGAAAGTGACGTTTGGCAGTCTGGGATACGGGCCGCGGGCCCAATCCGTCCTTCACTGCCATGGTGTTTTAGCCCTGCGACACGGTCCTTGGACTCCAGCTTGGACCGAAGCGGTGCAGAACGAAAGCCGGCTCCAGGAGGACACGAGCAGGGTGGCAGTTGGCAGTGCAGAAACGCAGGAAAAGTCAAGGTTTGGAGCTAGTTTCTAGTCGGTTCAGAAAGTGACGTTTGGCAGTCTGGGATACGGGCCGCGGGCCCAATCCGTCCTTCACTGCCATGGTGTTTTAGCCCTGCGACACGGTCCTTGGACTCCAGCTTAGACCGAAGCGGTGCAGAACGAAAGCCGGCGCCAGGAGGACACGAGCAGGGTGGCAGTTGGCAGTGCAGAAACGAAGGTAAAGTCAAGGTTTGGAGCCGCAGAACGAAAGCCGGCTCCAGGAGGACACGAGCAGGGTGGCAGTTGGCAGTGCAGAAACGCAGGAAAAGTCAAGGTTTGGAGCTAGTTTCTAGTCGGTTCAGAAAGTGACGTTTGGCAGTCTGGGATACGGGCCGCGGGCCCAATCCGTCCTTCACTGCCATGGTGTTTTAGCCCTGCGACACGGTCCTTGGACTCCAGCTTGGACCGAAGCGGTGCAGAACGAAAGCCGGCTCCAGGAGGACACGAGCAGGGTGGCAGTTGGCAATGCAGAAACGCAGGAAAAGTCAAGGTTTGGAGCTAGTTTCTAGTCGGTTCAGAAAGTGACGTTTGGCAGTCTGGGATACGGGCCGCGGGCCCAATCCGTCCTTCACTGCCATGGTGTTTTAGCCCTGCGACACGGTCCTTGGACTCCAGCTTGGACCGAAGCGGTGCAGAACGAAGGCCGGCTCCAGGAGGACACGAGCAGGGTGGCAGTTGGCAGTGCAGAAACGCAGGAAAAGTCAAGGTTTGGAGCTAGTTTCTAGTCGGTTCAGAAAGTGACGTTTGGCAGTCTGGGATACGGGCCGCGGGCCCAATCCGTCCTTCACTGCCATGGTGTTTTAGCCCTGCGACACGGTCCTTGGACTCCAGCTTGGACCGAAGCTGTGCAGAACGAAAGCCGGCTCCAGGAGGACACGAGCAGGGTGGCAGTTGGCAGTGCAGAAACGCAGGTATATACAGTCAAGGTTTGGAGCTATAGTTTCTAGCTGGTTCAGAAATTGACGTCTTGGAAGCTGGGCAGAACGATAGCCAGCTCCAGGAAACCATGAGCAAGTTGGCAGTTGGCATGCAGTGCAGAAAGGCAGGTCAAGCTTGCGGGTTCAGACTAGTGACGCTTGGCACTGTCTGGACGGCTGGCTGGACAAGACGAAAGCGAGCGGCACAAGGACGCAAGCAAGTTGGAAACTAGCAGTGTTATTAGTCCAGCGTTGCCGTCACGTTCCAGCTTTCCCGGCGGCATGTGCGTCCGGCAGAGTTTCTGTGCCTGGCTTTGATTTGGCCAGCGGCCTTTTCTGAGTAAACGATTGTTGCGCACGTTGGGCATGCGTGTTTGTGAATGCGACCGGTGACAAAGCCGCCAACGACACGGAAAAATTTTCCGCACGCAAACGAGTGATTAATTTGCCCAGTCTCCACAGTGCTTTTCACTTGTTGCTGGCAGAATGGACATTGGTACCGGCGGATCTGTTTGCCGTTCTTTGCTGTCACATCCGTCTCTGGTGGGCGTGGTTCCTCGTGGCTGGCTGCGCTTGCGGTGGCAGCCTCAGGGCGCACGGAACCTGTGGCGCAATCTGGCAATCGGTCTTTGCAGCTTTGCATGTCTTGGGTGAACGCAATCGTGGTTTTCTGCCTGGTCCTTTCCAGAATTTCTTGGCGCACTTCGTCTATGATGGCCTGATGCCGTCGACTTTTCTCGCGCCGCCGCAGCGGTGTCAACCGTTCGTTCGCGCGACGGGCAATTTGACACACCAAGGCTAAACTGATGCACGTGTTGCAACACTGCGTGCCATCTTGACTGTAATCGTGGCTTTCGCGCCAAGCCGTAAACTCTGCGTGTGGTTTTCGCTCTGAACATTCGGCGCAAGACCAATACCCCCGCAGCTTCTGGACGCACTCACGGCAACAGCGTCGGTCAGCATGGCGAGCTTTCCAGGCAGCAGGGCCATAGTCTTTCTCTGCCTTGGGAACCCCGCATTTGAAACATGGCTTCTTGACTTCGCATGTCAAACAAACACGGAAAAAACTACATTGCCGTTGGCGATGCTTTTCTGGGAAATTGGTCTCGACATGCCACAGCTTGCACACGTTGCATTGCCACGGGGTTCCAGCATCTGCATAATGTTTTGTGCATTCGCGACACACCCGGTCCGTGTCGCTGCGCTTCCATTGGCCAGATGTGAACGCTGTGCTTTGTTTTCGTTCTGCGCAAGTTGAACACACGCGTTCTTCGCAATATTTTGCGAGCAACGCCTGCCAGTTGATGGCGTCGCCGCGGAGGTGTCGCAGAAGAAGGTCCCGGCCCAAACCGATTCCCTTTTGGAATGGCGCGGCGTCGAAAGGGCGGAAGATCAGCAGCTTCCCACGGCCTTGGACGCGGGTGATTGCAACGTAAACCGTGAATGGGTTGCCCATTGGGCCGATACAAAGATCGGTCATCACGCCTTCTTTGATGGTTTGCCCTTGCGCTACATGCGCTGTGATGGCAAATTGGGGCGCAAGTGGAAATTGCGTGCGCGACACACGTAGCTTGGGGCTCTTGCGTTGCCGGTCCAAGTACCACACGCGTCTGCAGGGTCCGACAGGGTACACGTTGCTATCTGGCATACCTGGTATCTGCCACGATGTCGCGGTGTCAAACTTCACATACACCACCGCTGGCAATGCGTTGCACACAACTCCTTCAGGTGCAGGCGTCTCATTGGCAATCTCGGACCAACCCACGACGAGGCCTTTGGTGCCCTTGAGAATGCCGCGCTTCCGGTCCAAGTGGTCTGTTGCACGGACAGGCATGCCGACGCACAACGGCAACACGCCGTATAGCCCACCGCATTCTTTGTCGTGTCGCTGCAGCCATTGCAATTTCTCCGCTGTCAAATTCGGCTTCTCCTGCACGACCACGGATGATGCAACATCTTGCGCGACAAACAAGTATGCTTGCTTTTGTCTGGCATTTGCCCACTGTATGGCGCGAAGCTTGTTGACATGATATTTGATGTCGTTGGTGCCGAAAATTGCAACTGCATCAGCAAATTCGTTCTGAAACCGGGGGTCCGCATCCCCTTGCGCCACAAGTATGCGAGAACGCCGATCAGCGGCGCAGTAGCTGCATTCGGCTTCTTGTATGGCTTCTGGACGTAAACCTAGTGTGGGCAATGCGGCGCAACCTGGTTGTTCGCACGTTGCATGCCCAGCAATCCAGCTGCCTGGCACCGTAGTTGGTTTCCCATGAAGAAACTTGTGGTTATCGTCTGATAGCTGCCCATGACGAAGTTCTCCTTGGAGCTCAGCCAGCCAAGCGTCTTGCGTGCGCTCGCAGCGCACCAGTTCTGTCATCCCTTGCATCCCTGCTGCGGCCTCGCCCCAGAGAAGCGTTTGACCTTGATGTCCCGGGGCCTGTCTCGTGCTCTTGCGTCCGGCAAGCAAATCCCATGGGATGTCCCCTAGGAATGTTCCTTTTGGTGGTGGTAGTTGGTAGACATCTCCGGCCAAAATCACGTTCAACCCGCCGAACGGTCGGATTTTCCCGTTGCCGTCATACTTAGCTAGGCTGAGGTCCCGCATGAGCTCGCGGCACCGAAGTTCAAGCTGCGCTAGCAACTCAGCGCTCACCATGCTAAACTCATCCAAAATCAACCATCGCCATTGCAAGCTGCGACCTGCACATTCCATGGCGCGTGCCAAACTCTGAGTTCTGTCGCCTGACCAGTCCAATCCCAGCGCATGATGTATTGTGTCGCCTTCCAGCAGTTCAGCCATAACAGCTTGAAAACTGACGATCTGGAAGTCAACGCCGTGGTGCCAGCCGAGCACGTCTTCGAATAAATCCTGCCGCAGAAACTTTAATGTGTGAGATTTTCCTGTTCCAGGACCACCATGTAAGACCCAGCGAAGCGGTTCTGACGCCACATGGCCACACCCTGCGGTGGAGGTGCTGGCCGCCAGTTCTGTTTCCACGCGTGCCGCGACCAGCTCGCAGAAGGCTCGCTGCTCCGCGTTGCATGGTGCATGCGGCAAAGCAGCGGCCCACGTTCGCACCTCCGCAACAGATGCCCGACAGGGGCGCGCTGCCACGCAACTGGGTACGGGTGAAGCAACTGCTCGTGCGTCGACTCGTTTCCGGGCAGCTTGTTGCATTGCCTTCGGATCCAAGGCACAGTACCGTGTGCTTGCTTCAGGGCGTCTGTGAGGCAGCGCAGGTGCCTGCCAAAGTCCATCTGCTGTGTTCATTGCTGATTCGATGCGGTTTGCCCGGTCGTCGTTTGCGGCTTTGCAGCTGCTCGCTTTCTGAGCCGGGAATTGCGTGCGGAGCGCCGCCGCGACATCGGCCGGACGCAGTGTAAACGGTTCGTCCACACCATCGTCGTCGCTGTTGACGTCTGCTTCCGCGCTGGGTCGAACACGATACACAGACAAGAAGTTGCCGACGTGGCGCTTTGTTTCGGCGCAGGGCAACCGAAGCAGCCACTCTCGCAGAGCATCTTCCCAAGTCTCATGCGGTCCCAACAACTGACTTAAGTGCGGGACTTGTGATGTTGCCCGCGTCATGTCTAAGGTCCATGCGCGAAAATAAACGCACGTCAATCGGGCGTTCCGATCCGCCTTTTCGGTCCAGCGCTGTGGCACCGGGGCATTCGCGAAATGAGGACACCGTGGGCGCACGCGGCGCTGCAGGTACCAGTTGTGTCGAAGCACTGCAGTGGCCGCAGTGGACGCAAAACAAACGCGGTCGCGGGAACGAATTACTTTCAACCGGTAGTCCGTGCTGGGCTTCAATTTGGCAGCAGCCTGCAGCGGGCTACTTCGCAGTTTTTGTTCGCCGACCGGCGTAAGTGCTACATCCCATGCGTCGGAATTTGCTGCTTCCCACTCAGCGCGAGAATGCGGGATGCGCGCAGGAACCAGTTCCCAGTGCATAGTGAACTCGTATGGGGACAGCCACCAGCACTCGGAGTCCGACGGCCGATGACTATATGCTTGGCCAGTCGCCGCTTCCCGCACATGCCGCGCTCCAGATCCTGGCGCCTTACGGGTTCGAATATATGCTATATCGGACCCGGACTCTTTTCCTTCCAACTTTTCCAGTAGCTGCAAATAAACGTGCCCAGGAAACATCGTAAAGTTGCACGAGGAAACACGTTCTGCGGCTACAATCGAGCCATCGATGTGGTTGGCACGCAGGTTGCAACATTCCACTTGGCCGCGCACCAGGCCTTTGCAGTAGGCATCACTTAAAAACCGGTTGGCATGTCTTTTGCCAATGTGATCCACGTCCGCCTGCTTTAATGATGCATGTAAAGTGATGTGCCCTTTTTGAAATTCTTTGATCTCGTGGAACCCCATGGGCTGATTTTTGGAACAATAATCGCTGCAATAACCTGTTTGCGCATCTTGGGCACGTTGGGCCGCTAACGCTATGAGTTGTTTCTCTTTGCCCGAAAGCGAGTCGCCACACGTTGCACACGCGTACGGCAACCTGTACGGCACTTGGACGTCATTGTTCCCACCTCGCATCCCAGCTAAAAGTGCTGGATGGCAAGGATTCAAGTAAGGATGCCCGTACGGACCATGAAGGGCCCCTAACCGATTCTTACGACCCGTTAGACTGAAGCCATGAGATTGGAGCTGGCATGGGCAAAGCACTTTCGCAGAGTCAGACAGCCACTGATCGCGTGGAAAGTCTGATTTGCATACACCCATGTTTTCTTTCTTCTGGCAGCCTCGCAATGGCATGCGTTCGCCAGTTTCCACGTTCAGCGGGTGGTAATGATGCTGCTTCAGATACTGCAACTTAACGACGTCATGCTCCAGGTACTCTTGCCCCCACAGTTCGGCTTCGGTCAGATCTCTGGCCCCTTGCGCCCGTCGCTGCTGATATCCTGGGATTGTCGTCATATGCGCGTCCCGCGCGTGCTCGGGCCACGTACTTTCTGCTCCTTCTATGCCTTCACGAATGCTGTCCTGGCCTTGGCCGCTGTAGACAGCATGCGCAACGTGCGCTTGATACTTGCAGTATTCTTGCCGCAACGCTTCTAATCGCAAATGCGGAAGCTGGAAAATTTCTGTTAGCGGCGTGTGTTGGTGCAAGCACTGAACAAAACATTGCATGTGCCCATGTAATGATCCAGTGGACTTCTGGGCTTCAATCGTGACGTATATGGCATCGACGCGTCCAAACACTCCGCCGAACAGGCTCGCGTTGCTGCCAGACGTGTCGCTGCATGGGGTTGCAGTCATGTCACAGTCAGGGCAGTGCTCGCACATTCGCACGCCAAAGATGTGCCGACAAAGCAACCGCAGTAAAACGTGAAAACCATCAACAGAGGCCAAGGGATCACGGGCCAACAACGCACGGCGCTGCTCCCAGGATGGAAGCGCGCGACAAAATTTTTCGAGATGGATTGGGAAACAAAGGTCGCCATCTAGCGATGGGAACTGCCGATCTCCTGAGCACCACTCCTGCCACACCGATGCGCTGCGCACTGGATCGGATGCGCGCGTTCGCGACATGCGAATGAAGAGCCACTGGTGCGCCTCATCGGGCGACACCGTGATGAACAACGGCACGCCGTAGCGGACCCGCATCGCTTCAATTTCAAAACGCATTTGGCGTCTTGCTTCTTGCGTTCCTGGCAAGCTGCGGGCCGTATGCTTCATATTTTTCAACAGCTTGCGCGCGGCGGGGCGCAGATTTCGAACGTATGCCAACTTGGAGACGTCGCCATTCACGGGTCGAAGGTTTCCACGGACATCCGCATACGTTCCACTCAAGGCATTCAGTAATTGCAAGGCGCCGGCTTCAACTTCTTCGGCACGCAGGGCACGAAATTTTTGTTCGGCTTCATCAAAGATTGGCGCGTTGTATGGGGACAGATTCCGAGACAAATTGATTGCCGACCGGAAATACAAATTCCAACTCGTGAATCCGAACGTCCAATCCCGATTGATTTGAGATTCACAGCGCCGGGCCATGCAACGCATCCAAGTTGCGAACTCGACACGCAAAGCATCCGGTGGACGGCGGTGCCGAAGTTTGGGACTCCAGCTTGGCGGATCCGGCATTCCACTTCCATACGGGAAGAGAAAAGCAAAGGCAAACGCGAAATACCACGGTTCAAATTGATCCAACAAACGATTGCCGGTGTAAACCACCGCCGTGGTGGTTTCAGCTCTGCACGCCTCGCGTGTCTGCACCACGGCCTGCAAGGCTGCCACGTGCGTTGCATTAGGATCAGCGAAGCCGCCGCTTGTACGCTCGCTCACTACAGCGTTCGGCTTGCACATGTACGCAAACTCGGCTTGCACGTCTGCTTCCGACAACATGGCCCGGGTTGGCGTTGCTGCTTTTTGGCGCTGCACGTTATCCAAGTCTGTGTCATGAGGCAACCAAGCGACGATCTCTGCTGGGACACCATCTTCTGGCAGCTGTTCGGCACGCTGCACTACTTCGTTCATGTTCAGAAAGTTGTAGGCAGGGTGTTCCCGGGCCTTCGCATCGGCAATCAGCTGCAGCACGACGGCCCGCCGCACGCGAGCTTGGTGAATGATCTTTGCGGCGTCATCGCGTTCGGACAGTGGTCCTCCTGCTTTGATGATTACGTTGATTACCGCAGCCAATTCGACCCCAACTTTTGGTAGGCGTATTTCTCCCGCAGCTGCTTCTGTAGATGCTGCTTGCAAGTTTTGCAATAACTCTTCCCACGCTAATGGGAAGGTTGTGGCATTCCCTCGGGCAACCAAACGGTTCCGATTCATGAACGCATCTTGATCCAATGCCCGGTCTCCTAGCAACTTCTTCTCCAAACTGAAGCAAGCCATGGCAGTAAAACACGGGCTGGCGCACACTAATTCCATGAAAGTAACTTCTTCCTTGTAAATCATGCGGGGCGTATAAAAAACTAACATGTCGTTCGCCAACGCCAGCCTGGACGCCTCTTTTGCGCGCAAGCTGTCCCGGCAATGCATGCATACTGGCGCCCAGCACGCCGAGCAGATCCGACCAGGGGGGCAGCGCTTTGCGCAGACTTTGTCTTCAGGACAACATATTATCGACAAATTTTGCCCATCAAGTTCGACATCAGCGCACCAATCTTGCAACTCGGCGCGCAAGCGTTCTCGGACTGTTCTCCCGTATTGCATGGCATAGGTGCTCCAATACGTGTCTAAACTCAGCCATCGTTTTGTTTCTTCCAAAGACAGGCCAAGAAAATGCGACTTCCCCGCCAATTGTTTCCATTGTATGCGATCGCCCTCGCCCATGGCGTCGGCATACGGAAACCGGCGCGCGCAAAGTAAACAGATGCCGGCCCCGATCTTGTCACCGCTTTGCGAGTCGCGATACTGCCGCAGACAACGCCTATCAATGGCAATGTGAGCTGTGGGTGCATCTTGCTGGCATGCCCAGGTTAAACCTGCCCGGTATGCTTCCAACATCTTTGCCTTGGTTGCTGGTTTGGATGCCAAAGGTTCCAGTGCCCGGCGATGCTCTTGACAAACATGTTCTTCAAACGCTTCCGCTAGCTCCGACTCAAAATTACACCCTTCGAAAGAACAAATGTAATCCGGCAAATCGAAAGCCGCATCTCGTGTTGCTATAGCCATCCAATGGGGCAACGTGGGTTTCTTCCGAAACTGTTTTCCCAACGCCTCTAACACCATGTCACCCTGGGCTCGTGGGTCAGGGTTTCCGTGTGTAGCGTGCCATGTCCGCAAAATATACTCATCGAGTGCAAGGCCGTGATCCAATGCATCATCTCCTTTGACATCGTTCCTTGCTAGACCTTGTTCGGGCACCGGCTGTTTTCCGCGTAACCTTTTCCGAGGCAAACCCAGGCCTTCAGCCAGCGGCCTCTTGGCCGCTGCTTTCTTCCCGGTGCTGCTTGCATCCTTGTCGGTAACCTCCGTTTCCGATAGTTTCTGCCGATTGCTTGCCACAGCTTCCTCCACCTCCATAGCCTCCGCCTCTGCGGCCGGTTCCACTTCTTTCTTCCCGCCCTTTCCGCTCATCGACTCGCCTAATCTTTGCCCGGGACCTTGGGTGTATGTTGCGTAGTGCGCGCGCCATTCCCCAAGCAAGCGTCGCGCAGCATGCATGCCCGCATCCATGTACGTTGTGTTCGCCTGCAATAGCATATGCAGTTTCACCGAGCATCTCTCCGCATCATCCCAAGCTTCCATGATGTCGCGAGCGTCTTGCGTGTTCACGTTGATGCCAGTGCCGCGTGACCGGAAAAATCCGTCCAAGGCCTGATGAACTCGTTGCAACTCCATGCTAGGCGGTCTGTGGCCTCGGTCTTCGTGCCTCGATCCTTCATCTTCGGTTGTGTGCGCTTGGCTTCCTCTCGCACATGATTTTCGTTGGTTCCCACTCTGCGCCACGGCACCAACCAACGCGTCAAAATGATAGCCTTGTCCTGTCGGATCTGTGTGATTGTACACATGCAGCGTCTGGCGTTCATACACGACGCGGTCACCCCAGGTGAAATCCACGTGCGACAACTCTGTACTTGCCATGCCCAACTCTCCGTGATCCATGCAATCATAAAAAAACACCCGAAGAGAAACATCAAGCTTCCACAGTCGTCGCACGAAGAAATCGAGGATACGTGGTGTATCCCGGTGCCCGTCCAGGTACACACCACGGGGGACCCCGTGTCGCACACACAAATCTTCTCGACATGTGGCACATAGCGCTTTGCGTTCGGCCATGGTGTATTCTTGTGGAGTCAAGCCTTTGTTAACGAGGCACAGCAAAAGTGAATCGATGAGGCAGTTATTGACACCATGCGACGATGCAACTTTGAGGTGCAAGCCGCGAGCAGTCAATTCCTGCAACCGACATGCATTGGTCATCATGTTTCGGGGCATATTGACGCCAGCGATCTGCAGCAAACGCTCTGCGACGTTCCTGGCAACAGTGTCCGACCCATCCGCCTTTAACTCTTCCCAGCCGTGCCAGGTGTCCACCCAAGATTGGTTCAGCACTGCAGTGACGCGCTTTTCGTCTTGCAGAACCGACAAGCAGATTGCAGCTACGAGCTCTTTCGCTTCTGGTGGCGGGCCACCCCCGCAAAATCGCTTCGGCAAACGTTGGGTCGGCAGAGCGACACTGCACGCTACCACTCCGCGACCGAGACCTACACCATCGTCCACACTATCACTGTTGCTTTTGTTCCAGCTTGCAGCAGCAAGGTCCATAGCAGGAATAAGGACAACAGCAACAGCAACAGCAACAGCATGAACAACAACAACAACAACAACAACACCAACACCAACACCAACACCAAGACCACCACCACCAACAACAACAACAACACCAACAACGACAACGACAACGACAACTACAACTACAACGACAACTACAACAACAACAACAACAACAACCACGACAACCACAACAACCACCACAACAACAACAACACCAACACCAACACCAAGACCAAGACCAACAACAACAACAACAACAACAACAACCACAACAACAACAACAACAACCACAACAACAACAACAACAACACCAACACCAACAGCAACACCAACAGCAACACCAACAGTAACACCAACACCAACAACAACCAGGACAACAAGAACAACAACACGAAGAAAAAGGCGCAAACGAAAACGCGAGAGAAGAAGAACACACGGAACAGCAGGATTAACGAGAACGTCCACATCCAGGTTGCCTTTCTGCTCGATAGTCCTGCGGACCAGCAACAGTGCCAGCATGTGCCAACCATGCTGAAGTACACTCCATGCAGCCTTCCATGCGGGTGGTCGGTGCATGCGGCCTACCAAGCTGGCGGTAAATGCACGAGGTGCCGATTGGCACTGTCTCCCACTAGGGATGCCCTTTCGGGCACGGGCTAAACCCGCTATGTGCCAATCGGCACCTCGTGCATTTACCGCCAGCACGGTAGGCCGCATGCATTTCCCGCCCGCATGGAAGGCCGCATGCAGTTTACGCCAGCATGGTTGGCGAGCACGACTCCCGTGGCCGGTCCACATCGCTATCGATGCACTTGAGCCTTCAAACTTCAAGTCATTCAACCTCTAAGTCGCTAAGTTCAGCAAATCTCAGTCGTTTTGTGCCCCAAAAAAAAAAGAGTCTATCAGGTCCGTCGCCATTTTCTTATAAATTGTCACCATGTGTCAAGCTTTCCAGAGCTCTCCAAGGTTATGCTGGCTCACCGGGTAACCCCAAAAACTTCGTTCTCCTCATTCGATCTACGTTGAGTCACAGAACTGGATGTCAATGCCGAGATTCTTTTTGAACATCGTCCAATTCAAGAGAACCACATCAATGTCTAGACACACAGCTGGTTGCTGTTGTCGAAAAAGGTCGAATGCCAAAATATCAACTTTAGCGACTGCTTTCGCATTTTTCCCAACTTTATCCGAGCTTTTCCCATGTTTCCCGACTATACTGGAGAGGCTTTGCTCGTCCCGTCTTAGGTCAGCAGCGGGCCATGCTTGGCCACCATTAGCTCAGGGTATTGGCCTATTTCAGCCATGGTTCAACCTCAGGAAAAATGGACCAAGTGCACGGGACACTCGAAAGACCACCCGAACTGGAGGCTTGGATAGTTGAAACCACCGTTTACAGTAGATTTTCACCCAGGAATCCAGAACCATGATAATTAAGGTGGACACTCCAAATCAGAAGTACGCGAAAAAAAATGATCTTCCATCTTGTGTATATATATATATATGTGTGTGTGTGCGTATCATTATAATGTTGTGGTTTTGTTTTTGTTGCTTGCATGCATTCTACATAAGACAAGAAATGTGCTACGCAAGTGGTGTAACACCACCTGTGTTCAAGTTCCCCACCTTTTTGACCGAATGTACACGGGGACCGTCTCCCCAGTTGTACTTTGACCGAAGGTACAACATGTTTGCAATCAGCTACGGAATGTATGAAACATGCCTGGATATATTCCATGTATTTAGACTTAGTAAATTCAAGCCCCTGGGCAGCACGCGGCTTGAAAATACGTCAACTTTCTATATATCGCTTTATGATATGGAAGTCACTTTCCATAGTACACCAAATCACCAGATTATGCCAGATCCATGTGCCTGGCCAAGAGGCTTGGAAGGGAGCTGTGGTCGCGATACAGGCACTGGCGGCCTACCATCAATGGCTCTGATTCAAGTCATTCAGGGTACCAATTTTGTGTGTTGACAAGATGAGAAAAAGACTTCTTCGGGGCAAAGGTTGCGGTGCAATAATTTTGACCCCCAAATCGTATCCTCCAATTTGGTGTTTCGTTTTTCCAAAAATCCATGTTACCTGTTCTGTATATTTCTGTATCGTGGTCTGTCCTCCGAGTCTAAAACCGAAGTTTGCATCCTGATTCTGATATGGGGACTATTATTGAAGAACATTGCCAATAATTATACCTGTGGCAAAGCCAACACTATCCCTGGTAAAAGATATTTTTTTGGACACATGTGGATATTTATAGGAATCAAAAAACAAAGATCCCATACATCAATCGCGTTGACTTGAATTGTCAATTCAAATGACGATTTTCTCTAGTGCCATGTTTTATACCCTACTAATTGGATATACCTCTTAAATTTACCAACACTTAAATGCTCGTGATCGGCATCTCAGCTTCCAAATTCAACACGCGTAGATGTTACGATGGGTCTGGCTATTCAATGGAGAAAATGATCATCAACCAATGGATTTGCAGATGCCGTATTTTCTGACAAACCCAGATGCAATGGAAAATGCAACGCTTGTGCATGTTTTGCCTTTCTCTCTGGTAGTTTTTACACTGCCTTAGGAAAACCCCTTAAGCATCATCCGTTGATAGCATGGTGATTTCCCATAGTTGTTTTAGTTTACCAGAGGGTAAATCACAAGCGTTCCTAAACTGGAGGGGAAAAAAACATCTGGAGATTTACTAGATGGTAAATCTATCTATCGTTCATGTATGTTCAGTTATGAAAAATAGTAACTCACATTTATTCCCTTCACTATTCATTTCGGATGATTATTTGGGGCTCGATTCAATCTTGGCCAAAATGCACTGGTTCATCATGTTCCCAATTTAAAACCTACCATTTTGGAGAGGGTGAAGGGCGATTTCAATGACACCCAATTATCATGTTGTTGGCTATTTATCTATCCATCCATCTATCGATCTATCTATCGATCTATCGATCTATCTATCTATCTATCTATCGATCTATCTATCTATCTATCGATCTATCCATCCATCCATCCATCCACCCATCCATCCATCCATCCATCCACCCATCCATCCATCCATCCATCCATCCGTCTATCTATCTATCTATCTATCTATCTAATCTATCTAATCTATCTAATTCATCTAATTATCTAATCCATCCAATCGATCCAATCCATCTAATCCATTTAATCCATCTAATCAATGTAATCTATATAAACCATCTAATCTATCTGATCTATCTCATCTATCCAATCTATGCAATCTATCCAATCCATCTAATCTATCCCATCGATCCAATCTATCCAATCTATCCAATCTATCCAACCTATCCAATATATCTAATCTACCCCATCTATCCAATCGATCTAATCCATCTAATCGATGTAATCCATCTAGTCTATGTAATCTATCTAATCTATCTAATCTATCTAATCTATCTAATGAATCTAATCTATCCGATCTATCCAATCTATCTAGTCTATCCCATCTATCCAATCTATCCCATCTATCTAATCTATCTATTTTAATCTAATCTAATCTAATCTAATCTTTCTATTTTTCTATTTTTCTATCTATCTATCTATCTATCTAATCTATCTGTACATATTTATATATATATATATATATTTATTTATATCTATATATTTATATTTATATATATATATATATATGTGCATGTATAGATGTATAGATGTGTATATGTGCATCTGTATATTGATATAAACATATATATGTCTATATGTCTATGTATATATATATATATGTATATATGTGTATGTATATATATATGTGTATATGTGTATATATGTATATATGTGTATATGTATATATATATATATGTATATATGTATAAATGTATATATGTATATATATGTATAAATGTATATATGTATATATATGTCTTTATGTCTATATGTCTATATGTATATATGTATATATGTATATATGTATATGTATATATGTATATATGTATATATGTATATATGTATATATATGTATATATGTGTATATGTATATATATGTATATATGTATATATGTACATATGTATATATGTATATATGTATATATGTACATATGTATATATGTATATATGATGATATCCATTATATCCCATGAAACCCCAGTATCTCAGGGTAAGCCATGGGTTCTCTAAGCCACCTTTCAGCCCAGCCACAGAAGAGTTCGAACTCGATCCGCCCTACGGATTGCCCATCGAAGGAAATCTCCATAATCACCTGCCAGAAGGGGCAGATTGCTGTGCCAAATCTACCTGGGGGTTGATGAAAACATAGCCTATCTACCGGGGGTATTGATCGTCACTCACCTATGTATCCTAGCCTATCCTACTGTGGATGGTTGCGAAATCCTGCACCAAAGGATGGTTGACACCCGATGAATCATGGGATGTTTACCACCGTTTTCAACTGGTGATTCGGATTTCGCAACCATCCACAGTATTTCATCCTATGAAATCCCATCCTTCGTCGCATTCTTCGTGCTAACAGGCCTTAGGATTGACCTCAGACAGCTCGTTCTTGAGCGCGCCGGCCGCCTGACAGAGTCTAACCACTCCTCTGGGGAAGGAGCTGGAAAGCCTCAAACGGGAAAGCATCATGGAAATGATGGTATGACATGGTAGAATGCGAATCTAAACTTTAAACTATCGTAATAATGGGAATAACTAACCTCATATGGTTTGGGTTCTGTCTGAGAATCGGGTATATTTGCCCCTAACAAGCTTTAAAAAAAAATGCTGATAAATTAATCGATGGATGGAATAGGGCATGGGGCAACTATTCTCAAACAAACCCCAAAAATCTTCAAATCCGATGCATATATATATATACGCGTGTGTATATATACATAGCCTTTATCTAGAAAAGCAATCCCCTGCTATTTCAATAACGGGATATAACGGGTTACTTCGCTGGTTTTTGTTTGGGGGTAACCCATCTGGACCCTTCGTTGCCTCCAGGGTCATGGGACATACAGGTACCACTTGAAGCTCCTCCTGGCGCCACCCATTAAAACACGGAAGAAATTCACAGCCGGGAGTCCAAAGAAAACAGGAAATCTGGCATGAAATTGAAATACCATCTGGTTATTTAACATAGCCGTGGAAAATCACCATTTGTATATAATAGGTAAACCATCTATGAATGGGACATCTATATCATGGCTATGTAAATAACCAGAGGGTAACCATCCAAATTCCAGGATCCAGTTCCAATCTGGCGTCAATTTAAGGGTGTCCCCGCCCCACCCCAAATTGTGGTTTTTTCGTGCGCGGATGGCCGGCCGCCCCAGCGACCCCTCCTCCAGAGACCGAAGCTGGTCCAAAAAGTTGGTCCTACAGTCGATCTCAGGACGCTTCTCCTGAGGGAAGATGAAATGTGGATCTCAGGGAGGATAACTACTATTTTGATATGGATTTTGGGATGTGGATGTAAAAAGTATCATAAAAGAATTTGGTGTGGATAAACACATACATTCCATAAGACATAAACACAACTTTTGGGATGATTTGATATGGATTTGATATGGATTTCATATGGATTGACATACATCTGGGTAAAGCCATTTGGGGATGATTTCCCTTAACCATGATTCCACTGAGGTCGCAGTGAAGTCGGTATAATTGATCCAAATACATACAAACACATATATATATATATATGTGTGTGTACATATGGATGAATACAATGGTTAAAAATGTGGTTAACAATATGGTTAATAATATGGTTAATCATGTGGTTAATAATATGTTTGATGATATGGTTGATAATATAGTTAATAATATGGTTAAACGGATATAGTTAATATGGTTATATGATTACATATATATATATACATATGTGTATATATATGTGTGTGTGTGCATACATATAGGATCACATAGGTATGATTGCATATGCAATGATAACATGTAATGTGGGCAGAACTTATTGCATTGTATATACACTGGTTGCAATGTTATGATATATTGCATTTGATATACATGTAAGAATGTGTTGAACCATAATATGGATTCCTATATGTATGTGGTTGATAGTATGGTAAAACATATTGTACTATCTTTTAAGATGGTGAAATACATGTGGTTCTGTGACTACATAAGAAATTGGCTATATGATACCATATATGCTATATGGTGTATCAAAATGGTATAAGTATATGAATATGGTAAAATATATGATTTATGATGAAATACATGGTTGTTTTTGTGGCCAACCGGCCAACTAGAACCAAGGACGGCCTTGAGATGCCAGTCAAGTCACCTTGATGGACAGAAGGGCCTCAGAAGACTGATGGTGGGCTCGGCTAATCGTCGTTTTTCTTTCAAGAGTGTCAAATGCAGATTCCCGCCAACAGTTGATTTTCATGAATTCTTCCAGTTCCAGCACACCTGCCATTCACCTGTCAGTTTACCCAGGAATCCAAGTTGTTTACTGGTCAAATATGTTAAAATCATATAAAATCCATGTTATTTTCTGGTTAAACGGTTAAATCCCATGATTCCTGGTACAATCCCATGAAATCAGCTCCGAAACCCAGCGATTTCGCCTTTCCCAGGGAGATCTTCTCCTTTTGCATCAGAAATGCCGCCACCACGGCCACACTGCAGGAGCGGCCCGGGTGCAGTGCACCAACACCTGCCAGCTCGGAATCTCGAAACTGAAACCAGTCAACCAAACGAATAAACTTGTTATCATATCAATCAAAGCCAAAAAAAAATTATTCATATTATATCACATTATATGAATTAAAAAAACATATACTTAGGATGGGTGTATCATCTGAATATAATAAGTAATACTGAATAGAAAAAGGGCTCCAAAAATGCTATCTTCATGTCTTTTACTCGGGATACTGATGATTGATCCATGGATGGAAATTATATAATCCAATCAGTTGGTAGGATTCTTAAGCATGATGGTCCCCCGTATATAAAGTTTTTTTAACAACGCCACCCCCACTTCTGCAGCTGTCCTGGTGTATTTCTTCACCAGCCGAATGCCATAAGCCCCAAACTTCTCAAGCACCTTGGTGGTTTTTTTTTCCACATGGGTATGGTGTAACCATTATTAACCAATACCTATAATATATATTTTTTTGTTACCCCGGGGGTGACCCTTTCTACCAACGATGTAAGCACCCCCAGGGCTCCCAACCCAGCCGATGAAAACTTCCAGCAATCCAACGCTCCCGGCAATGCTGAGATGCCCCTGCTGCCACAACCTCCAGCTGTCGGCCCACCTGCGCAACGGCGCTAAACAGACAGAGAGAGAGAGAGAGAGTGAGAGAGAAAGAGAGAAAGAGAGAGAGAAAGCAAGAGAAAGAGAGAGAGAGAAAGAGATATAAAGAAAACGAGAGTGAGTGGTGCATTTACCTCCGTCGTAGGAAAACCATAGGAAACCCATGCGAAACCATGGGAAAACCAGGGGAAAACCATGAGAATTATCATAGTTGATATCACCAAACCGATGATCGTCAACCATAATCATGATGATGGGAGTAAATTGCTAATACCACCAGTAAAATCCCATTTTTATACCATTATTACAACATTGTCGCAATGGTATAGCAATGGGATATCAACGATAATAGGGTAATGGGATAGTAAATATATGGTTGGTATATGGTATATAGTTTATAATAAATAGTATATAATGGGATAGAGTGTATCAAAGGTATATATAAGATATCGTGTAAACATGGCATGGGTAAACATGGTGAGTGCTCATGGAAATTCATAGGGATTGAGGTACAGCTATAACGAAACATGGAGATGTACTGGGAATGAAACATATTCGTCTACTTTCTGGAAATTTGTTACAAAGTTATCATGGAGCACGCCATTTTGCAGAACTGGGAACCTTCTGACATTGATAGATCTTAAACCTTCACACCCCATGAAATAAACACTGACAGCTCAGCATAAAAGGTTCTACCCTGTGTGAACGCAAAGGGTGCGAATAAGGCTGCTTATTCGCGCCCTCGACAGCCTTCATTTTCTGCGCTCATTTCGTAAAATCTTCGATCGCGAAGCATTTCCCTAGACGGTATCTTTTAGTATCATGGTTGATATCCCCTAACCGATCGTCATAAACTATAAGCACGATGATGATGGTGGTAGTACCTGGCGAACCATCGTGATAATAGTAATGATGGAATCATGGGATTATATACCACCGATAATATGATACTCGGCCTCTGGGATAGTGCCATGATATAACATTAAACACATGTTTATTTTCTGGTGTATAGTCTCTATATATCATGGGATAATGGAATTATACATAGTAAAACAATAATGAGTATATATGACTGTCTGATAAATACATAGTCATTAAAATGGGAGTATCATATAATGGGGATGATAATGGGGATCATGTTCTTATCTGGTGGTTTATATTTAGAAACCATACATATATTAGCACATATATATGTGTATATATATATGCAGGTCATCATGATTTCTTATTGTTATATAAAGGGGGTGCTAGCATTGGGATTACCACATCTATCATAGATAGTATGTGTATATATATATTGTATTATATATCATTTAATCTGTATATATTACATTTCTGAAATATTAGTCGTCATGGTGGTCATAAAACGCTTGGCAGACGTTGAGTAATGCCCTTGACCAGCTTAAGTAAGAATAGTCCTCCGCTGAGCACAGTATTTTTCTGCTGTGTTTGGGTTTGTGCTTGATTATCTCTCTTGACTATGGTCAACAAAGCTACGTTCAATCCTTTCAAGAGATCAATTTCCAAGTTCTAGAAACTCGTTCATAGCCCCTGTCAGTCCGCAGGTTTCCCCAGTGCCAAGCACCAAGCCATTTGTTCATTTTCCATGATGGTCCGCTTGGTCGTGGAATCCAACTGGTCCTCATGGCAGCTGGTGATCATAGTGCAATATGTGTATATATATATAGATTAGATCTATTCATGTTGGGTCCAAAATGTGTTATATATATATGTATATATATGTATATATATAAGATCTATTCTGATTTGGGTCCAACAGTTCATTTTTGGCGCTTGTTTTTTCCGGCCCAACTTTATGGTGCGACACGGCGACTATCGAAGCTCCTTGGTTCTCGCTCGAAGCTTCGCTGCCTCAATCTCCACCTTCTTCTCAAAGTCCTGACGTTCTGCGAAAATCAACACCGATAATGTGGGGTAAAACATGGTACCCTCTGGTTATTTACCATAGCCATGGAAAATGGCCCATTTATAGATGGTTTACCTATTAAAAATTGTGATTTTCCATGGCATGTTAAATAACCAAAGGGTAAAACATGGTAAAACAATGAAAGCAATGCCATAAACCATCCATGCCTGGGAATGGTAAACATACCACCTATAAATATGGTGATTTGGGAGATGGTTTATGATTCTTTTACCCACATTAGATTAATTCGTATTAGATTGCATTTCTGAACATGCCAACTTTCACATTAATGTATGAATTGGATTGAATTGGTTGAAACATGCATTTATATAATCGTGTTTATGAACATGATTTGTTTAGCAGTATTATGTGTTTTCCAAGATAAAGGGGTGTATTTTTTTGAAGGTTTCCCTTCAATTCCTACACCGACATTCCTACAACAATGGGAATCCACGAGGTGAAATCGTACTTGAGAAATCCCCAAACCACTTGTGAAATCAGCCAGACCTTGCTGAGCGTTCGCATATCCATGGCTTTCTTTCGGTCAAAGTCGCTCATCTTTCGTTGAAATTCCTGCAATGTGAGCAGAACTGCTGCAAGATTGGTGGAACTAATATGTTGGCAACGCAAAGTATTTTTTGCAAAACTAGCCATGTTTCTAAAATGGCCACTGTTGTGTCAACTTCAGGGCGTTTTTCGATTACCAGTTCAATCCCAGTATCATGGCCAGCCTTAGCTACATATATGTATATGTATATATATATATATATATCTATACATGTATATATATATATAAATATGTATGTATATATGATATTTTATGATATAGTTATATTAATCAACGGTTTTCCGCAAAAAAAACAACTCATGTGCTCAGATAATGAAAATCAAGATATTCCCCATGGCGCCTCTTTCATGTCGGCCAACTGAAGCCTCCCACCACAAAGGCTTCTTAAAATGTCTTACAGACAAAGACGTAAATCGTCGCGAAACGGCGAAATCATCTGTGATCATCTGTGACTTTACCATTTCCAGGACCAACAGGCGAAATCTACCAAACCTCGCAAAAGTGGTCCAAAATGTCAAGTTCTGAGCCTCACGCGCCACAGAAGAGATCCTTCGCCGATCTTCCGATGCGTGCAGCTGAGGAAGGCTCTCAGTTCCTGCAATGTCACAACTCTCGGCACCGCAACAGAACCAATCAGCTAGTTGCAGCTACAAGTAGTTGGTTGCCTAGACTTCTGCTCGCAACAGCTGGTGGAACAAATGCTGGCTGCGTCCTTCACAGAAGCTTCTGTGTAGCACCCAGCAGGGACTTTGAATTCAATGTGATCCATGGCCGGACAAAAAGCGCAAACAACCCTCGCTATTGCGGGTGAAATTTGTCCCAGTGTGCCTGTGCTGCTACTTCTCACACTATCGATCCAAAAGCTGCAAAAGCATGGCACCAGACAGCCTTGATTCGGCAACCAAGCAAGATTGAACCACTGATATAATTATGTTTCTACTCTGGCTTTGTCATGTCAGCCCCTTAGCAGAATTGCACCCATGTATACATAATCAACGCACACCTAACTTTGCAGTGTATAACCATACATATATATATATATGTATAGATATATATATATATCTTTATATATGCGTGTGTGTGTGTGCTTCAGGGCCATGGAGAAGCTGATCGCAGGCTCAGCCCAGGGGTCGGCGGCAGGGGGCGGAGCCCCTTAATAAACTATATATTCAGAAACTGTTTCAGGCAATATTTGTGTGACTGCCTGTGCAAAGACCAGGTCTAGGCCCAGGCCAGGATCCACATCGCAACGCATAGTCTGTGTAGTCAGTGTAGTCTAGTCTCATGGATATCTTTGTACGGGAAAATACAGACCCTGTGTCTGTGAAGAAATAAGCACAAGTGAGTCCCAACATCCACGGGGATGATCTCTCATTTATCGGTACCTGCGGAGCCTTGCTCAACAAGACACTCAGAAACGCCGTGGGCTAGGCGATGGACATGTCCAAACTTGTTTTGGCAATGGCAGACATGAAAGAAAATCCCATGAACATCCATAAACTGATAGGTTCAGACATTGGCTCCTTTGGCGTCTTCCTTGTAGGAAACAAAGTTTTCTCTTTGTCAAGCTATGTACAACAGAAACAGTTGCCTTCTGCGGAGGTCGGCACTTTTTTACACTCTGATCGTTTGCGCGCTTTTAACCTCAGCGGCAGGATAAGGACCCAAAATGATGTATGTCACTGTGTAACTATGGATATCCCATGACAATGTTGGACTCCGCAATTGCCCACACTAGTCATGTAATGGTCTTGAATTCACTTGATTACAATCTTGGAGGTCAAAACTTGGACATTCTCCTGATGGTTTGCCTCTGCCTCATTCCACCTGCCTTGATGTTAGGCCTCTCCTTTGATCCCTTGTTGGGTAGATTGTAAAAAGTGATTCTACGAGGAAACAGCTGCATGGGACAAACTGTCAAGATTGGTCTACGCAATTCAAAAACATTGGACATACTCGACCCCTCTTCACTCAAGCCCTATTCTACTTCTCCAGCCACCCCCACAAACCTGCAACACCACCTTCAGTTCAGTCATCTGCAAGAGCACGTTCCTAGCATGACTGACCATGTCGACAAGCTACTGGACCAAAGGGTTCAGAACATTTCAGAACCAAGAGCAATTGGCATCCCACCACAAGAGTCAAGAAAGTCAAGGGGTACAAATGGCAAACCAATGGTCATTTTACCCTGATTCCCTCGTGAGCACAGAATGAAATTAAGCACTCTTGTCAAGTTTTGTCATGTTTTGTCATATATACTGTCAGGTATTTTCAGGTATTGTCATGCATCACATGTGTATCCCTATACTTTGCATTGGGATGTTCACCTGCATTCACCCTGACAGCCAAGAAATCTCCAGCCTCGTCGGACTCTGGGGTCACTAAAATCCAGATCCTCCAGGGATGCTGGGTAAAATAGTGGGATTTAACCAATTTAACCATCAAAACATTGGGTCTAACTAACCATCCAAAAATCTCAAAATGCTTGAAACGCGAAAGTGCCCGAGATGATTTGGTAATTTACTACTTGGAAATGAGTGGCCACAGAAGGCTTATCAAAATATGTATATATATATATATATATATATTTAAAAAAAAAAAAAACACAGTCCGTGAGGTATATTTATAGTGCGGAACTGCCATCACTGGATCTGCCAGGTATTCAAATATACATTTGCCACGTCTTCACCTCAACAGCAGTCTTTGAAACCTGTATGACAAGATATGACAAGATTATTCCTGAACTGGTTCAGGGTAATCTTAAGATAAATGTTTATCACACAGAATGATACAAAATGCATTTTGTTACTTGGCATGAGTGTTTGCCGGCACCAAACGCTCATGCTAAGACTTGCTTGAGCATTGATACACTGGGATCCAACAATCGGTCAATACGACGTATCAGCAACCAATCCATCAGTTTCAACATTAATAACCTGAAGATACACGTTGTTTCACCATAAACTTGCCAGAACTACTTCGCTCCGGATCCCCGCTCTAGTAAAAGCCTCCTGTGGCATGAATCTTTGCTGATTTCTGCTGTTGCTTCCATGGAAGGCATCTTGTGTGCCCTTGGTTAGACAATCAAAATGGGTGCTTTGGCAATCTTTGGCTTTTGGGCCTTGATCCATTTTCCCACTGCCCTCTTGGCTTCAATTTTGTTGTCACTGGCCTTCTTTCAGAGTGTCTGTGGACTGAAAACGCAGTTCGGTTGATAGTCGCTGCACCGCCGCTTGGGCAAGTTTGAAAGGTGGTGTGGCGTTTGTCCCAAACACAATGACCTTGGTATCATCTCCCAAAGGGGGATATGCAACTGTCAATTCATTGCAAGGATTTTCAATAGTGACAAGAATGGTGCTACTACAAAGACCCATCTGGTTCGATGTCATCTGGCGCGAAGAGTATGTCTTGTTGTCCACGCAAACTGACCATAGCCATGACCCGAATGTCGGGAAGTCTACTGATACTACTTGTGACCACGAGAGCTCCACCATGGTAAACCACTTGGGTTCGCTGAATGTGAGTTTCCTAACTTCCCGCATAGCCCCAGATAGTTTATCTGTTTTCGCGGCAACGGGATCCGTCAGACCAACACGCTGGTTGATCAGCAATCCTTCGGAGTTGCGATTCAACAGGAAGCAGTCCATGACACGCTCACTTTGTCTGCGATCCAAATGTTCCCTCACTTTGTCAACGAAAAAGTCCTTTCTCATTTGTGTGAAGCGTATGTACGGGGACATCAAACGCAAAATCGCGTCGTGTTGCGCCACTTCACCGGACCCCATGGCAGCAGCGAAGGGCCCCAGCAGCTCCGGTTTCTGAAGAGCTGCGGCGGACCACTCCAGCGGTCCCAGAGGGTCTCCTCGTTGACTCGAAATTCCTCCAATTTGATCAACTTGGATATGATGGAGCCATGAGTTTCAACAAAGAAGGGAGACTGCACAACCTCTTCACTCTTAGCCAAAAGGATGCTCCAATATGTCTGCTGTAGTTCTTCTGGCAGACTCAAGGACGCTTTCAGGGATTCGGTGAAAATTTGCAAAGCTGCTGTGCAATCCAAATCTTTCGAGTTTTGCAAGTAGTCCAAGCAATATTTCTCTAGATCATCTATCATGTACAACCTTGCCGCAGTAAATGCGTGTAGGGCTCTAAGAGGAGTCAGTTTGGGCTCCAAATGGTATGCACTTCGGATCATGACGTCGAAGGCATCAACAGTCACATCTTCCAAAATGAGTTCACCTGTGTGTCCTTCCCGAAAGTCACCATACAAAGCAGCCTTCAGTGGCTCAGAAAGAGTTGCCAAATGTGCCCGGATGAAGGGCACACGGTGACGTTCAGGTCCTACAAGAGCCACAGCATCACACAAATCTTCGTCTGAGATTAGACGTTCACACCATCTGTCTTGTGCTTGCTTGAAGGCCTCCATAGCCAATGCCACTTCTCCGAATGGCACAGAAAGATTTGGTTTGTAGTTTCAAGATTGCATTCATGAAAAGAACCTTCATAACGGTGTACGGTATATGGACAAAATATGTCCAAACATGTCCTGTCCAAGCGTCCATAGAAGTATAGAACTAATTTGACTTTGCGAGGGCGAGTTGTTGCGATCTTGCAAGACGTATGCAAATGCTGTGGGGCAACCTGCATGTTATCTCAAGCTTGTTTCCAGAATGCTTCCGACACTTCTCTCACTCTGTCTTGAGGTTTTACCGTTTGAGACAGAAATCATCGGCTGATGAAGTGGCCCGCAACTGGACCAACAATCATTGTCAAGTATTGTGCCACTACAAATCCATGGGAACAAAGGAACATCTAGGAGCTCAATCATCAACTGCTGGACATTGTGGTTCCCCCTTAAGTGGTTGTGAGAACATCCAGCGAGCCACCCCCATCCGTTCGCTGCTTGCCCAGCCTCCAATTTGTCACGCTGCATTTGGCCTCATCAGCCAGCAGTGTTGGTGATTGTCTGTCGTTTGAGGATCATACTTTCTTGGAAAGTGGCTGGATCTAGTTGGGGACCTACCAAGATCTACCAAGACGATCAACATCTATCATATCTATCAACCAGCTGCAAATGAGTTGGTCCAATACTCAAAAAATGGATGGCCTTGTGGGGAGCCATCTTTTGGGATCCGATAGCAGGAACATCAAACCGCGCGTGCCCAAGAAGCCGCCCAACCTGACGAGTGGTGCGAATGGTCTCAGGCATTGCCAACGCGTAGAGGGTTTGAGAGTGCTTCGACATCCAACAGCTTCAGAGATGGTGTGCAATTGCAAGAAACAGCTTCATCCAGCATGGAAACTGGAAGCTGTTGGGTGACAATCCAACCGGGATGGGTGTTACCAAGTATTGGAGGCGTCCGTGAAAACGAAATTTCCGTGACCAGGTCCCCCTCCTCCATTTTGGAGGCGCCCGAAATCCCTCTGGGTCCTCCCAACATCGGACAGACCAAGGTGTTGATCAAAGGAATCAAAGGGTTGAAGACCTCCCAGTGGAGAGGAGGTTGGCAGTAGGGTGAAGATTTTGGCTCTGGAAAACAGCTCGCAAAGGCAATGGCTCGAAGAATCTGGCAGGGATGTCAAAAAGAATTTCAAATGTCTCAAATCCACGACGAATTCCCATCAAAAGTCATCAAACATCATCAAAAATCATCATCAAACATCCAACTGTGTCTATATGTTGTTGTGTCCTATTGGTTATCTCAACCCATCTTCGACTGCATCACCTAAGGCATCTGAGGCATCAACCATGCGCATGGAAGTCACTGTGCCATATGACGATAGGATTTTCAAGGTCTTGTAGTGCCTGAGGCATCTCACTTTTGAGGGAAACCATCCCAGGGAAAATCAGCTTCTCCAAGATGATTTTTTCCCAAAGTGTGGTGACCCGCGCTGGTGGTGTGGAAATGTGTGGAATCTGTTTGGATCTGGGCCTCTTCTTTATCGAAACTTGGATCGTCATCCATGCCAGTTTCATCAGGTCTCCAAGTCAGCCATGTCAGTATGCATTTGTTTCAGACATGTCAATGGGATGTTGGTATATGTGGCATGTTCAACTCCTTCCTGTAAATGGTGTCTAAAACATTCTAAAACCATCTAAAACCATGGTTTATCCAGGTTTTTTGCCCCTTAACATTGCCATAACTTGGGAAATCCAACCCAGGGTCACAGCCCACCACTGGGTGTAACGAGCTGGGTGTCCGGGCAACTCTGCCGGTTGGTCTCCTCGGCATCCTGACCAGTAATGATATTGGGTTGTTATTATAAACAGTGTCTAATAATACTAACATAATAACAATGATATTGTTCATTATATGAATATTGGTATATTGTTTATTAGCAATATTTAAAAGTAAGTGTGATTATTGTTATTACTAAGTTATTACTATCATGACTATTAACGGTGCTATTGTTGTTATCATTATTGTAATATCAACAACAATAGAAGTAATGGCAATAATAGTAATCATCCAATGTCGGATTGAAAGAAAAGGAATTGGATCACTTCCACCAATCCATGCAGCTCATGTGCCAAGACCGGCCTTGCAAAATCGCATGAAGGACTTGGAGGTTTCCAAAGAGCTCATCGTGGTGTTGGCTGTAAAAACAAAGCACATGGCCTGGCCCAGATTTCGGGATGCTATCCCAATACTCTCACTGAGTGCATGTTGCATTAAAAATTTTGCCCTGCAACTCCCAAACTCTGCTGAACTCTCCTTGCAGTCGTTCTCTTCACAAGCAGAATCGTTTGGATGTTGATACCAGTGTCCCTGAGCTCCTTCCCCCCGAACCAGTGGTCGGATAAAACACGGCAGCAAGACTACACAAAGCACCAGGCCGGCCTAATCCGATTTGCAGATTTGGCGAGATGCGCATTTTTTGCATCTAAGGCAATCTAAGGTTGATGGTTCCAACATGTTCCAACCTGAAACGAAAAGATCCATAGGTTGGATTTTCCCAGCCATGAAAAACAGGGTGGAACGTATTTGTCCAAGTCATTGGATTGCAAGAACCAGAGAACACATCCCACCAGCCGGCCACCGCCTTGCGTTACATGAGAACCGGACTACCAGGTAAGGTGCTTCAACTCCAGACCTTCCGCAAAAAAAAAACAATAGGATCCGGATATAGTTGCACATATCATCACATATCATCACATATCATCACATATCATCACATATCATCACATATCATCACATATCATCACATATCATCACATATCCAGATATGTGTATAATACATATATGTATAATATATACATATATATATGTATGTATATTTATATATATATACATGTATATATTTATGTATCTATGGGGTAGACACTGTGCAAACAAAAAACTTTTGACTACTGGAAAAAAAGATAAGGTTCACCCCTACTTAGATTTTGTTCCAGTATCATCCCTATATACATTATATACATGTATACAGTAGTCATATAGTGAATATAGTGTCCTCCATGTTCTCAGCACTGTTCTCATCGTTTTTTTCAGCTGTTCCCGCCATAGCCATGGCGCTCCATTTCATTGAGCTTCATGTCAGAGGTTTTTGTCAGCCGGAGAAGCTCCATCCATTGGGATCAGCTCCGTGATTCTTCACTCTGTCACCTTGGGGGTTTTCAACTCTCAAACCCAGGATCTAATGATATCTAATGTATATTGTCTGATTTTGTGTGTAATTATGTATGTATAACATATATATATATATGTGTGTGTGTGTGTGTCTCTGCTGTGTCTCTTTCAGCCGATCCCAACGAGAGCCAACTGTGTGAGTCTGTTTTAAACACACGAGCGCTATCCAGAGCTCTACATTTGCACAGCGAAGACTTCATATGTGTCCCAACGCGGAGGGACCCATACTATCAACTTCCCCAATAGACCAATAAATGGTGGATATGGAGGGGTCAAGAATTTGTGGAAACCTGCAAGTATCGCCACTGCTGGTGATATCAGAGTCATATCCCCAGCTTGGTCTTGTGAAACTTGAAACTCCGCGAAACTCGGCACTGGCCGAGTTTCAGTGCTGCATCAGAGGCCCAGGGTGGCCTCAGGCAGTTGCCACGCAAAAAACGCTGTGATACTCTGGGGAATGCAACAGGATCTTGCCAGATGTTCCAATTTTGCCATATCTTACCATACTAACTTTGTGTGTTACCAACTGGTACGTCGATTGATCTTGAATGCATCGAAATTGGCCATGGCCCACTTGGCTACTTGGCCCACTTGGCTACTTGGCCCACTTGGCTACTTTGCCCCACAGCACCGCGCAAGGACCACCTCCCACGGCGATCTGCCCCAAGCCCAGCGGCTTTGCGCAGTGGAGGAACCAAGACCAGCAACAGCAGATAGATGAGCTGAGTGGCACAGCACAGCACACAGTGATGCTTAGCTGAAAGGAAAAAGCTTAGGAGTACAGAGTACTCAGAGTACTGGGAAGATTCTATCGTTCAATGTATTTACCTTTCATACCTTTTCTTCGGATGCTTTGAACCAACGAAAAACATCATTGATGTCTGGATGATCCTGGATCACTTTCACTCAAGGCCCAGGCCAGGAGAACACCTCAGGGCTGGAGGACCATGAGGGGTCCATAGATGTCCATAGCTTGATCTTTAAGCCAAATCATTGCAGTGGGCAAAAAAGAATACTATAGACTACATACATAACATATATATACATAATATGTGTGATATATTTATATACATGTCCCAGCAAAGCATCACAACACTTGAGACAGAATAGATGAATAGATTAGATGCTTTTGGAATTTGTTGATTTATCGAGATCATCGAGCGATTCCATCTTTCCAAACATCACTGCAGCCAGGGACAGATGAAGGTCAGGGTTGGTGCCACCCAGGTGATGGGTTCATCCAGATTCACCTCATCCGGATCCTTCACGCTGAAGTCACCTGAAAAATGAAAAAAAAAAACCTGCGACTGGGTCAAACCCTGATTTTCTATGATTTTCTTAGGTTAAAAATGGTTAAACATCAAAATAGCTGGGAAAAGGATAGTCATCCCCCTAAAAAACGGTATTCCATGTACATTGATCCATGGCCTGTTGATTAGTAGACCCAGAGCCACTCGGCGTGAGCTGGCGCCTTCTGAGGGGAATTCATGTGCGGAGACCACAGCATTCTCGAAGATCTCACCCATCCTTGCCCTGCATCAAAGGCATAGCTGGAGATAGGCGACACCTTTCGTTGTTTCAAGAAATGTGGTTCTCTGTCTTGATCAAGCACCCAACAGTTCATGCCGTGTTCACGTCTTAGGTGACCCCGAATACCAATCCAACAACCACATAAGACTTTCATCAAAAATCAAATTCTGTAATTTTGTTTGCAACTTCTTAATGCTTTTGCTCATCAATCACAGCAAAGAGGAAGTGCATTTGTCGTACCTGATCTTGGCTCGATCCGTTGGCCACAAGCCAGAGTCGCACTCCAACTGCGAGTTTGTGCAGCGCTGCAACCCAGCGAGGCAATGAGCAAAACTGCCAGTGTTCCGATCCGTAATCACTTCTACAGTGTATCTTCGTGTATCTTCGTGTATCTTCGTGTATCTTGGTGTCCTGAACGGAAACCACAAAGGGACAGTTTGGGAGACTTTCATTTCGGAATCAGACCTAGATCACCAAATCTTGGTAAGGCTGTCAAGTCGTTTCGCCTGAAATCTGAAATGACCTGTCATCGGCAATCTATGGCCCGGCCCCAAAGCCCCAAGGCCCTGCAGATCAAGGAACTGTGAAGTTATCCCACTTCTTGGAAACCACCACGTTATCTGGCACAGGCTATCAGCAGGCTATCACCAGGCACCGCTTTACACCAGACTTCCGAGGTGGGACATTACAATTACCAAGGTCCAACTGACGACCTATCACTGGGCGAAGCAAAGTGGAATTGGTCAAGTCTGCCCTGCAAATAGGTGGCACCACCTTTGGAACAAAAAACCGACGAAACAGAATCACTGCTTGCTTTGCGGAGCCTCCAACTTGCTTTTGCTCCCAAACGTGATCAGAAAGCAACAATAGACTCGTGCTCATAATGTTGTGATCTGGTGAACCTAATACATGCAAAGGATGCAAGGTGTTCATTGTGGGGTTGTACCCGAACTGGTGTTCTGCAAACCCCAAGTCATGTCAGCAGTGCCATTAATGACCACTTGCATTGTGGAAGGAGGGCATTTGCCAGCCTGCAACCAAGACATTAGCCACAACATCAGAGGACAACCGTTTGATGCTTACTCGATTTCACATCCGTGGCCACTCAAATTGTTAAATGCGTTTTGTATCTTTTTGGTACTTCTTTCGGAGAAAGACAACATCACACATGATGTCATAGCAAGGAATGCTCAAAAAATGAAAGACCTTCAATTTGATCATCTATATCAATCTACAATGTTGCCGACGTAGTTGAAGATCAATTTTGAGTCAAAGAGAAATCAGTGCATCGCTCTGCGTCGCTGCAATTTGGTATGGCCAGATGGCATTCCATGGAGTTCTGCTTCCCAAGCTCTCAGAAATTCTGAAATTACAATCAAAAATCCTGGAAGTTCATGGTCAAACTGCCGCAAAAGCCAACCAATCTGCTTCAAATCAGTGATTCTAAACCCAGCCTTGTCCAACTTGATGCGAATCCCAGTGGGGAACCATTTCCTTAGGTCGCAACTCTCAACTCAAATGGTGCCATAGTTGCAGTACCTGGAGAGAAGGACTGTTCGTCAAAGGAACCTGGGTTTGCCCCACAAATGGACCTTTGATGAGGAAAATCAGGATTAACATGGATTAACATGGACTAACATGGATTAAGCATGATCAACCATCAAATTTAAGGGTTTTCCCCAACGTGTTCGGACAAAGCAACCTTTTCAGCGACAACCCAACCAAGTCAAGTCAAAGATCCGACGTCGAAGTTTTCTTCCCCTCCAATAAGTCCGCCAACCAGTATGCAAGTAATCTGATCTCCGAATTGCACCCTCCCATATCTCAAAATTCAGGACACGCGCTGAAATCCCGCAAATTTGATTCATCCCGATGATGAAAACTCATGGAACCTCTTCAAATTCGGGAACCTAAATTTGACACGTCCAGCTTCAAAAGCATCCTCTCCAGAGCGACGACTTGTTTCGCCTTCTGCCAGCCTGAGCCAGTGATCCCGACAAGTATGCAGGGAGCCTTTCGCCACGGTGTGAATTTGTGCCAACAAAATGTTGGTTTTGGACAGTTTTGGATGGTTTTGGATGGTTTTGGGGTCATCCGGGCCCGAAAAATCTTCAGAGCACCACGCAAACGCACTTTCAACATGGGATGCGATGGGATGCGATGGGGCCTCGCACCACCACCTCTGCCGCAGGTTTTGGACCGTCGCTGTTGCTATTTCCATAGAAGGACACAGTCCGCTCCTGCGTCGGTCGTGATAGCTATGGATCTATTTCCGGTGTCCCGGTGTCACAGAAGTTCAAGGGAAATGATCAAGACATTCCAACGAAGTCTGGAAATTCAGGGTGGATTCCTTCGATCACCCGAGAAAATGATGGCCATGCGACTGGCGACCTCGTCCAATAGCGGCTCTTTGGACGCCATTGCTTGGGCTCACAAGACAGTCACTTCACTGAGCATGAAGTGGTCACAAGATTCGAAGAGTGGATGCCATCGATGTGTGGCTAACATAAGGCTGCGTTTGGAATGGTGTCCATGATCTTCTATGTTCTTTTCCAACTTTGTCTTCATAGTGTGCACTGTGGCATCAATAATTTCAAACAGGACGGCTTCGGAACATCACAAATCAGGAACATGTTTGTTCGCATTCCGCTCATCTGCACCTCACTACCAGCCATCTGGTAGCAACCACCAAACCTTCCCATCACTTCAAAGGCAAACCCCCGTGTGAAGTGTAGCTCCCACAGTTCCGCCTGGTAGTCGATACCTGGCGGGAACGTTCAAATACCAAAACAGGGCTATACTGCAGTGTTAGTTACCTTAGAAAAAACAAAAATCGACTAGCTTTCTAGTGTTTTTAGTACGGAAACCCATGGCTTTGGGATCACATCGGCCTCGCCAAGTAAAGGTCTGAGCCAACAAAGTCAAGTTCACATTGAACACGGCGCTGAAGGCCTGCGATCCCATACCAAGTCAGTCTTTTGAGTATATGAGTGTATATGATGTATCTGTATATGAGTATATGCATCTGTTTTATATTGTTTTTTGATGGCCAAAGATGGCTGAAGCATCCAACTCAACATCGAATTTGAACAGAACCAGTCCACCAAGATCATCCAAGATCCAGGCATTCACCACCGAGATGGTGTTCCGTGTTCCCTGCGGGCTGCCAAGGGGTAAACTGGGTAAAAGCTGGCTGAACATCTTTGTAAGAATAGCAGATAATAGCAGCTGAATAGCATGGAGTTTTGCCCTGACATGTCATCCCGTTTGGGCCCGTTTGAAAGGCAATATGGGTCAATATGGCATCTATCAGTGTCCCATCGGTTGAATGGTCACAAGATTTTGCTAGACGTCAATTCCCATCTGGTTGTACTGCCAAGTGGATCTTTGTCTTCGTCTTCGCCATCCCTGGCTCCATGCCCGCCGTGTACCCCATTCTGGGTGGGCCTGTGCAGTCGCCAAGCTGAGAATGTTGGCACCATGTCTCGTCATGGAGTGGTACCTTCGACTCAGCAGGTCATCGCAGGTCATGGCAGGTCAGCAGGGCAACGATCTCAATTTTCTCAAGATGACTCTGACCTTAGCAGCACTCAGCTGGCAATCCCCCGGGGTACGTCGTCAAATCCGCACCGCCTTGAAATCCAGTGCCACTCACGGAGCTGCCAAGATGGTCCAGTGGAACCTGCCATGTGGTCCAAGACCAAACCAGTGTTTCGATTGGTGGTATTTAATACATTTTAATACCAGGGCAAAGGGATTAGTTAGTTGGATGAGTTGCGCGGGTCTTTGTTGGATAAGGTGTCTCGAACCAAAAGTTGAACACATGACCAACATGACTGGTGGGCCAACATGGGCCAACACTGCTGGGTCTCTAGAACTGACTGATGCAAGATCCTGAAGGGAAGCGCATGGGCGAGGCCATGCGAATCCATGAATCGTATAGTCACTGTCTTCATTATTTTGATTCCACACATTTATGGATGTGTCCAAGGTATACCGTATACGCCCAATCAGCCACTTGAATACGGAAAATGACGATTGGCCAGTGGATTCGGGGATGCCATTAGACAAACCATGACAAACCCATCACAATTTCAGAACTTCCCAGCTCAGTGAGCCGCCTTCAAAGCCCCAGGTCCACATGGTCATCACAATGACCACCTCGGATAGGCGCTGGTGCTGAAGAAGTGTTGCTCTTGGAGTAGTTCAACCATAATCTGCCGATCTAGGAAGTTTCATATCTTCTGTTGCAATTCCCACGTGGAGAATCCCTTTTTCCACCTTTTTCTCAGCTCGATTTTGCCACCGAAACATCACAGTCGGACCTAACACAGGACCCCAGGCGACTGGAAAGATCGTGGACATGAAGCCTTGCCCGAGGCCCTGCAACACCTGGGCCAAATTCCAGGAGGTCCACATTTTCGTGACAAACCAAACATCAACAAACTTCCAAAATGCACAACAAATTAAAAAGGGAAATCAGATGATAATGAAATGATATGTGAACATCATAGATGGAAATGGGAATATGATGATATATGATGTCTCATCACATCTTGCAAAGCTCCAGCAGTTGCAGATGTGGTTTGAACCGCAACATTTTCCCGCCTGCACGACACCAAGGTGAGCGTTTTTCGCCAGTCCTGCCAACGACATGTTGCCCGAGGTTGTTATGATTATGGCTCTGCAATCGGGCAACAATGGACCAATGGCTGGGGTCAAATCTGGTATCAAACTTGCATAAACCAATATCCAACTTGGGGTAAATAGAAATACATGTGAGCCTTGTTCAATTTATATTTGGATTTTACGAATCCTGATTTTTTCGGGGACGTTCTTTTTGGGAGCGACTGTAAATCCTGATTCTTTGCAATTCGCCAAACAAAAGACTACCAGCAGATTGAATTCCTAACTTTGCATCGATGTCAACAGCCCTGGCCAAGTGCCTCACTGGCCAATACTCAATGCCAGTGCAGAACTCACTGGACACCACACAAATCTCAGGGGCGATTTGACCTGCGTGCAGCAGATTTCAGGAAGGTTTGGCTCAGCCCCTGAAGTCATGTTGAAGTCAGACCATGCTTGGCTCACGGAGCAATTCATGGTGCACGATGACAAATGCCCTACAGCTGTAAAGCAACCAAATCTCCCCCTGATACATCTATCCATACCCAACTCTTGGAGTTTAATTCCCATGGCTGGTTGAAAGGACAACGGACCTTTTGTTGCAGCCTGTCACGGCTGTGAAAAACCGCGTGAGACATGTTGGAAGTCTGGTTCTTAGTAACAACATGTAACAACTGACCACTGAAACAACGGGCGGAAAGGTTTTGAAAAAGGTATTGCTGGTTGGGGTTGGACTCTCCAGTGTAATGAGGGAGTAGCCATGATGGTGAGGGATGGCTTCGCAACCGTGGCGCTCCTGTACTAGGTGCGCAAGTTCCAGTTGCAAGCAGTTTCAAACTACGGCAGGAAAGCATGCGCCCTCGGAACACATCATGTGGTTCACGCTTTAACATGCTTCAATGATCTTCAACGTTTCCGGGGATCGCCCGGAATTTTTTGGTGCCATCCAGTTGCGGCATGATTTCCTGGTGGGCTCTCATAGTTCAATAGAGCTCAACCATGTCTGCCTGATCCAACATGGCCATGGAAGGCTCCTGTTGGAAGGTATCCCTGTGCATCCCCATCGGCCCGTCAATGTTGGTGACATCACTATGTGGATATGTTTTGAGTATACTACATACTGTTATTCTCTGTTTTGTAAACCATAAATATCCCGGTGTTGGTTCTTTATCCCCTACCACCTTATCATGTAATCAAAAGAATCTTCTAGAGCCACACGAAAAAGGTCAGCCAGAGATAGAAAGCATGGAAAGCCTAGCAGCAAAGTGCGAACTTTACGTCAAGAATCTTGATGAATCTTGTACATGTGTTTTGAATGATTGCCACACAAATTTGTTTGTTTGAAAATAGTACCCCCAAATTTGATGGTTGGATCATCATTTTCCTTGTGAAAATAGCCATATATTGGGCGTAAGCCACCCATATGCAAACGATCCTCAACATCATGTTGTTGGTTCTATATCCCCGTTGTACCTCTATTATATTCCCATCAATATCCAAAATATCACTCGTTTCTACGTCCATTTCGCCCATTAAAGTCCCGTTGAAAAACATGTCGCACCTGCTTCCGGAGAGGCTCCGGCTCCACACGGGAAGGCCGTTTTGAAGACGGATGTGGCAGACCATCATTAAAGGCCTGCGGTTTTTTGCTCCAAAGCCCTGTTTATATTGGGGTAAATCTGACAGCCCAGCTTGGGATTGTCAATTTAAGGATACATAGTATAAAATTAAATTGTGTATAAATGATTATAAATGATATTTGGGTTTTGATCTGAGATGTCTTTCCCTCCAAACCGCCACTCTTGGACAAACAGGAAATTACTTTGTTGATCAAGGAGGCTGCATGTTCGTGGCTTGAAGAAAGTACATCCTCATCGTGAAAAAGAAAACCTTGGCAGGAGCCATTTTTTTTTACATGAATGGCCTTTGTTCTCTACAATCCTTACAAAGACCTTCAGCAAATTACCATCATGGGGGATGAAACCAACTAAGGATGAGGGGATACAAGTGAAAATCTCTGTTGTCATGGCTTCCTATGGTCTATGCAGCATCTGAAAAATACAACTGTCACCCAGCCTGCCATTGCTGGCTGATCCAGTGAGAGACACTTGTCCTGGCCAAGCCATTGCAGAACAGCTGCTGCAGCTGGAATTTGTCAAAAAAAAGTGAGCTCTAGTAGTTCTTGTATGTTCTTGTGGGATGTATCTCATTGTTTTTTAATGCTTTTTTCATGATATCAATTATATCATATCCCAGTATATTCCCAATGTATGCCGCATTCAACCAAGCACCTTCGAGCGCGGGGAGCTTTCACTCCCGGTGGTCGTGGCTTCCGGCGTTCCCTGGTCGGATAGAGCTAGTGAAGACATGGCCAGCTAGGCTAGTTGGGTAGCTTATGATATCATAATCAAAAAAAAGATCGAAAAGTGAACCTTCACTATTTTCATGGGGATTGACTTTTCTATCTTTTTGGGGATGACTCTATATTTAGTTGGATGTTCTTTGATATGATGAATATGATTGGATTTGGAATTTAGTTTAAAGGAATATCACAGCACGTGGAATCGATTCACTTTGCCTGGCTAGTCCTTAAACGCTTCCCACATTCTCTCTTCACCTAACCTGCGATGTTCCTGGAACACTTCAGCAAAAACAGGTTGCCTCCACCACTTCTGCGGAGGCTCCGGGGGGCAATTTAACCTCGGCCACGCCAGATAGGATCCAGTCCCAAAAACCTTCTAGGAGAAAATTTTATTCCAGGCAAAGCTTGCATCAATGCAAGCCTTTACATGTGTGGTGGAGTGAGATGTCTAGTTTTCTCAATCAGAAACTCATTGGAAGGCACTAATTTCAGTAGTTCTTGCCCGTCATCCCCCAGCTGCCGTTGGATCGCCAAGGGGCATCAACTTCAGTTTCTCCAGCGATTCATCCAAAGAGACCTCCTCAATCACCCGACCTCAAGAGCCCATGGGAAAATGATGAAAAACCCAGTGGAGTTTGGCCCTACAAATTTGTCACAAACCCAATGCATCATAAATATCATGAATTTATCTGTCACTAAAAAACCGGCCCACAATTGTCCACAACATTCCACAGCTCTCCGTGAGATGGAAACCAAAAAAAAATGCCTACGTTCCGTCAGAAAATCATGGAATCCATTATCTTCCAATAGCTCAACTTCTGTCTCTTGGGCGTTCCATTTCTCCATCCGGCTTTCTCACACCTCTCATGTTTTTTCCACCCCCCCAAAAAAAATGGATCAAATCCACCAACCATCGGTACAAACATCCTCTGGTGTAGCTCAGTATACTGCCATGAGTCGCACCTAAATGGTCGATAAACATCCACCATCTTCCACTGGAGCAGTGTTCCAAATCCTCTGCCATTCCATTAGAATCATAACACGTATCATAATAGTCTATAATACTGGTTTGTTCATCGGGATTCCCACAATGGATAGTGATGATCCCCAATTTATTGAGTATAGTACATTAATCCCAAATATCCCAGATTTCTTCGTCAAACCACAGGGGATCCCTTGCTTGGCGTCCCAGCATGCGACCACGCCATGGAAGGGCTCCGACCCCGCGGAGGGCTTGGAACTGTTGGAGCCCATGGAAGAACGGCGGCCGCGGCTGGAAGCCTCACTGCCTCGGTTGCGGTGAGCCCTGGGGGGAAGTTGAATGTTGATCCACGTTGATCCAAGTTGCTGCGACAAATAAACCATCAGGGTTACATCATGTTACAGCTGCATACTTTGATGGGAGGACTTGTGCTTCTGCGATCTGTGGAAATATGTGGAAATTCGTTTCAAAACTCAATTCACGTAGCAACCAGTCCCAGGGGCAATTCGCCAAGGCTCCAAGTCCTTGGCTACCGACTCCGTGCTTCAGATTGGCGCTGGCCGTGCCCAGCGTTTCCGAACCAAAGAACGACAGTGGCACGGAAGACAGCGGGACGGACACATCGCCTTGGAGATGGCCAGATAGCCATGGGGGACCTTATGAGATATGGGTAGTCAACACCCAAGAGACGGAAATACATGGAAATACCATATTTGAAAACATGAACATCCATAAAAATATGTATTTACCAGCTATTCAGCTGTTTTGGTGCATGTAAACATCCAATTGACCCATAACCATGTCCTTCAATTGATTGAGACATTGAGATCACACATGAATGATTCAGAGTCCAAAAGCCGCAGAAAACAGAGCTCAGTCTAAAGAAGCTCTGTTGTGCTGGCCTACGTGTCAGGAACAATAATACACTTGTGAAGTCTATAAAGTTCTCCAGTTCGTGCATATCACACCAAACAGCACGTTTTCCACCAAACGGCAAATCTAGTTTTGGTGGTTTTCAATGCAATTTGGACTCTGACATGCTACAAGTCTACCTATGCTTCAAAGCATGAAAAGAAAATTGCAAGAAATGCAAAGAATGGCGGCTCTGGCTGAGCTCGCGGAAGAAATTTAACCCGGCTAGGGATATAATGCATGTTACATTTTAAAGAAAATTATGTATTTAAAATATCAATTTGCAAAAAACTAAGGATGATTATATAACTATATCCATCCTGCCCCTGAAAATGGACCTTCATGCAACGGAGGGAAGAAGTGTCCACTCGTCTTGGAGCTGGTGCCAGTGTCCTGCGGCCCACAACTGATGCTTGTTCATGCTTGTTCTACTTCTTTGGAGCTGCCATGCCTTCACAGCATTTTTTTGGCGGGCGTCCATTTTGGCACGCGTAAAAGACATCGTCTTTTCCAGAGCTTTGGGGCGTGGTTTTTGTCGTCGAAAATGCCCTTGCACACTATGGCGCCATTGGGAAGTACCCTGCTACACATCCTTATCAAACTGCTGGATACATCCCCAGTCTTTTCAAATACATCCCTGCCCATCGCTGGGGATACAGTACCTTCGTGGCTGTCCTCTTCAGGGTCAGCTAGGGACCAGAAAGCATAGTGACGAACGGCCTGCGAGTCAAAAACACACCAAGTTGATTCAAATCAATCCGAACTTATATGATTTTGTATAAGTTGTATGGGAAAATGCTCTGTTTCTGTGGAAATTCACCAACTTCTGTGTTGAATCCCACGTCTCGAACCAAATGAGGAAGCCAGCCTCTTTTGCAGTCAGCCGCTTGCGTTCAGGGCAAACCCTCAGGTTGACACAGTGGGTTCTGACGGCCATTCTCACAGCACAAGTTGTGTCGCAAGCTGTCAAGCCCAGCTGGAGGGTGCATTCCAAAGGGTGCATGATTGCACTTCCGTGCAGCTGTGAGCTTTTCTGAATGAGGGAATACAAGAGACCATGCACTTCCTCACAAAATCGTATCATTCTCCAACCAAGACACATTTTTTCCAGTAGATCCTGGGGCGCAAGGGAAATCGGGCTGTACAACGTTGGCCGAGCTGCAGGCAATACAAATGAAGACATTGATCAGCACTGTGTCACTGTGCACAACAAAAAGGACATTCTCAGCATTTCCAGTGTTTCCCAGTCATATGAGAACCATTTCACTTTGACATTGGACTCCAAAGATCTCCAGTCTGCACCTGACAGGAGACCGGCAGCTGGGATAACGGCGCATGGTCGAAGCACAGCTCCGGTTCAGGGCTGTGCCACCAACTGCGGCGCAGCGCCGATTGATCAACGGCTCCGGGTATCCCAAATGGATGGGGTTGGACACTGATCGCAAAAAAATAAATGAACCAGTCGATTGGGGCGTCCATCATTCCTATATGTCTAGAATCTACATGGCGTGTTGCCAATTTTGGTCCCCATAGTTCCCATAGTTTTTTTTCCCTGCAATTCAATCCAACAATGGAAAAAACATGGAAAAAAAAAAACATAAAAAAACGATCTTCAATGGGCAAAGCATCTAATTACAGCTGAGGGAAGTAGGAATTCTTGGTCCCCAACCAGGCCAACCAGGCCGCAACTGGCGGCCTTCCCCACTTCTTCTTGATGCTGGTAGAGACATACTGCAGGGTGATCTGCGGCCGACAGCTTTCGCTCAGTCAGGGGCTCGTAGGATTTATGCATTCATGTTTTAATCAGTATGGGAAGATTCTTGATATTGATGATTTTGGCCGTGGCATCATCTTTTTGTTCTGTGTTCTGTATTTCCCTTCAGGGGCTGCCTTTCTTAGCCACGTAATTATTTCACGATTCTTTAGCCACTATCTTTTTTTAGCCACGAAATCACATTTGAATTGGCCTTGAAAAAAGGGAAAGCACAAGTTCCAAGTTGGTTTACAACCCCATCCAACTATAGAATACTATAGATTCCATTGGATATCCACCATAAATCCCAGTTATTATAGTTACGAATATATTATAAATCAACTTTCCAGGCCATCATAGGCCATCCCAAGACTTCAGTGACCATTTCTCCACTTCACCCATCTGCCCCACCATGAAGTGGAAGGTTGCTCCGGCGGCATAGACATCGCCTGGCACTTATTTGGGATCGCTGCCCTTCAATACCTTTTTAAATGGGTGACAGGTGACAGGGTCCTTTCACATAGCTGTCAGTAAGAGTGAAATTTCATGTGTTCTTCATTGAAAATGACAAGGGTCCTAAATATCCAAATGTGTGGGACCGCTGTTGGTCTGGCTTTTGCTCTCAAGCAGAGATAAGTTGTCTGGAAATACCAGGTTGTAAACCACCAGCCTGTTTAATTCTAAGTTATGTGCGATGCCTGTCGGAAGATTCAAAGATTCATCATCCACAAACCCCTACAAACAGGGATCGAATATGTCTTTGTGCCTCTTCAGACATGCCTCCTCCCCGTTACCCACTGGACCCTGGGGACCCAGGTTGGCCTGTCATGTTCATCGAGTTGGTCGCTACCATCTCTGGGGAAGCGTACTGCGGTGTCAGCCCCCTGGGCAGTTTGTCAGCAGAAACACGGATGCCGCGTCACACTTGGTGCAACCAGAAAATGCAGGTCATGACAGTCGAAAGTTAGCAATGCTAGCATCATTCAATCTCATTTCGCATATTTCGCTAGGAGAGTATCTGCCCAATTCTTTGGGCTACGGCGGCTACGGGGTCAGGGTCCAATTTCTTTCGCCTGGCACGTCGCATGGAGGACTCGGCCAGCAGCTCCGCTACCCCGAAGTCGCAGAGGATGGCGCGCTCACAGGACACCAAGATGTTCTCTGGCTTCACCTGCGCCGACAAACATGGGGATCATGGGGCATGTCCCGATTTTCCGAGGATTCCTGCAAATGAATTTCATCAAAGCAAGTGATCAAGGGGAGATCGCCAAATCTGCATTGATGTCTGACATAGGCTACAAGGATTAGAAAGGGAAAGATGACGAGCCTCAATGACTCAATGAGGGTACGTTGTGGGTGTCTTAAAATGGGCGGTGTGCAGTGTGACCGGAAATGCATAGAAGCACTCATACATCACAATATGACCAACAACTAAACATAGGAAAATACAAATGGGAATATCACCGTGATGATACGAGCTACTGGCAATATTAACTATATACAATAATGGCTACTGGATATGGCCCTGTACAAGGAATCCTTATAAGTACCTGTGTACAACTTGGAATGGTTGATTGTAATTCGGTACTACTTTCTTACAGCAAAAATATGTATCCAGTCTGTTTGTTTGCACTTTTCTCTGGTGCTTTAGGTACCAACATGCGAGAATCAAAGCAGAAATGAACTGCAACTAAACAAAAGCTCAATCCCCACTTTGGCTTCCAGTGAATCTATATGTGTATTGTCGAGTCAATTCCGGATTGCAATATAGAGTAAACGCTAATTACTTTGTTTCGAGGTCTTTGCGGATATGCACCAAAACAATGGGCATGGCATCCGATTTGAATAGCTGTAGTGACAAAAGCTGGTACAAAAATTGCCCTGGCCGAAAACCTTCAAAGAAACAACAAACCCCGAAAACGAGACCAGGCCATTCAAAACCTTGAAGCTGAGTCAAAGTCCACGCACCAAACGCAGTAAGTTCAGGGTGCGCTTTTAAACCACAAGATGTCCAAACGAGTTGTGTGTTGGATGGCTATTCAAACAAATAGAAGAATCCCCAGTAGGTACCAGAGCTTTGGTCAATGCTCACATTCTTCCAACAAAGCCGCCGTTTGATCCAAGCTTCATCACGATGGAAGATCTTTCGGCTGTGGATGTGCTGTAGGCCCTCACGCAGGTTGATCGTGATTGATCATGCTGGTTCCTTTGGCGTATGATACATATCTATGTCCATGATACATATATCCGTACATACATTACATTACATTACATTACATTACATTGCATTGCATTGCATTGCATTGCATTTCATCACATTACATTACATACATACATGCATATACATATACATATACATATACATATACATATACATATACATATACATATACATATACATATACATATAATATACATATTATACATATATATGTATACTGTATATATATATATATTGCATACATACACATATACACCCGCAGCATTCTGTTCTGAGATCTCGGCCCAGGTACAAATGAAAAGCTAACAACCCTATTGACAATATACTCTCTGGAAACAATCATGGAATGTCGTGAATGTCGTGGGCACTGAGCTGCTGACTAACAACAAATTATGAAGCAGCGAAAGCGCCAAGTGCAGCTGCAGGCAGTCCTGGGAGCAAGTTTGGTCGATCAACCAAAACGATACCACAGCTATGCCACAGCCACAGCGCTTTGTTGTTTCCAAGGCTCTGTGCAAAAATGCCACAGATCTCCCTCTGGGTAGAACTCCAAGATGAGACTCCATGGCCCTCGCCCTGCAGTGGCTGCTAGCGAAATGAAAACGAGCCTTCATCAGTTCGAATACGACATTTAGATGTACACTTCCGGATCATGTTACATCCAAAAAAGAATGATTTCACAAAACTCCCAAACACACAAATTCCATCTAAATTCTCGTTTTATGCACTTTTTGCCAAGGAAACTCCATCATTTCACCCATCCGTTGGTCCCCAGACGGTCCCCGAGTCGCGCCTTGCTCCGCGCCGCGGAAGGCGCCGTGGTGTTGGATGACGCTGGGATGTCGCCCCGCGGAAACCAACATGCGGAGCTCATGTCCTCAGTTCGATCGACGACTCACAAAGGTCAAATATGGGAGAAAACCATGGATTTCATTGGAATTCCCTATAGAATCTCTATATATATATATAAATCCACGGTTCTTTGCTTGATAATCCAGGGTATGAATCTATGGATAGTCATCTATAGAGGATTGTTTGTCAATATTTATCTAGCTATAGAATATTACAGAATGTTTATCTATGCCATGCAGGGAAATGTTTTAAAAAAAGTCAAACGAATATTTATCAAGGAAATTGAATAATGCGGATGTTCCCGTGCCTGGTTAGATGACCCAAGGATAATATTATCTATCACAACAGTAGCAATTACATGCACAGTTGAGATTTCAGTACGTAGGCGTTTTTTGATCCGTGTGTCATTTCTAGACGATTTACTCTGTTGCCAACGGTTTGGATGCCACGTGCTTCTTTATTTCACAAACTTCATAGAAGCATGTGCAAATTTGGTTCCAGAGACTTGAACATATCAAGTCTGAAGGCACCAATGGCAGATAACACGATTGTTTTCGACAACAGTCATCAACCAACGAGTTGCTGCAGAAGAGCTTGTCATACAATGCAGCTGCTTCTAGACCCACTTTATCTTCCGTGGCTTCCGCTTTAGCCATATCTGCAACCCGAAAGTCCCGAAAGCTGTGACAATTCTCTGCTTCAAAACCAGCTCTGTCATCATGTTTTCCTGTGGTGATTTGATGTTATCCATTGTCACTGATCCCGATATACTGTTGTACAATTCAAAAAAAATCGGCGGGATACAACTATGTGATTCTTGATCATTATTATACTATGATGTATATAATATATATATATATATGTGATTCGATATATCATACTATCTTTGTACTGTACCATGTTGATCCATGTTGTCCGTTTCTATCAGATTACTATCAGATTACTATCAGATTACTATCGCCATCGTGTGATTTGGAGCCTATTGATTCATGCGACCAGTGTCGCACGTCCTTTTCCGCTGCAACCTTCACCGCCACCTGCGCGCTGATTCCTATCTTGAAGCTTAGTCTATCAGGATCCCTGGCTACGAAATCTATGAAACCAGTCTGTTTCCTCCAGGGTGATCGTAGATCAGTTTGGATCAGTTTGGATCATGAAAATCATGCCGCGTCCATCTCCTCTTTCAAAAATTGCTGGGTGTCCAAAAAGTGATCACTTTTTTTCTTGTGTTTAGTGTTTCAGGGTGCCCCTTCACAGTGTGCCTGGCAAGGGCTGTAGTATTCCGAGGGCACAGGGCAACCACGGCGGATGGTGCCATACCTAGGCTGCATCGTCATAGGATGAAAATATCGCTGTGGGTCCATACCCTGTGAACAACATTGAACGACCTCAAACATGTTTACAATACTGTGGTCAACCCAAGAGTAAACTAAACTATCCCCAAAATCACCATTTTTATGGATGCAAACCATCCCCAAACGATAGGTTCATGGCAGGTTTACCACCGACATTTTTGATGCCAGGAGGCCCTCCCTTGCCACAGCTTCCCTCCAAACGGAAGCAGTTCTCCACGTCCTGGCACGAAGCGCACGAAGGAATGCTGATGAAAAATATCTTCAGGATACCAGATCCGTGGAATATGCAGGAAATGGATTAGTAATTATGGATTCATGTGAGTATGTGCAATTGGTTTGTAGATTTTGCAGATCTAGAGGTTGGTTCTTCATGTGGATCCCCCTTGAAGAACAATGGATGAATCTCTACATGATCCATGGGCAGCGAACTCAGCATGCTACTGCTCTAACTTCACAAGCATCATCAAGCATCCCCCAAAACCAGAGTGCCTTGCGGCATCTTGGGGTTCCAATGTCTTCATTGCTTTTTGAGTGCTAGGGCTGCTGGGGATTCACCCCCGCCTTCTCCAAGACAGCACCCTCCGATGCCAAGTAGTGCAAAATATATGGAAGCCATGATCGACCTGCCAGCTGGAGATTCGGGATAAACTGGCTGAAGCCTGGCACCCAGATGACACTGGATGATAGCTGGTGATCATATTTGATTCAAGTCCCCAACCAATAGCAGCTGTTGGTTTGACTCCGCTGACTCAAATGCTTGGTAAGAACATGTAAGAACCATTAGTTGAACCAACATTGAGTTCCAATGCGGAGTGATCCGCGCAGCAACTGCCCCCATGGTTGCGCCAAGGGTCGACATGAAAACGACCACTGCTCCTGTGATTGAGAATGTCGGCACCTGGCAGGGCCAATTTCGGCAGTACTGGCCTGTGTTTTGTCATGTTTTGTCCATATCGACTCTACATTTTGACATGTTCAAAGCCTTACAAGACATGACAATGCCCATTTCATTCCTATATATATATATATATGTTTTCCAACGCTTTTGGTGGTCACCCAGGTTGTTCCAGAATTAAAATTAACATTAAGACTATTTCCCTGAAGAGGTTGTGCAAATTCACGCTTGCATGGAGGATACGTTCCAAACTTCAAAGGATCTTCGTTTGGTAATCCCAGCACCTCACAGAGGGTCTCACCAAGACCACCATGTCGTTGGTTTCCAACTTGTATGCCTCTCCTCAGCCGCTCAGCTCAGAATTTCCTGGTTGCCTTTGCTGAAATAGACTGAACTAAATCATTACAACATCTGATATTGTCCAAGAAACAACGGTTTCTCATGGTTTCTCTACAATTTCAAGATGTGGAGTGGTCTGATGCTCGCCCACTGATCAAGCGAAAAACGAAGACGACCAAGGCACTTGTCGAGCTGCTAGGTCTCCCAGAACAAACCCGCGACCAAAATAGTTCCAAGCTGGCACACCTGCACAACATGGAAAGCAGAATTTGCAGTTGGTAAGACAGATCCTCAGGTAATGTTGCAAAGCCAAATTATCTTGGAAGAGCAGCTGTTTAGACTCTATGCCCTAGGTGTATGATTTCCGTCTGATTCATTACCTCCAAGCCTCGACCCCGACGAACAGCGTGGTCTGCGGTGGATGGCTCCGAAACTACCGGAGGGACTCCACAACCTAAGACTCCTAAGACCCAGTCCGTGCCTCTCATCGTTCTCGCGAATCTCCAAAACGCCTTTCGGGGGGAGACAAACATATGGTTGTTGAAGTTGTTGAAGTAAAACGTCGCCGTCTGACCAGTGGGACACCCAATGAAAAAGTGATGTCACTCCAAACTGTCCGGCTCACCATCAATCCTATGGTCATCTTAGTGTGCGCTCGACATGATCGTGGAAGAAACACCAAAGTTCCACCTGCCTTTGATCACAGAGCAACACAAAGTTCGATGCATCCAAGATCCATCATCCGCAAACCTTCGAAAACGTCGTTTGGAACCCATGAAAGGCAATGAAACAGGATGATATCATGTGAGTTCACGAAAAGACGAGGTATTTGATCAGTGGCCCAGTGGCAGCACTGACATACTCTGACCCGCCCAGTTTGAGGTTCTACACGACCGTCCGCGATCCATTGAGATCAGCCCCAGCCCCTCCCTTCGCGTCATGGTGCTTTGTCAGGGGCGCCAGCGGCCGCAACTGAGCCGCAGGAGTGGCGAGCTCGTTGGGAAGCCCCGGCAGCAAAGGCCTAGGGTCGTACAACCATGGGATTTCTGGTACATGATGGATATGTTATGGATTGTTATGGGTATATGATGAGTATATGTTGTAATTATAGGTAATTAATGGTAATTATAGGTACATCAAAACCCTCTTCCGGTTGGCAACAAATCCCATGAACCCACCCTGGCGGCCCCAGACCATTCCATAGGTTTGGCCTTGCGATCGGCCTCACACTTGGGAATCGACCAGCGGATGGAAAATACAAGCAAGACACCACCAACCTGACTCAGAGATATGATGATATGCCATTTTGATCCATTTTAATGAACTCCTGGTTCGAACCAAACAGTTTGGCACTGCCAGCCGGTCACAGGGTGCCATTTCAAAGGATCTGCAAATCAAATCCTTGAAGTCCACAAACATGCTGGATTTCCCTTCCACCAATCGCCTGTATTCGCAACATCAACATCAACCCTTCTTGGTATCATTTCGAGGACACAGTTCAAAAAAATCGGGTATATGGATATACCCCCAAGTCCCGATGGATTTCCCCCTTTAAATCGTACAGATTCGTACGTCGTACACGTTTCACGCCTTGGGTGGCAACTCAAAGGGCATCTCCAAATCATCCTCGCCATCAATGGTCATCAGCCAGTGGCCCAGCCAGTGGCCCACAGGATCTTCGAAACTTCTTCGAAGCTGTCGAAGAGCGAAAATTCAAACAAATTTGGGCGGCGATTGGTCAAGAGTTCTCTGCGAGTCTCGAAAAACTGGCAAAGGCCACACCACTTGGTGCACTTATGTCGAGGTAAGTTGGTTGTGTCGCAGGGGAAACTGCCAACCCACCGCCAAAGTCAGGGATTTATCTACGCAACTTTGAATCCCAAGAAACTGTACAGTCCTGAACCAGAGCCAAATCAAACCGAAAAGCAGATGAAGATGAAGCTGCTCCATATGCTTATCAGTCAAAAATGATCGCAGCAAGGCAAACCAAAATCCCATCTAAACAGTCTAAAACAACATGTTAGGTCAATGTACCTAAACTTGTGGAACCTGGAATCTTCCCATGAAAAAAAACACATCTAAATCGACGGCCTTGACCACCCAAATCAAGGAGACAAAAAAGCCGATCTCCACAGCAGGGGGGCACCCATGATGGAGATCGGTCAGATGCCAAAAGACCTCGATGGTGATGCCTCCTGTAGCGTACCTGGACCCGCCAACAACACTGGATGTAGATTCAGATCCGATTAGCCAGGTTTTTGATGATAAACTGGTCAAATGATATCAAATTATGTCAAATTCCATCGTACGCAAAGATCTGGGAAAATAGGAAGAGGATATGGTGGCAACAATTGCAGGGACCACCAGAAGCATAACTCCCTGGCATATTACCAAAGTGCCCAAAGGGCCCAAAGACAAGGCGTGGCACTCGAAGTAGCTCACCAGGATCTGCACCAGTTGCACAAACACAACGACCTGCGCCGGGGCGGCGACTGGATCTGTGCAAGCCATGGTTGGTTTACATCCACCATTCAGATCCATTCAGCCCTTCAGCCGTTCAGCCATGGTTCAGGCCCTTTCTCCGGGCGAACAGCATCGAACAGCTGCTCCAGCGTGCATCACTCGTCGAGAATCTGGCAGCTGTAGGGTCCAAGGGCATGCCGTACGAGTGGGATATTTAATTTAACTATTTGGGATGATGGTGATGTTTGACATCGACATCTGTCGCTTGGAATATTTGTTGGGGATGTTTCTGCCCTCGGGGATTGGGCTGTGCCTTGAAGCATGAATGATTTTGAGGGAAGCGAATATCATCGAATATCTATCTCTTGTCGATCTCGAAATCGAACCTTCTTTGTGTCGACAAAGCAGCGTCGGGCGGTGGATCATAGCGATAAATCCTACAGATGGCATCATAGCTCTTTCCAGAAAAATTGCCAGCACCACCAATGCAACGCTTCGACGATTGCCGGTCGCAGGCGCCTGTAGAAATGGTGCAAGTCGCAACTTTGAATTTGCTGCATGCTGCACTCGGGTCATGGACCCACCTCGGGATCTCGACGGCTATGGGAGTGTTCCACGTAGTCCCCATCGGGTCGCATCCTCACACCTCAAGTCTCTAAGAACCAAAGGTCTCCAAGAGGTTTTACTCTGGAATCTTTGGAGATCTTTGGAGCAGAACCCAAAATTCGATGTCTCATTGCCTCATCGCAACCCCTCTGGATGGTGTGAGGAATGTGCTACACGCACGTTGACAGGACAATTTGTCAGTTTCTGAGGCTTCCAACAATGCTCCACTGGCTCCGCTTGCTGGAAGCCCTGCAGCCGTCATTTTCTTACGATTTCCGTGTCTGTGGATCTTCCCACATCCATAAAAATGTTTACCCTGGGGTAAATCACCACCAAATCCCATGAAAAAACACCCATGAAAAATCACAAATTTATATCCCTCTTTCAAAGAAAAAATGGTGAGAAATCTCATTAAATCAGCAAGCGAAAATCCATCGCAAAATCGGCCTCACCAGCCCATAGCAGCAGCTGCCCAGGTGCTGGTGCCCACCAGGTCCTTGGAAAACACCGGGAAAAAACGGGTGAAACGAAACGAAACAGGAAACCCGGTTTCCATCATGGGGGATATCGGGATCTGATGGTAAATTGATGGGGATAATATACGGGTGCAGAATTGTTTTTGGTATTTTTTTTTTTTACAGTTTTGGAATTTTTTTGGGGGTTCGTGCCTCTTCAATTTTTCCATGGTTTTCTTCAATTTTTCCATGGTTTTCTTCAATGTTTCCATAGTTTTCTTCAATTGTTCCATGGTTTTCTTCAATTTTCCATGGTTTTCTTCAATTTTCCATTGTTTTCTGCAAGTTTTCCATGGTGTTCTTCAATTTTTCCATTGGTTTCTTCAATTTTTCCCGGGTTTTCTTCAATTTTTCCATGGTTTTCCAATGGTTTTCTGCAAGTTTTCCATGGTTTTCTTCAATTTTTCCATAGTGTTCTTCAATTGTTCCATGGTTTTCTTCAATTTTCCATCGTTTTCTGCAAGGTTTCTTTGGTTTTCTTCAATCAATCAATCTATATATATATATATGTATGTATGTATGTATGTATGTATGTATGTATGTACGTAGGTAGGTAGGTAGGTATGTATGCATGCATGCATGTATGTATGTATATGCAGGGTGTGGTTTAGGGTTTAGGGATACAACATGTAATTAGGTATAATTACATGATTATTTGTTGTTTATGTTGGGATGCAAGTTGTGTATAAAAACAACCACAAATATGTCATATATATATATGTATACGTCTGTATATCTATAAGTAAATATGTATGTGTATTTATATATATATATATACTTATAGTTATATAATTATAAATATATATATATACAGTGATATGTATATACATATTAATATGTATGTATATATATACATTTATATAAGTACATTAATATATATAAATATAAGTGTATATATAAATGCAAATATATACATATACATATACATATATATATGTATACGTGTGTCTATATATATATATATGTCTAGATATATATATATATAATTTCTAACAAAATATTAATATAGTCGAATCAAACAAGTGTATTGAAAAGTGTGCAAGTTTGAATTTAAATAATTAAAAAAAGCGGGAGGGGGGGGATTGGGGGGAGGGCGCAGCGCCTCCCCGCCAAAGCAGATTGGAAACACCTATTTTACATGCAAGGTGCTGGGTTGAATGTGATACTCAAGGTGTATAGACTACACGACATGCACCCTGGAAACATGTGGAATACAGTACATGTACTTATAGATACATACTTCTTTATATATATATATATATACATTTATATGATTTATATGTATATACATATGAATGTATATATATATAGGTACATAAATATATATTTATATGTAAATATAAATATATAAAAATAAATATATAAATATAAATATAAATATATAAAATATCAATATGAATATGTAAATATAAATATATCAATATAATATATATTTAAGTGTATATATACATGCATAAATATAAATATATAAATATATTTACATATATATATGTATATATATATAAATAAATATATATATATAAATATATATGTAAATATATATATAGGTAATATATATATATATGTATATATATGTAAATATATATATATATGTATAATATATATATATGTATAATATATATATATATTTGAATTTGAACATAAATAGTAATAATATGTAAATATATATAAAATATATATATATAAGTAGAAAATATAAATAATATAAATATATCTAGATATAAATATACAAGTGTGTATATAAATGCATATATATATATATACATATATATATACATATAATATATACACATATATATATATTATGATTTTAATTTAAACATAAATATATATATATATGAATATAGTCGATTCAAACTAGTGTATTGAAAAATGTGCAATTTTGACATACTAAAAATACCACCAAAAGCCATGGAAAGCAAGCCAAAAGCCAAAAGCAAACAAGCAAAAAGCAAAAAAGCAAAAAATGCAAAAATAACAAAAAGCAAAAAAACAAAAAGCAAACAAGCAAAAAAGCAAAAAAGCAAAAACGCAAAAAATCAAAAAAAGCAAAAAGCAAAAAAGCACGAAAGCAAACAAGCAAAAAAGCAAACATGCAAAAAAGCAAAAAAAGCAAACAAGCAAAAAAAAACAAAAAAAAACAAACAAAAAAGCACAAAAGCAAAAACGCAAAAAAAAAAGGAGAAAGCAAGATAAAACAAGAAACCCAAAAAAAAATCCAAAAACGTAAAAGAAAAAAATTCCAAAAAAAAATAGGCCTCCATAATATACTGATATCATGGGTTGGTTAATATATTGGTGAAATTTGATGAATACTTTGATGAATATTGCTGACCGATTCTTATTTTACCAAATCTCGATTGAAATATTGGCAAAGGAAATGACCAAATCTTGGATCCAAGTTGAATCAAATCTGGGCCCAGGTGCCCGTCGGCATGGCGCACCCATAGCCTCCACGGCTTGGCGGAGGAAGCTGAGGGGTTGATTCCGATGTGTAAAATCTAACTGACTATACATAATACTATACTTGTAAAACACAATATAATACATTGCGAATAATTTTATACATCATACACCATTGTCACATGATATATACAATATCACATATTATTTATTTATATACGTGCGTTTGTGGGTTAAAAACCTGCAACAGACGAGAGTTGTGCATATTTCGTACAAATAGTAAACGAAGCCATTTTGGTACCCAGATTTTGATCATCCCAGCGGAAAGTCAAAGTCTCGGACAGTCCTCGCTAGTGCTTTACACTGAAAAAAACGCCACTGAAATCAAACATGTGTACATATTACACCCAGATCCGTATCAGTATTCTATATAGTATATATCTTTATATCTTTGTATCTTTATATAATTATATATATGTAAATCTGTGATGTATATCTCTATATTATATCATATATATATATCTATATCTATCTATCTGTGTGTGATTGTGTGCATGTCCAGTTCACCCTGACGGCACCTCGTGGCATCTTCACGGTCGCTGGGCGCCCCGTAGACCACGGTGAGGACCTGAGCCACGGGACTCGCCACGGGCGGCGCCCACGGCGTTGCTCGGTCGCCGAGGCACTCCCCGGTCATGGTGGGCGTTCAAACAGCCATGGTCCTGGCATCAGCTGTTGAAGTTCATAGTTTTCTAATTTTGAAACATTGCTGACATTGCTAAGCTTTAACAGTTTCTGAAGTTTAAGTTTATCTTTAACTGGAGATCTATCAACATGAAACATGATGACACTATTGAAGAACCTTCACCTTCCAATGCTGACTTGGCAACATATGATTAATGACATCGAAACCCTGCATCCCACACCAATTAACAGCTTCCGACAGGCTGGTCATCGGGCGGTCATAGTTGAAGATGTTGAAGAAGGAGCTGCTGAAGTGCCACGGTCTCAGGGCATAGAGGAACAGTACCAAAGGTTCAGCCACTGATTCACTGAATCATTGCCGCAATCGGGTAAACCATGGTGATCTAAAAAAATGAACCTTCTAATTTTTGATGGTTTGTACATGTTTGTACCATCCCATTACTGATAAAATTGGGAAATGATTCTTGGGTTACGACATTCTACAAAAAGATTATACATGATTATACTGTATCTTGCAAGCCACGACATTTGGCATGCGTTCTTGACAGCCCCAGCAAGGATCCACTGGGTTCCCCCCACCCACCACGACTGAAGGGCATCCCTTCTCCGTCACAGGGCGTCAGCTGCTTTGGAACTGACTGGCCCTGCCTGGTGGCATCGAGTTATGGGCCCCAAATCATCCAGTCGTCATGGATGACCATATTATTGGAACAAGCACGGTGACTTGGGGATCCCCCATTTTAGGAAACCTCCAAATGTTAGCAAATGGTAAAACCTGTGGAAATGAATATAACTAAGAAGAATCAGGGTTCAAAACGAGGATGGTGAGCAAAATGAGGCCCCAATGTGAATGACAAATGCACGATCGCAGTGGGGTGTGGCTGGATTCCACTGGATAATCTGCTTGGAGCGTTCGTCAATTGTCCAAGGCTTGCAAGTAGAACAACTCCATTGCTTGGGTCCAATCTACATAGAAAAAGCATGAAAAAGCGAAGTGGCTGGAGAAATTGTTGGAAAATTACCTCAAACATGTTTTTTGTTCGAAATCTTAGCATACTGAGGCCCCCAGCATTAGCAAAGCAGCACTGCACGCGACGCCTAGGGAACTGCGTCTTGTTCAACAAGTTCCTCTGGGAAAATCGGTGCTGACATCGCCGGTGATTCCCAGGTCTAGTGATAGTGATGACCACATAAAAATTCGCAAAACCGGTAGTAGATGACAATTGAAAATCCCCACACTAAATGGGGGGTTTATAGTATAAAGCCATGAAAATCGACGAAGTAAATGGGAATTTTCCAGCCATGACACAAGCTCCGAGGACCCCAGCCATAGAGCAGGTCGAAAGACTGGGCGAAGCTTGTTGTCATCACCGGGTTCACATCTTCCACTCGTTCCACCTCCTCCAAGTCACCTGTGACAACCGAAGACAACCGAACAGTTTGAACAACGATCCACTGGCTGCCATAATTCCATAAATCCTCCCCAAACTATCAAGCATTTGGAAGTATAATACGCACCCAAAAGTATAAACCAGAAATTGGGGATTCTTGTGGATCCCCCATGATCTGAACGTATTGCAATCACTTCAGATCTCTGCACTCAACCTTTGTGCCTTCTAAGTCTCTTGTCCTCCCTGCAAGTGGCCCACCTGGCACTGGAGGATATCGGAAGCTTCTCTGCTGCGCAAAGTCCTCCAAGGCCTGCGTCTTTTTTTGGATTTTAAATCACTTGAGTTTTTGGGGTAACCAATAGCTTGCCCCATACTCAATCATTCTTGTCCAACTAGGGGTCCAGTAGTGAAATGCGGAGAAATGCTTTTTGGGAGACTCAACGTTTTTCATGTTGATATAGCATGAAATAGCCCAGCCCTATGCAATTTAATATTGGCGCATTACCGCATATGTGCGCCCAATCTCAGATCCAACCAAGGGTAAAGTCTTCACAGACGCTGTTTGATATATCCCACCTCCTAGTTTCAAATCCTCTCCCACAAGAAAACAATAATAATTCAATGAATGTGGGAGAAACATGGAGAAACATCAATAGATTGTAGCGGCCTATTTCCTCCAGCGCCCCACTTTCCTCAATTCCCCATCCACCATTTCCGCCTCGCCCAGGACCTTCTCCTCCGCCCCGCTGAGTTCCACGGTGACAAAGCCGTTCCGCTGCAGCGCCTGCAGCAGAACTTCACCGCCCTGCGCGCCGCGTCGCTGCGCCAGCGACCACGTGGCGCTGACCGCCGCAGCCGCGGTGGCGCCGCGCAGGCCACGCTGCAGCCGTGGCACCCGCGGGATCCGTGGGACCCGGTGGGGTGACAGGGGCAGCCGGGGCACCACAGGAGCTGGGAGCGGGGTCCATAGGGACAGTGGCATGGCTCCATGGATCTTCAACGTCAACGAGAAGGTTCCAGTGATTCTGCTCCAAAAGCCACAGATAGGCTGCAGTGATGTGGGGTCACACAATGTCCACTCATACGAGGAATCCTCATTTCCATGTTGCTTTGGACAAATATCTCCTGTTGCGTTTTGCACCAAGCGGTTTGTGGGTATTGTGCTCTGTGACTCGTCCTGGTTTCAAGGTCGAATCAGCTCGTGTCTGAGCAAGCTGCGGAGACAAAAAATAAAGTACGAGGCACAGGAAAAATAGGTTATGTAAGGATCCCATTGCCTGAAGCCTCAAATGTTTGTCGAGACTGCCAGTGAGATGCCAACTCTGAAGATTCCGTGGCTAAATCATTTGACAAATCACAGGTCCGGAAATCGGCATGGCAGCCATTCCCAATTCCCCAGCAGGCAGCGTACGAACAGCAAGTTCACCCGCATGTACCATCGCACCTGCCTGGCAACTGAGCGAAAACTACCCGACCAAGCCCGCCAAGCCAGAGACTTGAGTGAGAACCCTGGAAAACAACCGGATAACGTGAGAGTTTGATCCAGTTACTGAGTCAGCAAGGCCAAGCATCAAGCCTGGAAAACAAGGCCAAAAATGGTGGCTGGTGATGTTTGGATCCATCAGAGCCGATCGTACATCACCATCTTTCAAGTATAATTTCACTATTTGGACCTTTATACCCATGGCAACTAAGTTCCCTGCGTACCTAAAAATACCTAAAATAACCTAGGCGTAAAAGCATTTTGATGGTCAAAATCCCACTTCTGATCGGTTCCAATCCCAAATTTCGCAGGCTCACCCAGGCTGGCTTGCCTGAAGATGGGGCATGCATGGCAGAACATTGTAGAACCCAAATCCATTGCCTCAAATGGCCTGGGAAATCCCCTACAAATGGGGGAATTGTCCATTGCCATCATTGATTACCGAAGGGTAAATCCCTCTGCACCTCGAGGTGAAGTGATTCCGGACATGGCTTCGATGAGCGACCTGTGGGTGCATGGTGAAAACCAACGAACTGAGGTACCAACTAAGGCGGCGACTGGCAGCCAAATCAAAGTTGGTTCAAAACGAAATGTTTGTGTCTACATGCGAAGAGGAATTGTGCAATGTGAATTTGTGTATCGTTTATGTTTGTCCGGTCCGTATTTCAAGAATTGGCTTTGCCAGCTTGCCTTTTGTGAAATACAAGTGCTGCAACTGAGCAGTAACAACAGTCCAAATCTCACTTGCAAAACCAACCAGTCCTCGCCAGGAAACCCAACCACGTCTCACAGTTTCCACAGAGCATGTACTTTTATCTACCTGCTTAAGGATTCGTGTTTGATTTGAACTCATCTCAAGCCAAAACAACTCTGGGGCATCCAGCCAAAGTGCAGGCCAAATTTCCAGCGGCCACGATCCACAGTGGCAAAGAGGTGAAGAAGTACGGCACCACAACAGCTATTGGCATCTCGAGCTCCAATGATCAGCGACAGGCTCAGAATCAAAACCTCACAGCGATCGGCGCTTCTTCAATGCACTTCATCCAGTCATGTCCATTCCATGCGCTACCTCACTGAACATGAAAGTCACATGCAGGGCAGTTCTGCAAGCATTTCAAGGTATAATGTCTACCTATACATATATCTTATACACAATATCAATATCTATCTATCTTATACATATATCTACCTATCTATCCATCCATTCATCCATTAATTACATATATAGTCTTATACAGTATTGTATAGTCATGAAGCCTGCTTCTTCAAACCTTGCCAGGCCCTTTTCAAGGCGCATCTCCTTTAGGGCCCGGCCATGGATTCGAAGAGGTCGGCACAGGCGCCGGACACGTCGCAGATGTTTTCGACGACCTGGTCGAGAGCAGCAAGCTCGGCCACCTATTGAAATGTTTGTCACCTACAAACAAATATTAATTATAATTAATATATATATATTATTAAAAACATTATATATATATAATGAAAAGGAAAATACTGAATGATGAATGCATGAATGAATAAATGAATGAATAAATGAATGACTGAATTACTGAATGAATGCATGAATGCATGCATGCCTGCATGCATGCCGATGAATGAATGAATAAACACATATTTATGATATATGTATAATATCCCCATGTTTAGTGCAGTATAATATATCCAGTTTTTGACCAATTACAACCAGCAAAACTTAAAAAACATTTGGCAAAAAAAAAAAAAACATCATCCCAAATCCAGGCACTTGGAAATAAATTACAAGCCTCACCTTGGATTTTGGTAAACCCCTGGGCTGATTGTCACTATTTTGGGTGTCCTTTCCTGATTTTGATCAACCAGGATTCTAATAAGCCTTGATGCTGATGACATAAAAACACATCCACCCTACAGTTTATATGAGTACTCTTTAGAAAGTCAACCACGTACACATTTACCCTGTGGCTATTGACCATAGCTATGGAAAGTTTATCCGTTTATAGATGATTTATGATGTTTTGCCTATGGTGATATGGTGATTTACCTTTTAAAGATGGTGATTTTCCATCGCTACGTCAAATAACCACCCAGGGATGACGTTCAAAGCCAAAAAGGTCCAAGTCACTGCATCCAGGTAGTCGATGGGATGCAATGAGGAGGCAATGTCCTGCATCTCCTGGCCGTCTGCTGCTGGGTCGGGTCGGGAGGGTGCCATGTTTGATGGGTTCTTTTACTTGGCTTTAATATGTTGTTTTTGCTGGCTAAATATAGGTTATAGATGGTTTCAGTAAATAGGTCTTAAGGAGTTTTCAATCTTTTTCCAAACTGGGTTGCAACGATCGATCCCAATCAATAAGGGTGTCCTTTGGGGACACATGGAGGTGTAAGTCTTGATCAAGCTCGTGGCTTAAACACAGATGGACAAGGCAGGAATAGACACTGGATGGTGATTGGTTTCTTGCAAATCTCGAAATCCTGAAAATCCCGCTCTTCCTGCCCCATGGACCCATGGTTTGGAAGTCAGAAGTTTGATGAAAGACTCCAAGTCTGGTGCCGTCATGGCTCAGCACTGCCCTAGCCCAGGTGCTCCTCTTCCATCATCCGCAGTTGGTCTATCATGTCTTCCTGCGTTGGGATCCATGGTGGCTATTGGTTGGGACTCCGTCCAAACTGGATCCAAACTTCTTGGATCCATCTTTGTTGCTTCAAAAGGTTGAAATGATGTTGAAATTATATTGAAATCCACAAGCGGTGTATAACTGGTTGGTGGTTTCAACCCCTATTAAAAAAATATTAGTCAATCCACCAACCATTTGCCAAGACTAGGGAAAACAAAAAATGCCTAAAACCACCAACCAAATAAGATACAAATTCGTGATAGTGGGCATGATCATGCGCAGCAGCCGGGATGGTACTGTGAACTGCACACCGCTTGGACATGGCCCACAATTCATATGTATCACCAACTTTGCGTATCCTAAACACAGTGCCAAACTTGGAACGCTGACCAAGGCTCAACCAAGCATAATGACCATTGATGAAGGTGAGCAATGAGCAATAGCCCTCCAAAACTAGGAGTAGTGGTGCGTGTTCGCAGGTGACCCACCACTGAGATGGATTTTTTCCATGGCTTCTTGGCTCTGATGGAAGAACCCAAGGAGAAATCCCCAGTGCCACGCCAAGCGGCTGACAACACCTCCATAGACTCGATTCGCATCCTGACAAGAATCCATACAGAGATGAGCCATGGTCGATGCTATGGGTTTTTGATGTTTAATCATGAATCATGGCTGATTTAATTGGGACATGATTGTTTTTCGAAGGCGATCTCAGTGATATAAGTTAATCGATATAAGCATAATTGCCGCTTGAGGTTGTATGAGGTTGTTGATTGCATCACTGCAACATATCTGCAGCAGTGGTTGTCAAAACATGTTAACATCCTTCTTCACCGGTTGCATGACCATCCTCCCTAGATCGCTTAGATCGGTTACCGCAAATATCAAGCATAGCTACATAGCTCATACAAGTCCAGATCTACGTTGGTACCTCCACCTTAAAGAAAACTGAGTGCATCAATAAGCGTAATTTATTAGCAACCCCCTATGCATCCAATACCAACATTGAAAATTGATGGGGTAATGCTTTTGGAGAGAAACCTCCGCCACAACCATGGAGGTCGAGCACATGACTTCAAAGCCATTTATTAGCCACTACCAACCCTCACCATCACCACTCACCATAATGATTCACCAATGGCCATCCTTCACCACCTTTCACCGACCCATCAACCGTCACGATGGCTGCCAGTGCAATGTTGCGAGGCAGGTGGGCCTTTGAACAACGAGTAGCCCGTGTAGCCCAGTTCTCACGGGGACACGAAATTGCACATCACGGGTTTCGGCTTCCTTGGCAGCTGCACTGGGAAGGGATGATGTGGAGGGGTTGATCAATGGACATGGGTTTGTCCATGGTGGGGGGACCCCTTAACCAACCAAGTTCATGATCTTTCTTAGGGAAAAGGCAAGTTTTGGGGGTACGCCATTTATATATTTATGGACAAACCCATATTGAACCATACTTAAGACAACCATTGATCATGACCAAAGGTAAAGGAATCATTGGCTTGAGGGGTTGATAGTCCCAAATTTTCCGGGCGGGTGATATTGGGTTTTAGCGGAAAATCATGAGGGGTATGATCATGTTGAGCCATACCCGCAAATTTGAAGACGGCAGGGGCAGGGAGTTTTCTCTGAAAAACTTGAAGAAGTAAAAATGTATAAACATGTCAATTGCATTGTGATTCATAGCCATTGGCATGGGGTCCTCCGTAAAGGATATAATGGTAGATCGATATTCACCAACCACCCCCAGTTTAACCATATGTGGCGATTCACCATCAAGATTATACTTTTTTTAATGTTGGATCTCCCACTGTACCACGATAAACCACTGTATTCCTACTCTTGGTCGCTACCCTCTGTCACCAACCGCTATTAATGTTAATAAAGGGGGGTTATCAATCATGAATCGTTAATCATTCATAGGGGTTAACTAACTATGTTAAGCATAAATATGAGTTTATTAACAACCGGACCTCCCATAGTCCCCCAAAAAAAACATCCACCAACACCAAGAGCTGACTGCTGCCCTGGCACGACAGGAAGGTCGCGTCCATGGGATCCGCCTCTTCTTGATCCTCAGTTCGAGCAGCCAGGCCTTGTTCACCGTGATTGACACATTGGGCTAAGCATTCATCAATCCCTAAAGGGTTCCAGAGTGCCCCGTGGGGGTGAGAGACTTTTTTGCCAAAAATGAGCATCTGAAACCCTGGTGAAAAACACATGTCCACTTGTGCACTTTCGTGACATTGCTCAAAACTAAGGTACGCATCCAAATGACACAAAGTCCAATGTTCACAAAACCTGGAGACCCCGTTCTGGAGGCCCTGTTCTGAAGAGAAACCAGGTAGTTATACACTCTGGGAAACTAAACTGGAAGTGGAAAATCAATTCATATTTGATTTACTTGCAAACACATGGTATTGTTTAGATCCCAGGTTATCATACCAAAGGGATAAAACAAAGGTTTTCAAAAAACACCTGTTAACGAGGTGATTAGCTGTACTCTGCAGGGTTACCTACTGACGAATTGGACTGCATTGACAGGCACTCCCTGTCCAAACAGCACAGCTCTAAAATGCAAATCCTCATCTTGTTTCTACCTGGGGCCTTGGGACTCAAATCCGAGGAAAATATTGAAAACAAATTCTCTGGATGGGTTATACAAGTTATACTTTTCAAACAGCCCCTGCGCCATTCCCAAGCCAGCTGGATACCCAGTGCATGGGTTACCTAAAATGCCGGTGGAAGACCAAACACTCAAACCCCGCAGTATATTGACCAACCGCCACTAACACCAAGTATGCATACCACTAACCAACGTTATCCAACCAGGCTCCACTGGTTCCACATTCATCTGAGCATCTGTCAGGTAAATCTCTTCCCCTGCCGACGCATTTCATGGCAGGGCCTCAGAGTTTACCAACGCCATCACCGCTTCCGCCATGGGGAAAGCTGTGCGGAAGTCAGCTTCTCCAGTGCTTGTAACTGGTGACATTCACCATGATGATGAATCTCATGAGCTACCGGCTAAAGGGTTTATAGTCATGGTTTTATCTCAGGAAACTTACCCCAACAGCCCCAACAGCACTAATCCATGCTAGGAGTACCAGCGTTGACCCAAATCTATGCACAAAGGCACACAAACTTCGGAAAAGATTACATGGATGCTATGAGATATATGGTGTGTCCGGGAAGTGGCCTTTCAGAAACTTGGGAGAAAGAGAGAGAGAGAGAGAGGTATATACATACATACATACATACCATACCATACCATACCATACCATACCATACCATACCATTACATTACATTACATACATACATACGATATAGAGAAAGAGAGATTGTCTGAAAATGGTAGACTTTGCCATGCAGACTTATGGAACCATACCCAACCTGAAAATCCGCCTCATCTTTGCCGAAAAAAACAGGAAACCACGGAAATCCTTGAATGTCAATGCTACTAAGCCTCTGTTCTCTCTGCGTGCTATCACAAAAAGTGTGCGGTGCCATTCCGATGGGTAGAAGAGTGAAATGGAACGAACCTTCTATTTTGGGGCACTCAGCTTTGGTTCTGATTGTGCTGGTTGGTGATTTCAAACCCTTCGAAAAGCATGAATTACTGACTACTCGACCAACCAAACTTAAAAAAACTGTTTAAACCCACCAGCTAGTTGTGCTGGTCTCAACTCTAAGTAGAAATTTGCAATGATTAACGCAGGCTCTGAAACGGCTCATGGCACAATCTGTATCCAGAGCTGGGACAAGTTCAGGCCGCATTCTGACATTCATGAAAAGCAAATGGTTGACAGAGTCCATGACCTAGCACATCCTAGCACACTAATCTGCTTCTGGGTCAACCTTGCATCGTTCATTTTGTTGAACCATTCGCCATTTCCACCGGTTTTGTATTCTGCAGCCTGGCAGCCGCGTCCCCAGCACGTGCGCCGCGATGTGCGCGCGGATGAAGATTAAGGGGGGCAAGGCACCAGGTCCCAAGGGCACAGGGAACTCCAAGGGGCCACTGGCCTCGGAGAACGGCAGCGTTCAACCAACCAACCAACCATGGCTGTAGATGGTGAAAAAAACCTATGGTCACATAGGCTTAAACAGGGTTTAGAAGGGGTGATAATGGCAACCAACCAATAGTATTCAAGGTAATTCTTGGCACATATATATATATACGCGCAACGCCTGGGCTTTGCCCAGGCGTTGCAGCGTAGAGGTTTCCCATTCAAAAGTACTAGGGAATATTACACTCCCACCCCGTTAAACCTTAAATTCCTATTGGAAAAACAACAAGGGTACTAGGGAATATTAAACTCCCACCCCCGTTAAACTTTACAATTGGGAAAATCAACAAAGGGACTAAGGAATATTAAACTCCCACCCCCGTTAAACCTTAAAACCTTAAATTCCTATGGGAAAAAACAACAAAAGTACTAGGGAATCCGCCGACCCCGGCAGACGCAAGGGGGAGTGCGCAAGGGAAAAAGAGTTTATGACACAGCTGCCAGGAAAGAATAATAATAATTCGCTGACCCCGGCCGATGCAAGGGGGAGCGCGTAAGGGAAGAAGAGGTGCTGCACTGCTACTTTTACTACCAGGCAGCAGCAGGCAGCAGCAGGCAGCAGGCAGCAGGTAGCAGCCAGCAGCAGCCAGCAGCAGCCCGCACCAGCCAGCAGCAGCCAGCAGCAGGCAGCAGTAGGTGTTTGGCAGGCAGCATCCGGCAGCAGCAACCAGCAGCAGCTGGCGTTAGGCAGCCAGCAGCAGCCAGCAGCAGCTAGCAGCAGCCAGCAACAGCCAGCAGCAGGCAGGAGCAGGCAGCAGCCAGCAGCAGGCAGGAGCAGCAGGTAGCAGCAGGCAGCCAGCAGCAGGCAGCAGTAGGTGTCTGGCAGGCAGCATCCGGCAGCAGCAACCAGCAGCAGCCGGCGTTAGGCAGCCAGCGGCAGCCAGCAGCAGCCAGCAGCAGCCAGCAACAGCCAGCAGCAGGCAGGAGCAGGCAGCAGCCAGCAGCAGGCAGGAGCAGCAGGCAGCAGCAGGCAGCAGGCAGCAGGATTCTATTTTAATTTTATTTTATGGCAGCAACAGCAAGAGCAACAGCAACAGCAACAACAACAACAACAACATTCTTGCAGCCATGGAACCAATAACACAAAGCTGCAGCAGCAGCAGCAGCAGCAGTTGTTTCTTGCTTTGGAAGCTGTTTGATTGCAGCAGCACGACAGCAGCACCACAGCAGCAGCAGCCACCAGCAGCAGCACCAGCAGCAGGCAGCAGGCACTAATGGGTGTCAAGAACGTGGGCAAGAGCACGCAAAAGGTGCACATAGCCAGTAGCTAGCAGCCAGCGCCAGTAGCAGCCAGCAGCCAGTAGCCAGCAGCCTACCAAAAATCTAGATTTTTCTAGGATTTCAGACGACACGTTAGGCACTTTTTTGGCGTGGTTCTGGCACTCGCTCGTCCTTCAGAGCCCTGGTGTTTTCCCCCCGGGAGGTGATTTTTTCGAACCTGTTTTACTGCTAGCAGCCACCAGCAACAGAATCTGTCGAAAAATTGTGTTTTTCTAGGATGTCAGACGACACGTTAGGCACTTCTATATATCTTGTATATATGTCTATAGGGTTTCAGACGTCACGTTTGGCAATTTTCTCATTTATATGGCACCAATGGGTGTCAAGAACATGGGCAAGAGCACGCAAAAAGGCGGCAGCAGCAGCAGCAGAAGTAGCAGCAGCAGCAGCAGTTGTTTCTTGCTTTGGAAGCTGTTTGATTGCAGCAGCACGACAGCAGCACCACAGCAGCAGCAGCCACCAGCAGCAGCACCAGCAGCAGGCAGCAGGCCGCCGCAGGCAGCAGCAGGCAGCAGCAAGCATCAGTAGGCAGCAGCAGACGCAAGCAGACGCAGCAGCAGTACGCGCAACGGCAGCAGTGCAGCAGCTAGCAGCACGAAAAATTGTGTTTTTCAAGGATGGCACCAATGGGTGTCAAGAACGTGGGCAAGAGCACGCAAAAGGTGCACATAGCCAGTAGCTAGCAGCCAGCGCCAGTAGCAGCCAGCAGCCAATAGCCAGCAGCCTACCAAAAATCTAGCTTTTTCTAGGATTTCAGACGACACGTTAGGCACTTTTTTGGCGTGGTTCTGGCACTCGCTCGTCCTTCAGAGCCCTGGTGCTTTCCCCCCCCGGGAGGTGATTTTTTCGAACCTGTTTTACTGCTAGCAGCCGCCAGCAACAGAATCTATCGAAAAATTGTGTTTTTCTAGGGTGTCAGACGACACGTTAGGCACTTCTATATATATTGTATATATTTCTATAGGGTTTCAAACGTGACGTTTGGCAGTTTTCTCGTTTATATAGCACCAATGGGTGTCAAGAACGTGGGCAAGAGCACGCAAAAGGTGCACATAGCCAGTAGCTAGCAGCCAGCGCCAGTAGCAGCCAACAGCCAGTAGCCAGCAGCCTACCCAAAATCTAGCTTTTTCACACGTTAGGCACTTTTTTGGCGTGGTTCTGGCACTCGCTCGTCCTTCAGAGCCCTGGTGTTTTCCCCCCGGGAGGTGATTTTTTCGAAACTGTTTTACTGCTAGCAGCCTCCAGCAGCAGAATCTGTCGAAAAATTGTGTTTTTCTAGGATGTCAGACGACACGTTAGGCACTTCTATATATCTTTCTTGTATATATTTCTATATGGTTTCAGACGTCACGTTTGGCAATTTTCTCATTTATATGGCACCAATGGGTGTCAAGAACATCGGCAAGAGCACGCAAAAGGGCAGCAGCAGCAGCAGCAGCAGCAGCAGCAGTTGTTTCTTGCTTTGGAAGCTCTTTGATTGCAGCAGCACGACAGCAGCACCACAGCAGCAGCAGCTACCAGCAGCAGCACCAGCAGCAGGCAGCAGGCCGCCGCAGGCAGCAGCAGGCATCAGTAGGCAGCAGCAGACACAAGCAGACGCAGCAGCAGTAAGCGCAACGGCAGCAGCAAGATTCTATTTTAATTTTATTTTATAGCAGCAACAGCAACAGCAACAGCAACAACAACAACAACATTCTTGCAGCCATGGAACCAATAACACAAAGCTGCAGCAGCAGCAGCAGTTGTTTCTGGCTTTGGAAGCTGTTTGATTGCAGCAGCACGACAGCAGCACCACAGCAGCAGCAGCCACCAGCAGCAGCACCAGCAGCAGGCAGCAGGTGTTTCGAAAAGGGTGTCTGGCTGTTTGTTTCTTGCTTTGGAGGCTGTTTGATTGCAGCAGCACCACAGCAGCAGCAGCAGCCACCAGCAGCAGCACCAGCAGCAGGCAGCAGCAAGGAGCAGCAGGCCAGGTAGCAGCAGGCAGCAGCAGGCAGCAGCAGACACCAGCAGAGGCAGCAGCAGGCAGCAGCAAGCAGCAGCAGGCAGCGGCAGGCAGCGGCAAAGTTGCAATTTTATAGTAAGGTTTCAGAAGTGACGTTAGGCCCTTTTTTGGGGTTCCTTTGCTACGTTTTGGGCACGAAATTAGGTGGTGTTTTGCTGTTTCGGATGTGTTTCGAAAAGGGTGTCTGGCTGTTTGTTTCTTGCTTTGGAGGCTGTTTGATTGCAGCAGCACCACAGCAGCAGCAGCAGCCACCAGCAGCAGCACCAGCAGCAGGCAGCAGCAAGGAGCAGCAGGCAGGCAGCAGCAGGCAGCAGCAGGTAGCAGCAGGCAGCAGCAGGCAGCAGCAGGCAGCAGCAGGCAGCAGCAGGCAGCAGCAGGCAGCAGCAGCAGCAGGCAGGCAGGCAGGCAGCCGCAGGCAGCCGCAGGCAGCTGCAGGCAGCAGCAGGTAGCAGCAGGCAGCAGCAGACACCAGCAGAGGCAGCAGCAGGCAGCGGCACAGCAGACACCAGCAGAGGCAGCAGCAGGCAGCAGCAGGCAGCAGCAAGC